CCTCCACCATATCCAACAGAGCTAGAGTCCCTGGTCGGGCAAGGCAGACGTGATATGAGTGTACATCAGAGCCATTTCTGGGCCCTTCGAAAACATCAATCAAGGCGTATAGCCACGATGATCGAGCTATGTTTTCGGATGGATCCCAAGGAAAGGTCCACGGCACAGATATTCGGAAGTCTTATTTGGTACTAGACATGGCCAGACATATCGTCTCCATCGCTGAAGTTACCGACATTGACATTAAAGGCCGTGCTGCCCAGTGTACGAGTAGACTTTGTCATCCTCAAATATCTTGCTCGATCTCCTCCCCCGGTCTTAGGGTTCTCTGCACCAAGCATCTCAACGCTTAAAACCTGCTGCGACCAGTACTCGATCGCAAATTCGAGTTGATATTTTTCTTGCCGTATTTTTCAACATCAATCTCGGACTTATGCTTTCGCTTCCAAGGTCCGTAATCCTCATCGGATAAAGCTTCATTATCGTCTCCAGCCTCCTGATCCGAATCCTGTCGGGCGGCGAAGGACTTTTTTTCCGGCTTACGGCCGCGCTTCTTCCCTTTGGTTTTCTTGATGACATCCACCACTTCTTCCTCATCCCGGTTCCTTCGGGCCTTGATTTGCTTCTTTGCTTCTGTCTTTCCTGCTGTTTGTTCTTCTTGTTCTTTGAGTAACTTCTTGGTCAAGTTGGGAAATTCTGCACCATAGTCAAAAAACAGTTCCTCACCAGCGTTGATATTTCCCAGAGCACTGAACTTGATGCGATACTCGCCACCGACGTACATGATCTTAGGGGTGATGTTGCAGCACTGACCCTTCCCAAAATCGTCTTGATGGTTTATATATCTGCTTAGGTTGCCGTAAATCGCAGCATCGATCCATACGCCCTCTTGCTCTAGTAGAGTAAAAAGGTAGGACGACTTGTGCTCTTCGTCGAAGACATCTCCTCTGCGGGCCTCACGCCGAACTCCCTCATCTTGAGTAATCAGTTCTCCGACGTATTCGATCACAAAGTCTTCTTGAGTGATATTCTCTGCTGTAAAAAGACCATAGCCACAGCCTTCGATGGTGGATCTACCAACGAGCAGCGTCTTCGACTTTCCTCGTTGCAAGGCGCAATTTTGGCAACCTTGTTCGAACAACTGGTCATCCTCTGCATTCTTTGGATTTGCTCGGTTCGCGGCCCCACAATTGGCACAAAGCGAAGGATCGCACTCCCGGTTGAGCTGTATACATATACAGGGCTTTTCTCCTTTCTGTCGGGATGAACACGTTCTACCCTGGGAATGGCAAGAACAACCAGTGAATTTGATAGCGCATGTATCAACTGTACAACGGCAGAAGCGCTCACACATGAGACCGTTCCTAGCACACTCACAGTTGTCCTTCGTACAAGGCCCGTCGTGGCTGCAAGGATCAAAGTGGTCCTTTAAATGATGTGCATGTGTAATGGTCTGTTCCTGCCAGTCTGCATGTAATACCTTCTTAAATCGGTCATACCAGTGGACTGGCTTGACCTCTGATTCCCCGGACCGGGAAGGCTGCTGGGGTAACTGCAAACCCAACTTGTGAAACTGACGATCCACATCGCAACAGGGTCTACCAGTAGCCACGGCAGTTATACACTGGACTGGTTCGTCTTGGTCGCAGAAAAAAGTAACAGCTGCCTTCAACAGCATTATCTCCGTTTCACTCCAGCTTTTAACTCGTGCGTTGAGTCGAACTTTCAGAAAGCATTCGTCGCTGCAGGGCTTGCGGAAGTCTTCGTACTCCCATGGATCGTTGTTTGATTGTGACCGTGAAGAGTTGACCTTTGAAGCTTGAATGGCCTTCCTGCCAACGAGGGGTGTAATCCCACCCACGACATCAATAGAGAATCTCTTGCGCTCGTTATCGGTTCCGTACTCTCCATGCTCGCATGAGTGGCTGAAGCAGATGAGACAGCCTAGCAGCGAATATGTTTCGAGAAACGTGTCTAACGTAATATTTTCCTCGATCGGTTTGGCTTCGTTTGGGGTATATTTTATCAATTTCCTTGAGTCGACAATTGAATCAATGGACTTATCAAGGAGCAGGACATCGTGGAGTGTCACTGCCCCTTCATTCCAGACATCGCCATTGTCAAATACTCGATCAAATGCCTCCGTGAAGATCTTAACGGTTTTTACTGACCCGAGCGAGTCGGTATCGCTGTTGCACGAGCCAAAAATAGTGGACACCTGTTGCGATGAGATGGCATCTGTCCGACTTGCCATAAAACGGCTGAGCGTAGCCTTCGAACAATTCGGAATGGAGAGCTTGTCGAGCCAGCTATCCAAGTAGAGAAGCAAGGTAAGCGCCCGCTCCTTCCGGCAAGTTTGATTCACTTTCTCCTTGCTGGTAAGGGTGGCAAGCCCAGAAGTTTTATCCATATTCTCCAGGTTCTCGAGCCACCTTCGATATTTTAACTCCTCCTCGTCTGCCAAGTCCCGCAGGTGTGGCACAAAGTTTAGGATTGTGTTAGGTGACAGTATGTTCTTGCGAATCTCAATATGATGAAAATCATATTTGGGCACTGGCTCTTTGTAGGTCATGATGCCTATCACCTGGTAATAGTCACGGATTGCTTGCTTGCCAGTACGACCGGGACCCATGTGCTGTAATTGAGTTAACAACGTCCCCCGATCTATACATTCCAACGTACCTTGAGCGTTAACTTGAGGGCACCACTGCCGGCTTCGACTGGTGTTCGCCTCATGCCAACAAACCAGTTCTTTTTGGAATAGGTCTCAAGCGCTGGGGCCATCTTCTTCCAGGTATTTTGGAGAAGATGAGTAGTAACTTTGGCAGCACCTTCACCTATATCATACGAGAACTCACGCAAGGTGTCTTCGATTTTCTCTACTGTCCAGACAATTTTCCGCGGCGTCTGCTGCGTGGGTGTGCTATGAAAGTTGCCAGGATTTCCAGCAGGAGAACCAACGCCGTGAGAGTCCTTAACAGAAGCTCTGTGGATGGGATTCGTAGAGGTCAGTGTAGCTTCTCCTCTGACTTTCTGGTCATTGCGAGAATCACTCTTCGTTGGAACTACCGTTGTGACTGGGAAATTTTTTGATAGCGCCTGACGAGTCAAGGCCGGCGAGCTTCTAAGCCTCTGAATACGCGGGCCTGGCTGTGATTCCTGAAGTGCTCGTCGAGCCGGCAGGCCTTGATCTGACTCATCTGAAGTACAAAGATCGATAAAATCAGTGTAATTGGGCGCCATCATGGGATTGTGCAAGCCCACAGTACGAAATCGTTGAAAAGCTTTCGAGGCAGGTTCTGGGGTAGTTGCGCCTCCCAATGTCTTGCTGATTTGTGACAGATTGGTAGCAACACGCGATGGTATCGCGCCTCAAATGAGTACAGTGTCCACAGTGCTAGGGGCTAGCAACATCAGGAACAAAAGAAACCGTTCTACATATTGTTCGGGTATCTGACAGGGGAGTCAGGTCCGTTCGCAATCTGACCATGCCCTGTCAAGTTGCCACCATTGGACCGACGTAAGACGCGCTAAATGATGGCGAATGGGAAAACACAGCGGAATCCGTGTGACATTGGATCTCTTTTGCGGCGCAAACAGGTCGCTGGAAATGTGCGACTGAGCTCCTCCGGTATCACAGCATCACACCTTGCATCTCGGTAGGTTAGTTGTTTTCCTTATTTCTTTATTTAAGAACGAAAAGACCCTATCCGAAGCGTCCAACTGTTACAGATTTACTCGTGTCCGCCTTCCAGCTTTTCGCCAATTCCGTCTCTCACGTTTGTCATTTAGTGCTCTAAGAGAGGGAGAGCGAGCGAGCGACTCGAATTTGGGGCAAGATATATGACACGGATGGATCGTTCTATCGATTAAATACGATAACGGCGCGGGCACGATCCGACAAAGGCTCGGTTGAGGGTGGCTTCTTCTCATCGGGATCGATCGTCTTCATTCTCGCATCATTGTCGTCGCCGTTCCCTCGCTGGGGCCGTTGGCATCCCCTTGTCGGGTGCGAGCGCGCATCGTCGCCGTCGTCGCAGCCTTGTCGCTTCGTCGGCGCGGCGCAGTGGAAAAATGGAGGATCGTCGCTGTCGTCGCCTCGCCGTCCCCCTCGTCAGGTCGTCGCCGTGTGTTGTCGGTTCGTGGATGCGTCGCTATCGTTGTGTTTGAAGTGTCAGCTTAGGTTAACCTAAATATTCGGTAACGGTTCATTCAATACACATAGTGACACTCTTCCTGGTGGAGAATAAAATCAAAACTCCACGGAGCATGATCAGCGTCGCCGGTTGGATTTTAACGAACAACTGGGGAGCTAGTGGCCTTGTCATGCAGGCACATGCAGGGGCACGCACAGTAATGGATAGGCATACACGTAGTCAGCTGGGGCAGCTGCACACAATCGACCCAGCCACTTTAGGGGTTGGTGCACTCAATTGGGCCATTGCTGGCGAGGCACTACATGACGCCCTGGTCGACAATCGGAACCGAAACCGTACCAACAACAGCGTCTGCACGAGCACAAATCCCAAACACCATTGACAGTGGCCCCGTCGGGGCCTGCAGGTCGCAGTCTCCTGATGCGGGGTTGTTTGACCGACGAATGTGCGCCTTCAGCCGCCCGAGGCTCCCGACGTGTCCTAGACGACAACGACGACGACGACAACGACAACGACATGACCTGCCCGATTGGACGGCGCGAACCACCGAAGCCAGTATTGGTATTATTCACTCAGAGCCATCGGATACGAGACGACTCCTGATCGCGAATTGGGAGCAACACAGAGAGTCTACAAGAGACGGACAGGCACCCTCGACCCGAAAGCCTGCACGGTGGCTTGCATCGCCTCTGTTGATACAGAAGCCTAAATGGCTCTTTATATGGTAGACGAGCGACATACCGGCGGTTCGCATGGGCGGAGGTGACGACTATGTGTTCCACGCAGGCAGCATGTGCGGGCTAGGGTTAACATCGTCGTAGTGACGCTATCGGCAGGCCAGGATACGGGACAGGATCGGCGGCTGCGCTTCCCTAATCTCTGGTTTGGGCTGCCTGACCTGTCGCGAAGGCCGGCGCGCGACATCCGGCTGGGGGACGTGCTGGTCGGTCTTCCGGACGGCGAGAGCGCGGGACTGGTTACATATGATCTGGGCAAGGAGACGGAAGTTGTGTTCGAACCGCTTCAACAGTACACTTTGTTCCTGCTCAAGTTGTCATAGCTCCTTGAACTCAAATGGCGGACAGCCTAAAACGCCTTGCAGGTGTTGCTACTTTGCCGCCCAGAAGAAAGCGTAACTTGTATATCAAGATGGTGATCGAGAACGACCAATCTGTGCATTGGTATTACGCCATCTCACCCAAGGTGCTCAGCTGGACTTTGTTGGCAGGCTACATCGTTCTCTCTTCCACGTTCACAACCATGAATCGCTCCGAAGCTTTCAGCACCATGATGGAAGACAATGAGGTTGCGCTGAAGGCATTTCAGAATTCTCCTTTACTTGGACTTGCACTGTTCTTGTTCATTGTTTCTCTGATAGGGTTAAGTTGTATATGGTGGGTCTGGAAGTGCAATTATAGCTGGAGTCTTAACAACATCATCACGCAAGTACATCATAGGTTCGTTTTGACGTTAGATTGAAACCTTTCTAATGACTGAATAGACCACTGCTCACAAACTCACTACTCGGCTTCAGCACGACCTTGCTAAACGTATACGCTGTGCGGGATGGTACATGGTCGGCCATCGCCATAGCTTCCATCACCGCAACTAGCTTCTGCTTACTCATCTCCATCGTTGCGTATACAATATAGTATATGGCTTTTGAAGCCCATAAGAGCAGCTCGAGCCGCTCAGATCGTGGAATGCTATAGCACGGCCGATACCGCGACCCACAGGAGAGAGTGACGTAAATATGGGCCAACCTCGATAGCAAAAGCATCACCTGGCAGATTAAATCCCACTAGCTATATAGTGGCAATGACTAAATATTCAGAACAAGCTTGGTTTGAGCCATCTTCATAAAATCCGCGAAGCGCCTGGAGTAGAAATCAGGGGAATCGTCTCGCGGTGCCTCCGCTGAGATTTCACACACTTTGTGATCCAATTGCCAAGCGCAAAGGCAATGCCCTATCAGACTGCGTTCGATGAGCCAAAAAGCAGATTGTTCCAGAAATAGAGTCTTGCGACAAGATTAGCCATTGAACGCATATAATCACTGTGCCACTAACCTCTGCTGAGTTCTCCTTCGCTCGTCTACGTCCATCGGCAAGAATATGGGACCGTAGGTGAATAACTGTACGGACTGCAGCTACCAACGCTTCGTTGTCTTCCGGCTTGTTCGACTGATTCAGCTCAACATATATCCTTGTGAAGTCTGTTTGATATATTGCTGAATGGTGGCTTGCCAGTGGGTCAAAAGTGCTCAGGTGAAGTACTGTAGATCTGGTATACAAGAAGAGTAAGAAGCATTGAATGGAAGTTACAGTAGGAGAGCATTTAAACAACGTCAATCAAAGCCTGATAAAGCTTCTTGTGCTCTGGCTTCACCGGTTTGACTCACCGGTTGGCGTCGGTCTTTACCTTGCATACGCTTTAGTCCAAATGACGGAGATACATGATTCGTCATTGACATACCTCGTTGCAAGCCACTCTGGATGGTATCGTAGATGCATGACCAACAAGCTATGACAACTACTTTGCCTGCAGTACTCCACAAAGGGATCTATTCTATAGTAGCTCCTATTATATCTGGATAATTGCAAGGTCCTACATTAATTATCATATACGAAGCAGTATGCTAATCTAGACCATTCGTGGCCAGGCAGGAGAACGGGCTAGAACATTCAGGATACGTGGTGGTGGCATAAGTAGATGGAGACCTTGCACTTGTGGCTTGCATTGCGTCTCTCCGGAGTACCCTGCCCGCTGTAACGATATGAGCATTATGGACCAGGATAACCATTCCGTCTCCATGAGTTATGAGTGGAAAACTCCGTTGAAGATGAAATGCTACTCTACAGCACTAAGCCTAGCCAAGTTCTCTCTACACTTAAAGTGGCATGCGAGATTCACCCGGGGCACAAGCTACTCCCGACCACAATCTGTCACCTATTCTTCCTTATCCTTGGCAAAGCCGCCGAGGGATTCATGTGATACATGGTTGACCACTTTATCCTAGCTATTGCTGAAATGGAAGCCGAATCTATCTTCACACTCCAAAAGTCTAGCCTTAATCAATGTTCCAAGTGTAGTGACTTCTTCATGATATTGTGTCCGATCCGGGAGAAATGGTTGTTGTAAACTCGGGCTATGGTAATCATACATTGTCATCAGCTTGTGTATGTTCTGTAAGTCTTCAGTCAATACAATACAGCAAACCTAGGGTCAAAAGAAACCTAGCATGACTTACTTTCGTGCGCTCTGGCGCTCTTCGGCAGTCTGCCGTATGCACTCCAAGCTTGAGAACAATCAGCGACAACCAACGGGGGAATATACTGGTTTTGGAGTATCTTTGAAGCTTTAAGTCTGCTATCCGCAAACTTCTCGAACATTTCATCAGCTGATGATAACTGGTGGGCCAACTTGAAGAACATCGGCATGTCTTGAGACTTCACCACGAAGCACATAATGACTAACGGAAAACATAGTATGAACCTCCATCTGATGCGCGCTACGTCCTGTGATGCTGTTGCTGATAGAAATGCCCTTTGCTTGTGGTTCTTTACACTGGCATCGATATTGTCTCCCTCTCTGTGTTTTCCATTAGTTTTCGGGCCGAATGGTATAGGAAGCTCAGACATACATAGCATCATCCCTCTCACTTTTACATTTCTGCACCTCCTCCGCTAGCGACCCAAATATGTGTGTCGACAAACAAAATATAGATAGACGCCGAAGCTAGGGCTAGCGACAACCAAAATCCCAGTCCAGCATTGTAAAGAGCGAAAAAGGTCGTCGAGCCTGTAGAGATACACTTGAATAATATTGTTCTGGCGACAGTGTCGAGAGCACCAGACTTGCGAATGGCTCTTGCTCCATCGCAGCGACCACATACAGCCTGGAATGCGGCTTCCTCAAGACTCAGGGCCACTGGTGCCCATAATGGTTTCTGGAAATATTCGGGTAACACAAGTACAACGAATTGCAGCCTGATGAAGCCGCTTTCAGACCAGTTTGTCTTTTCAAAGTATATTACTTTTTTGCTCCTCCATCAACCACGTAACGTTAGAAATGCAGTTTATGCCTCGTGAAGTAGCTGGGTCTGTTCCCGTTGGGCCCAGCCTCCATCTGTCACCGGAAGCATGAAGTGCGAGAGGTAGAATTTGTAGTACATCAATCATAGCGAGATTGCAGTCGGAGATATCCAGTATGTGAGCTTTACTCTCGGTCAAGGATTCAGAACAGTCTCGTACAGGCTAAAGTTGTGTGGAAGACATCTAAAGTTACACTGCAGAACGGAAAGACAATCTCGGTGCTCACCCTAGTGATACGTAGTGGCATCAGTGGAAGTCTAAACCGTTTTGGGGTACCGGATTCCTGCACCCTAATACGGCATAGTTCTGACCATGCATCGCCTTTTTCCCCTTTGCATTCCTGCAACTTCAGTGCTAGTGACAGAAACATTTGTGTTGACAGGGGAGATATTGTAACGATGAACACGTTGCCACAATCAGCGCTGGCCAAAATCCAGTACCTGCGTTGCAACGTCGTCAGACCGGTAGTGTCCAGGCCACCTGAGTCTAGACTCTACTTCTTGAATGGCATAAAATTACTTTTCTGCATTGTTCATTCGGCTTCGGACTTTGCTGCATGAAATGTCAAAGAGTCTACCTCTCAAGTTATTTCGGGCTTACAAGTCTAGAATTTCCCTCCATCTGAAATTAAGCGAATAGTGTCAAGTCTATCCAATTAATCCTTACTAGTCGACCAGCTTATATAAAACTTCTACTCTTACCGGATCTCGTTCGGTGTTACCGACAGGTATCAAGTAATTGAGGATATAATTGGACATGCAGAATTTTGGTGCGTCCTCAAACTATTATCACTGCAGGCAAGCAACAGTAAGCCCGGGTGGTTACATCTGGCTTAGCTGCAAATTCTATTTTGTCCGTCTCAGCGGTACATCGACCTGGTCCAACCCCCATCACTACCTGGAAAGGTAAAGTGTGGGAGATAGGGTTTGTAGTGTACCCATTGCAGCGTCGCTGCATTTGGAGGTATCTTGTTTCTGAGCTAGGAAGTGCGGTCAATTTTATACAGGCTATAGCTGGTTTGGGGGTCTAAACCCACACGGCAGGACTTAGAGCTTATGAAAGTTTCAGTCCCTGAAAACTCGGGGCTTCCATTCTACTTGTTGTAAATCCATTCGACGGCAAGTGGTGGTGCGTGTTACGGGCTATGGGCCGTCTATCAGTTGTCAGCTAAAGCCTTCAACCATGAGCGCGACCATGAAGCTCAAACCCGACTAGCTTATAGGCATGGCTGCCGGCGCGCGCACTTTCCCAAGCAATAAGGTTTCGACGGACTGGCGAAGTGGCGAATCTGCAACTACAAATTGTGCCATCATATGGATGAAAAATTGTAATTCTCTTCTTTTTCAAGCTTTAGATGCTCGTCAATAGGATAGTCAATTGAAACATACATTGACTGCGCCTCTCACAGTGCGGCGTGAAGGTGAAGAAAAAAAGTACTTCATCCGATTAGGTGAATTGCCTTGCTCCTCATGTGTGATCACAGCTCTAGCCACAGTAAGAATTCTGCATTTCACTTGACCCAGATAGTCATAACTCACACCGCTCCTACACATTATAAGTTTTCGATACGACCCTGAGGCGTCGTTAGGAGTCGGCCATACGCTAGCAGGGAGAGAGTGCCTTAGAGACGCTAGTAATGTCCTACATTATAACCACATCGTCTCATCGTTGCCTGAAAGTCCAGCCGCTTCCATGCAGGGATGCGTTGGAAAGGCAACAAGCCATCAGTTGAGAAGCATGAAACCCCAGCCACTTGCATACGAAGATTCTTCAAAAGAGCTGACGGTTGCATTCATAAAAGCAGGCCTTCTAACTACTTTTACTGCATGATACAAGTAGTCCTTCACCTCCATCCGTACTCTGACCACTGTACTCCAAGTGCTCCGCCAAATTTGTCCCTACTGTTCATTATCAACCATGGCTACACCAAACGAATTTATGGATGCAGCTTCAGATCCAGCCTACCTACCAGCTTTTAATGCAGCAGTGAAGGAGCTTGGCTACGGTCTTCATTTCTCTATGATTGGTGCTTGCCGTGATCTGAAAGCCCGCGGGGTCATAGTGGACGATAGCGCTGCAAGTTAAGTACCCCGTGATAGTTATGTGGAGAGAGGCTGACTGGCAAAAGGTCGCCGTATTCCAACTCAGGACGAAGTAGATAAGTGGCACGATGTGCTGGAAAAGCACGGTCTTGAGAAAGCTGGGCAGAGACTTTTCAAAAACCCAGAAGAGTACATAAAGATTGTACAGTAGCTTGTGGAAGAGCGATTGGCGCTTATATCATTGTGGATTCATATCATGCAATGAGACTGAACTTGTTCTTTTTGACATGACATAATACTTCCCTGTGAAATCAATCAATAGTTCTTCAGCGGGCCTGAGGAAACATTGACCCCCACACACATAAGTGATACTGGCGCTGTAAGTTGAATCCTTGGTAATTGTAAGAATTTTCCGGCGTGTAACGTAAAAAGAGAAGACGAAGACAGGAATGCAACAATTTAGACATGTAGTTGAAACAGTAGCTACACATGAAGAGTCATCAAGCTAGTATAGAAATTCAAGGATGATGACTTAAGTACCCTGTGACGCGACACTCACGCTCGCAACCCATCCCATTTCGCCTTTACAGTATACTGTAATCGTGGAAAGAACATTGTGCTTACAGGACTGTACGGGTACTGCAAGCAATAAGAGAGATGGTTAGGACACTGAAAACGCTAGGGACTGTACTCGGTCGTGCTCATTCTTGGACCATTGATAGCATGCATCCATAGTGGTGTGTATTGAAGGCTTCGAATCGTCTTGACTCTACTGCCATTGTCGTTTGCAGTTTGGCAGACCATGCATCACTGAAAAAGTGGCGAAATCGCTCATCGCCCAGATGAACAGTCCGTGCCATCCTTGGATGTTTTCTGGAGAGAAAACATCCAAGGATATCACGGAGCTTTATCCGAACATACGCTTACCACATACTTGGCATGCATACAGGGATTAATTGCCAAGAACTCGCTTGGCCCGCCGTGCGCATACTCCAACCCGCGCCCTTGTTGCTTTCTCCTGTGAACTGAGCCGATGTTATGGGTGGTGCAGGATGCATTGCATTACAGGAAGTTGGAAGCCGCCCCCTGAAATGCCCCGGCGGCCATCCTAGCTGCGGAGGCAGCCATCGGATGCAGCCCGCTCCTTGTGGCAAGCTTTCGCTCATCATATTCCCAAGCACGCGCATGCCTGATGGGATAGGTGCGGAGTAGAGCTGACGACTATTTTCAGGTTTTGTCAATACTGATAAAGCTCGAAAACGCGTATCATGAACAGTTCCCTGCTCTCCGATACGATGCTTTTCATATTAACCCCCGAACTGCCCTCGCATCGCCATATGCAGTGATCCTCCGTATATTTTGGGAGCCTTGTCCGCCATTTACCCACCGTTCGGAATTACACTGTCACTCTGTTCACCGAGTGGCTAAACCTAAGCTTACATCCCAAACATGGCGTGTAAAATGGTACTGCACAAGCTGGTGGTGTTAGGCGACGGTGGAGTTGGAAAAACTGCTTTAACAATCCAACTATGTTTACAGCACTTTGTTGAAACTGTGAGTCTTTCTGGGCAGATTCTCTAGCTTTTTAACTAAGAGTCTGAACACGAATTTTGGACCTCATAAAGAGCACGCCATGTTGCGTATGGAAAAAAGACAAAGACAAAAAGAAAAAAAGAAAGAGGCAGCTTATTGCGTAGACATGACCGATAACCTGGGGCCGTGGGAGAATGGATGCTGTCAATACTGTACATTATCTTGACCGAGAGAATCGGTCGAGGAAAGCTGCGGGCCGGGGGGAGAAGGACATAATGCAACCAAATCTCGTGTTCACCCCAGTGACTCCCGCAGGGAACTAGACTCACGTGTGATGGTACGTGGATAACATAAGAAGGATTGCAATCAATAGATGAGGGACGCATTCGGTAGAGGAGCACATTCGTACCCGGTCTACTGCTGCCCAGAATTGGCATCTCAGGCTGCCTGAACATGCTAGAAACAGGCTGATCCTGAATCATGTCCAGTCATGACACGAAACCTCGGGGGGTCGGCCACCATTTCTGTACACTCGGTCGGGAACGAGTCGTGTTTGCTTCTCGTCAGGCCGGAAATGACCTGTCGCAATTTGTCGCGATCGTTTCGGGTGGCTGGACAGGCCTGGTTTTGAGTCGTGCTTTTCGTCGGTGGCCTCTTTCGGGCCGTCCCATTTTCGACAGGGAGTACAGAAGAGGCGCATCGGTCGGCTTGTTGTGGGGGAAAACGGCTACGCGACGCCCGCCCACTTTGACGCGACCAAATAGTGGTCAACGCTATACCTGATTGAGGAGGAACAGCGCGACAAATCCATACGCCTCAAAAGTGGTATGCAAATGCGCACACAAAGCTTGAAGCAGTACTGCACCGACGTTCAAAAGCGTCCTGGTGGGGTCCAACCAGAACCAGAATCAGATTTGATCAATGGACGTCCTTCGCTCATTTTTGGATTGCTTTCATTCTGATTTCGTGGAAGCAGAACCAGCTATGTATAGTATTGGTGATCACGGTGCTTGCATGACCACGAAATCGGACACCCTAGCTGTCTCCACAATCTGACAGGTTTGTCTGAGATTCTCCTTTCCGTGCCTGACAGTGACAAGACCCTGATTTGTCGCCAACACAACAGCGACAGCGACAGCGACGAAACCAGAAACGGCACAGAGATGACCAAGCTGCCATGACCGACCAGAACTGTACTGTATTTACTTACATACTCCTGATGGACAGTCAGATACAGTGGGGGCAGTCAAGCAGGGTAGAGATGGAGAAAGAGGCGAGGAAACGGCACAAGACATGGGACACGGTGATCGTGAGCCTATACATCATTCGCGAAATGGTCAAGCCGAGACCAGCGTATATTCATTTATCTATGTACGTGTATGCCATAATGTCTACTGAAAATCCACAAATTCTACAAGATGCGTCTCTGCATTGGCTCTGTTGACCCCCGACAAGAGAGACTCGAAAGAGCTCTTGCCAGGACAGCAGGTTCGTAGCCAGCACCACGAACAGGTTGCAGAGGCCGCCTTCGCTGGCCGGTACACAGGGTTGGGACATCTGTGACCCCCCGCAGGAAACCTAGGGAGATAGGACGTCTGCGGGAAAAGAGGGAAGCAATCCATCATCTGTAGGCTCCCGGGGCACTTCCAGATGGCATCGTCTGTAGGCTCCGAGGCACTTTCAGACGGCATCGCTTGTGGGCCCGAAGGCACTTCACCAAGCGGCTCTCACTTGCTAGTTACCCGAGGGCACCCGCAAGGAACTTCACCTGCTAGGCTCGAAGCACTTTGCCAGGTGGGGACCATCTGACAGGCTCGAGAGAACCTGCCAGATGACACATCCGGACTAGTCAAAGTCGCGGACGGCTTCGCTCGCAGGACCCGAAGATGCTGGCGAGGAACGTCACGTGTAGCCTCGAGGACTTGCACGTGGGGTCATCTGCAAGCTTCAGGAGAAAGTTGCAAACGGCACAAACCGCCGGCGCGAAGCAACAGCAGAAGGCTTCACTCGCAGGACCCGAAGATGCTGGCGAGGAACAGCACGTGTAGTCTCCAAGACTTCCACGTGGGGTCATCCATAGGCTCCAAGAACCTGCAGACGGCACAAGCTGCCATCGCGAAGCGACAACAGAAGGCTTTCACCCGCCAGATCCGAAGATGCTGGCGAGGAACATCACGTGTAGTCTCCAGGACTTCCACGTGGGGTTGTCTGTCGGCTCGAAGAGCGTCAAGACGTTACATCTGCCGCCACGAAGGACTGACAGACGGAACACCCGAAGGTGATGAAGAAGGAAGAAAAGAAAGCTGAGTCGAGGAGAGGAGAGACGGGCTTATATATTCGTTTATTATGGGTCGCCTCGTCGTCGCCCCATATTTTCCTTCTGCAGTGGGTGGCTGGACTTACTTGGACTTGCGTTTGTTCTTCTGCCTGGCGTGGTCGGGAAGGTCTCCTGGACAGCTGCGATTCTGGCTGTCACTGTAGGCCTGAACCGTTACAGCAGGAAGCGGATCCTCTTGCCCTTGTTCGTCCTGTCAAGCCATATAGTATGCCCAATAGGCCCCACATCAATCGATCCATGTGGGGCCGGTCTGGGATACCAGAAATGTATTTCATGAATAGTGGATCATTACGTGCAGTACAGTACTGTACAGGTATGGAATGCATTTTCGGCTTCCCTGCTTGCAGCAGGCCATGTTCCCAAATGCGTACTGGGCTTAGCCACTTGCAAATCAGTTCCGAACTCACATAATCATCACTTCTAGGCTTGTCTGTCCGACCGGTTTAGTGATCGATCTAGCCCCATGAGCTAGACTGGATGTCTGCGAGACTTGATCCCACGGCCGCCATGACGAGGCCATCCACATGCTTTCCACCCTCTCTTTCGATACAATGATTTGTCTCTTTGCCTCGGTTGCGCCTTTGCTCCAGCTTTCTACTTTCATCGTCTGATTGCTCCCAAAATCTGAGATCCAGTTCTTCGATTTCCTATATTCTACCTACTCCTCTCTTCCCATCTCATATTGTACCCTGGGGACATCTGTATTTCAGCAAAGACCTCACGACACTGCTACGTTCCGAGTCACTCGTGGTGGGAACCCCACTGTCCCCTTCCCCGTGATTTTATCTTGCTTGCCCTACAACTAGATCCCCATGGACTGGTCTTCTCCTCACCGGCGGTCGCGAAGATTGGCGATACGCAATGCTTCAAGAGCAGCCGTCGGGCAAACTCAACCATACACTGCCGCTCAAGTCAACAAACCCGCGAATTCTCGAGGCACTCCCGCCAATCGCCAACCCCGTCGACGGAGGCGCGACAAACGTGCTCAATCGCCGATCACTGCAAGACTCATCATCAAAACTGAGCCGAGCGATCGACCTGAAGATCGAGCTGTAAACAGAACGGACAATTTGGTTTCCCCACAAGATACTCAGCAAGCGGCTGACCGCCACTCTAATGTGTCGGCAATACGACCAACAGTACCCATGCTGAACGGCAACGTATCGAAAAACGTTCCAGTGCCCTCGTTCCACTCAAGCTCAGTGTCAACAGCTAGGCCGTCTGCTGCGCTGTCACACTCTCGTGTCCCTTCTATGGCTTCTTGGACCAGACACGGTCCGATCATCAACTCCAGAATTTCCGAATTAAGGAGACAAGCCCTGGCAAGAGCTCAAGCATCGCCAACCACAAGTTTACGTCAGTCGTCCTTGCGACCTATGACAAGGCCCTCTTTGCCTTCTGCAATACCACGGCCAATCTCAGCAATACCACAGACATCTCCAACTGCACCCCCGACATTCCCGATAATACAACGTCGGTTCGAACCTTCTTCTACACCCGTCAGTCTAGAAACGCCCCACGGTCGTGTGAAAATCCATTATCCTATGATCATGACCGACCAGATCTTCCGAAACACGCGTATGTGGATGGACGTCTACCCTGACTGCGGATACAACTTCCAAGTAGAAGCCTTTGTCGACCGAGCTGGTCATGCTCCCGCATTCATAGATTGCGGAACTTTCTTGACTCTCGAACAGGCCAACCGTACTCTCCTCCAGACCTTCTCGGAAGACATCCGCGAACTCATGGTGGACCGATACACGAGTATGGTTTTCCGAGAAACCGATGAGGTGCCTAGCAGTCCCTACTGGACAGGGTTCTGCTTGGGATTGCACCACCCGATTTTGCGAATATGGGCAAAGCAGGTTGATTCGTGGAGCTTTCGTGTCGAGACCAAGATGTTAGCCAAGTCGGTAGCGCCATGATATGTACAATAGCACAAGCTCAGTAACATGGAAACTTGCATTCCTTTCTTCTTCTTCTAATAATATAGTATCCCTACTCAAGTACGAAATCGGAAGGCTCCATGCCAACAAGTGTAGGATCATAAAAGTCCTGCTGGCCACTCTTCGCGTCCCGCTCAATGACCACTTGCAACTTCGAGACCCATTCCTGCAGCTTTTGGTCGAACCGCTTTAAGCTTGAACACTGTCAATTTGGCGAAATGAGTATGACTTGGGGAGGCCTACCCAGTATCCACCGTCTGAGTGCTGAAGTTATCCGCAATTAAAAGCATGAAGCGATGGCTAGAGTGATGATGACCTACAGCATGCTGATTCTGTAGCATAATGAGCCTAAGAACTTCTGCATCGCCTGCTTGTTGCTCGAACCTTTTCATGCTTGCTTCAAGTTGCCGGACTGTTGTATCTTCAGAGGTGGAAGCCGGCAAAGTGGCCGTCTGCGTTGGGTGATCGGCATCCAGCGGTATATTCTCGGAGTGACGCTGCTGTGAAGAAGAGCCATAGAGAGGGATAGTTGGCATTCTTCGCCACCGGTATCCTCTTCTCCTGGTCCTCGTGATTTCGTGAGAAGGAGACATGTTATAGGCAGACAGGAAAGTCACTGGGAAACTAGACGAAAGCGTCTGAAACATGTACAGACAAGATCAAAACCGGCTTCCTCCTTTTGTCTCTCTCTTTTCTTCTCTAAGCACAGACGATCCATTTCTGGCTCTGGCCTGTACGTATACCCTAAGTACTCTTTTGGACCGTATCAATTCTGATTCCAAGAGCGTGAGCTTTAGCCAGGCTCTTTCGCACGTATTGATACACCCACTACTACAGTACACATCAATTGTACGTCATCGAAGATAGATTTGGGCACCGAACATATGCGTTCAGGGCCGAAAAGGGCATTTTTCAAGTTCCATGGTACGACAGAGGTTCAAAAGTGTACTTCCGAGTGGGAGCCAAAACTGGACTGTCCGTGCTCAAAGAGAAGAGAAGAGAGAGAAAGAGAAGAAGCCGATTTTGATTCTGTCTGTACAGTACATAGAAACTTATAGTTTAATGGCCAATACTGGACACAAGAGAAAGCGCAAGAAATACAAATTATGGAAGTCAATAAAGGCATTTAGGCTACTGAATTCAGTGATATATAAGTATAGATAGGTTGCTAATGCAAGTTGACATTTCTTTCAGTCCTAAACTTTTGTTGTCATATAGCCTTCTGCGATGGTACAGTCAACGGATGAAATATTGCTTCAGAGCAGCGACGGTATACTCGTCCACATGCCTCGCACAATCGCCAAATGTTCAGGTCTTCTTCGTGGTCTACTCGAAACTATCCCCAGAGAGGTCGAACAAGGAAAGCCAATACCACTGCACTCTATCAAAGAAGCGACGTTGAAATTGATTGAAGAGTGGTATCAATATCACATTGATAACCCAATTGTCTACAATTTCGATAATTACGACAAAAACAACAAAATTCAAGACAGGGAGCGGGAGCTTCTCAATGTTGATGAGGCCATGCTTTTGCGCATAATATCCGCGTCTGATTTCCTCGACATGGAAGCACTCTTGCATTGCAGCTGCGGAAAAGCCGCCGAATTGATCAGAATGGAATCTTTATTCTCACTAGGCGACCTTTCACATGAAATACAGCTACGAGTTGCGGAAAGAATTCCACCCTATGCACTCCGAAAAGCAGCTAAAGCATTGATTGTGCCTCTAACAAATGCGCTGGAAGAGCACATCATAATTTGGACCAGTATTTTTGCGTCAGATGATTGGTTCGATGCCGCTGTAGCAGCTGGAGTGAATCCAATACTGGTGGGCTTCAATCTAGCAGACTACGGAGGCGAGAAAATAAATGTTGCACTATCCTCGATGGACTGGTGCGGTGATTTGAGGGATAAATGTCCAAATATTTTGAATTATCTCCACGAACATAGTTACGACCCCAACACGTGCGAAGCCACTATTAGTAGGACTATTGAGAGAAACGAAGGCAACTTTAAGCGAGGGGTCAATTGCTTGCGATCACAAATCGCTAACATTACAATGAACCTTTGGGAGCAGAAACGCGCTTCAGATGTCTCAGAGGTTCGCACCCTCAAGGACTTGGTACGTGTACAGACGGGCGGCAAGGTATGGACGGCCATGACGTACTTGAAGAATCCAGGGGTGATCAAGCTTGCTCCAAAGAATGCCAACTGGCATGGTAAGGTACTGACTGTACAATGTGTAAACTGCATCAACAGTTACAGTGGTGAACCAAACGATTGGAGTTTCGTAGAAAGCAATAGGGTATCGAGCACAATCTAACGTTATGGGATCATCTGGAAGGCTTTATCAGGAGACAAGCCCTGGATACTAGGGAGGCAAAATGGAAGGGTAATTCACGTGGAAAGAAATTAGTTCTTAAACAAATATATCTATGTCTCACGTACAGTTCGAGCAGCAAGGAGTGCTCATGTTGGTTGGGGGTGGTTGAGGATCGTGCACTTCTGGCCTCATTCTTTCTGGACGAAAGCCGAGGCCCACAACGGTACTTGCAAAGTCATCGACCAGATGGAGAGCCTGTATTAGCGTATCTCAGTTCCCTGGGTACCTTTTCCATCGACAGCACCTTTCCTTGGACGGAATCTAATATGCTATGTTTTCTATTCTTATCTCACTACTATTATGCATGTATTGGGTTCATTGGAACACGTGTTCGCAACAGGCTTTATCGTTGATGATATCTCTCCCTCGACAATCCCGATTTCTCCCGTTGATTTGTGCTATTTAGTGCAGAATATCACAGGCAGCGGCCCGCTCTTCAGGTTGTGGCCGGGCGCCCAATACAGCGACGGGTCCCCGTCGCTTCAATAATCGACGGACCCGTCGCACCAAGATCGCGTGACTAGACTTAGTACAGCGAAGGGCCCGTCGGGCGACCCCTTTTGCCCGTTTCCCTAAGACACGCCTACTCTGCAGCTATGTATTAGCAATTCTATTCGTTCGTTACCGCCATGGCAGCGTTTCCCGCCGATTGCCTACCGCCTGAAAATACATATGAATCCCGAGATGCTTTGTTCAAAGCGATCGACGCATCGGCAGCTCCAAGGCATTACGCGTTTATTAATGGAAGATCGACAAAAGAGAAGTCCGGCAAGCTAACGGTTACATACTGTTGCGACCGTCGTACTAAGCCACCTGATCCCTTAAAAGAACGACAGCGGAACACGAGTAGCCGAGGCAGCGGCTGTGTGTTTTCTGTGATAGTCAAAGAATTATCAGGTGGTTTGTGGACCTTGAAACACCGCCCTGATCAACGTTTTGCTTCCCATAATCATGGACCAAGCCCACACCCTATTTCCCACCCAGTCCTCCGAGAGCTATCTACTACGGAGAAGACCACGCTTACCGGTCTTACCAATGCCGGTATCGCCCCTAAAGACAACCACGGTGTTCAGGTACGTTTACCCAGAGCAATGGGCTTCCATGTATGCATACGTTAGAAACGTTGATGGAAACCAACCAACCATTAACGTTGGAGCATTTCCACTCCCATTGGCATCTACAGCGAATTGGTACACCCCAACTGCTATTGGAGCCTCGGCAACGGTTTGATCGAGCTACCGCTCATTTGAATACACCGCGATCAAGTACACGACGAGAGCCCAGCGGGTTTGAGGCAGTTGAAGGGGCCGCACAAAGGCCAACAGCGCCACGCAGGGATGGCTGCTACCGCGAAGATATTCATGCAGTACCAATACCACCAGCGCCTCCAGCGCCTGTAGAGCTATCTCTTGCCACAATAGTTGCCAATGCTATTGCGAACGCTGCCGCCAATGAAGCTGCTGTTCAAGCTGCTGCTCAAGCTGCCCATGCCTCGTTCACTGTTACCGCAACCTCCGCTGAAGCCCCTGGTGAAGCCCTTGCCGTAGGCATTAATGAAGCCCCGGCTGCTGCTGAAGTACTTGCTGCTGCTCGTATTACTCCTGACGCAATAGCTGAGGTCGCTGGTAATGTTGCCGCCGATGCTGATGCTACTGCTGACTGTATAATTGTTGAACCGCTGCCCTCCCCGTCGCCTGTTCTATCAAGCCCCTCACCCCCACCAAGCCCGATGAGATATGATGACCCCCGGGCTATTTACGAAAGATACGTCAATGCAAGAGAAGATTGGTATAAGGCCCAAGCGCGTGGGAGCATCAAAACCAACCAAGAGTATCGAAAGGCGATGAGGCTACCAACGCGATACAGCAAAGCGAGCTATTCATGGTGTCGCGATTTCAAGCAGATGGGAAAACGCTGTTCTGAATCAACTGGATCAAGGGAATGGAGAAAGGAGGAAATGATGGCATATCTAGATTGGAATAAGGCAGAGGATGCTCGCATTGAAGCTCCTCTGAATCCCGCTAGACGGGGCTTGGGCGAGCTTCTCAGAAGGATGGACGAGGACTATCAAGAACAGCAGTCTTTATATTCTAGGGGACGATGAATTCAATTTCATTTTCTTCTTGCATCTTTGTAATACCTAGTCATTATTCACGGCGAGTGACTACTTTGGCGGCTAGTGCCAGCTGGGTTCAGCTGCTCAAGACTCACGCGATCTGACGGGTCCCCGTCGCTGTATTGGGCGCCTTTTTGGATTGTTTTTAGTTGTCGAAAGCCATACGATAAACCCGACCTCTCTCTCGGGCTTGAGCCGGGCCACGGGGAACGGTTAGGGACAGAGTCTTAGCAAGTGTTTACGGCAGACTTCACTCTCTGATGGCCTAGTTCTGCAAGCTTGATTAAATATGTATGATTATTGTAGACACGGTGTTCAACCGCGCTTGGAGACTCCCAACAGAGAATAAAGACTTTCGTTATGCCTGTGAGCACCTGGCCAATTCTTTCTTTATTTTTATGAACTAGGATCGAGACTTAGTACGTGTAGTAGTAACATATGACGCCGTTCTGTGTATCAATAACATCTCTGACCGTGACATTGGGTCTCAGCCCTTGCACATTAATAACAGTATCCAGCGTCAAAGGTGTGCAGGGACTGCTGTTGTCGATACAGCCGTTGATCTTGGTCTTGCGCGAAGCGTCGCCGTCTTGCCACAGCCAGAAGTTGCGGTCGACGAAAAGATGGTGAAGGAAGAAAGTAGGATCCTGTGGTGACGAGGACGCATCGGCCATGACGGAACCGATACCGTTATGACCGTATGCATGAGGACCGAGCTCGGCACAGTTCTCCATATCGGAATAGTTGTCGCGTGAATTGCAGATATTGACAAAATTCTTATTGCACTGGGCAGTCAGGGACTCATCGACAGCGCGGGAGAGACAGTGGTCTTGGAAACCCGAGCCCGGCCCAATGTGAGCAACCGCGTTGGCAAAGTACTATTCAGGTAGTTAGTTCCTGATGCTGTTTGCATGGAAGTGATACTAACGCCGTCGGTAACACAGATATACTGGTCGTTGGTAGACGTCCGCAGTGACCCGAAGAAATCGGGCGTGAAGATGGAAGAGCTAGAAAAGTTACCAGCATCAAGAGTTTCATCCCACCAGGGGAAAGCTCTGTCAAAACCACACTCGTCCCTCATAATCTGTTCCAAAGTCCAGACATAATATCTGTGCCAGAGAAGGAAAATGCTGTTGCCATGAATGGTATTGGCCATCATCTGGTGAACGCGGACCAGGTCCTCGTATCGGCTCTGTGATGGTGGGAAACGGCCGGACGAAGGCGCATCCATCAGACACTTGAAGGCTGCAGCAAATGCATGCCTATCGGTGTCTGAGTAGTCTCTCCATTCAAACCGCTGGTTTGGGTTGTCGCAACCTATCGCGACAGATGTCACGTTATCGATTGGATCATCAATTGGGGCGATCTTCGGCTCACCAGTGGAAGATGAAGCTGGGGACGGAGACGATGACCCAAGCCCTATGGACTCAGCGATTTCATCGGTGACATCTTCGAAGCTGTTTCCAAGGCCTTCCATAATTTTGGAAATAGTACCATTGTGCGACTTCAGAATTCCCGACCTTGCATCCTCCAATGAGATCGTGCTGAACCATCCAAACTTTTCGTTGGGAAGAGGATCGGTTGGGGCTCGCTTGGCAATAAGGGGCGGAGTCACGGAAACTGTGGTCGCCGCGCCGAGAGCACAAGATAGCACTTGTGAAAACTTCATGATATGGGAGATGTAGTGAATATCCGACGATCTGTGGAGGTGCTCTGCCTACAGTGACTTTTTCGCAGTACAGCAGATATGCTGTACAGACATGATAAAAAGTGGCTTCCTCAATTTCCCGCTCTTCCCTTCTTTTTGAACACGGGTTATCCAGTTCTGTCTCTGACCTAAAAGTGGCTTTTTGAACCTCTGGAGTACCACGGTGGTTTAGGATACTGTACAACCTTTCATGAAAGGTTGTACAGAGGGAATCAAAACCGCCTTCCTCCTTTTGTCTCTCTCTTCTCTTCTCTAATCACAGACGATCCATTTCTGGCTCTGACCTATATGTATGCTGCAGGTATTCTTTTGGACCGTGTCAATTTTGATTCCATGAGCGTGAGCTTCAATCAGGCTCTTTCGCAGTTACTGATTTATCCACTACTACAAGGAAATTGAACATCACCGAGGATAGATTTTTGACACAGAAAATATGCGTTCATGCTCGGAAAGGACATGCTTTCAAGTTTTATAGTACCAGCGAGGTTGAAAAGTGTACTTTTGCTTGGGAGCCAGAACTGGACTGTCCATGTTCCGATAGAAGAGAAAAGAGAGAAGGATAGGAAGCGGATTTTGATTCTCTGTGTACTGTAAGATGGAAACAAGTGCAGAGTCTATGTAGAGTGGGCGAACCCGGTGTTTACATGTCACTATAAGTACTTCTTCCCTATCGTACTGTAGTCTAGTAAAGCAGTTCCTCCTTACAGATCGCCTTGTCAGCTTTTTTTTCGTTAGTTCTCATTTATAAAGCCGTAACCATTGTATACACTACTGAGTATGCACTACCACACCTTTGCGGCCGCTGCAGCCTTATTTGCTGCCTCAACTGCTCTACCTGCCGATACCCTCTCGCAGCACCTGGCTCGGGCTTGTGAATACGCAGGCATATATCCTGGGGCCGTTGCGCAAGGAGTAAGTTGAAATACCTCAAGCAAACTTTATAGGTCCTCCACTGACAAACTACGCGCGGAGCAGACTTGTACTCAAACGGATGGCATATGCAATGCCGGTGATTACTCGACAGAGTGCGACTTCCAAGAGGATACCAGTACTTTTCAGGTCTGCCAATCACCCTCACAATATGCAGTGAGTAGGCCATCCGCCTAGCATCAATCGTTTTTAATTCAGAGGCGGAAGTTAACAGTAGATGAACTGGCAGTGTCAAAAAGAAGGAGATCCTTGCTGGGTATATGCGTCGACCAAATACCTGCCTAACATAACATACTTCGCTCACTGTTCTGTTGCCTAGTCGAGGGAAGTATTCAGCAATGCCCTTATTGATGTGATAGCGGTGGTATGAATAGCTTTGGAAATGATGATCAGAGGATGATTGCAGGTATTTCATTAGGCTTCATACTGAATACTGCTTGGCAAATTCGGGCTTGTCAAGGATCTGAGGTAGGCCTTTAGGCTCATCGTATGCGTTTTGGTTGTTCGGAACCTTGTCTAAAAGCCACATTTCGGTTGTGGTCTCGCGTCGGCACAACTTGGTGTGGAAACCTGGTTCCGACCTCTTATATCCAAGTCAGGACAAACTATAACGAGGATAAAATTAATATTCCGTTCATTCCTGCCCCTTGAGGTATATTTCGTAGGCATTCAGTCGTGAAACCCTGCAACTTATAATTCTTCTGTTTCCTTGACTCCTGTATGTCGGAATTATGCAAGGCTTTTGACTATGCCACGGGCAGAGGTATCCTGTAATACTGATTCAGGCTAGCAGCAGGTCATCAAGCCTATGCACGATAAAGGGGTTGCGCGAAGGGAACATTCCAAAAGCGTAGAGCCGGCAAGGCTAAGCAGATGATTCCCGCCACAAGCTCGGGGATAAACCAATCAGATAGCTTTCGGAGTCAAGGGAAGAGACCACCTGGATGGAGGACGGGCACACATGAGGACAATGCTTGTATTATCATGCCCAACTCAAACTTACTTTGACCCTGTATGAGGAACGAATGAGCCGTGCCTGGGAACCATGGAGTCATTGAAGGCAGCGATGATAGAAGCATAGGAAGCAGTTTGTTAAAAGTACATGCATGTTGCCGCACATAAATTGAAGGCTCGTCCTTGGCTAAATACCTGTTTTGAGCAGTCAGGATTTAGGGTACCATACTAGTGGATATGTTGTTCGATATGTTACCCTTGAACCCCAGTGATTCCACAGCGGTGAGCTCGTCTGTCCGCTAACAACATAGGGCACGCCGACATTCAGGAAAAACTCTGTTCATCTTCGCCGAGAATCACACTGCGTGGTGAGATCTTCTCTCCTTTCCAAAGACCACTCTAAGAGACATTGCCACCGTAAGGACATCGTGTTCTCACTCGTCCATAAGCGACGGTTTAATTATCCCGAATACCGATTCCAATTCCCCTCAGTCATAAACGTTGCTGCCTTCAGGATTGCGGTATCCACAATAATCTGAGAGCGCTTGCGGCTATACAGTTCTCGGCATCGCCGAGATCTCTGCGGACTAACGACTTGATAAGAGAAGTTCTGCCCAGCTCATTTATAAGGGGTGGAAGGAGTCAATCAACACAAGAATTCCAATTTTCTTTAGACCATCGATTGCAATTACATCACCCATCATAAGCATCATAATCAGGATTCTTGACTTATTTGTTGCGTAGGTCTCGTAAAAGGCTGTTACGTATCGAAAATGACCAGCCAATATGGTGCTGGGGCTTGCCTAGAACCTACCTGGCAAGGTTATTGTGGAAGTACCCTGGACGCCCTTTATCTCATCGAATGGTGTATTAGAGGTAACGGCAAACATGTCACACGCTGGCCTCTTGATCGCGAGAGGGCCTTTCTGATCGCAAGCGGCAACATCTTTATCTACGAAGAGCAGGCCAGCGGCATCAAGCTTTTCATTCTCACTTCAAGTTGACGGACTGTTGTATCTTGAGAGGAAGAAGCAGACAGAGATGCCGTCTGTGTTGAGTGGTTGGCAATCTGCGGTATATTCTCGGAGTGACGCTGCTGTGAAGAAGAGTCATAGGGGGGATAGTTGGCGTTCTACGCCATCGGCGCTCCCTTCCCCTGCTAATCACAATCGGTCACTTGCGAGTAGTCTAATTCCCGTTTCCGTACAGTACCTGACAACGACAAGACCCTGATTTGTCCCCACCACAATGGCGGCAGCAACGAAACCAGAAACATCACATGACGAACAGTGCTTGTAGTGTGAACAGCTATTGGGTCGAGACTCGTGTGTATGTTTCTTATGACTGACAATGTACAGTAGAAGAGTTGCAAAGTAATCAAGTCCGAGTGACAAAACCATCGCGTCCGCCCAAATGCATACATTTAATTGATTGTCATTAGCAGGAATGCCTAAAATATATGCAAAACATGTTTGGAGCCCCATTGTTCACTATAGCTCGTAACCCGAGAAGGAATTTCACTCATTCAACTCGAACGCAATCGTGCACAGGTTGTTTAGGTATAACAAGTTGATCTAAGAGTGCAGGACAAATTCTGTACAAAAGGGGACCGAAAGGTCAAGAACGTTACAATGGAGCAACAGTGGCCTTCCTATCGGGAGCTAGAATTCGGCACACGGAGTGTATCACAAGCTACAATTGTACAACGACGTCGTCGAAAGTCGTCCTGAGTCGGTCAGATCAAAAGCGTATTCGGGCCAGAGCGGATACAGCACCTGCTCTGCACCACCTGAGAGGCCTCATTTGGGCTACCGTACCGGTTTGTAGTTTTATTGCACGAGTTTCCATCAGGGTCTATCTGATTGTAGCATATCGGTTCTCTCGTCTGAATTTTGTCATTATTATGATAGAGCGAAAGTGTGCCGTAGTTTAATACACTGCTAATTATAAATATGGTAAATTGCTTTACAATCAGATAGAAGTTCGAACTTCATCAATAAATCTTAATTTCGTCCTACTTACATTGACTTGCCGTTATTCATGCTGGTAATTCTCGGTGTCATGAAAATGGCGCAGCTCGCCTTCAAGCGCAATGACCGTCGAGCATTTCGAGATGTGCACAGAGGCATGACAACGACATCAATGCATGATCGGGGAGGAGAACATCATATCTCGCTTGGCATCTCAGCAGATATGCCAACAGTCTCCCCATACCGTCCACATCAATGCCTAATCCGCCAGAGGTCAAAAGCCATGGTAGGTACGCGGAAAGCCTGACTGCAGAAAACCTTCTAACCCTAAGGAACAGCAGATCGTTGCAAATTCGAGACCGTAGCCAAAAAAAAAGACTTTTCCCATCTAACCCAACCCCAGATCGTTCGTCACGAGCAACAACGACTTCCATGGACGAGGCGTGACAGCACGGCGATCGACACAGCTAGCCTGTCGGACGTTCTGACTGACGATGAGACCATCAGCATCAAGGCCAGCACCATAGAGCCTCCATACTCCCCGATACACTGTCTGGTCAGTGAGGAGTCCAACGGTTCGCAGTCGTCCTCCATGTCGCCGTCGCCAATCCCACTCGCTAACGAAGGAAATATAACAAAGGGCATGATGAAAGAATCGGCAAGCCTGAGAAGTAAGGGCATTCACACCGTCGATATTGGGTTGAATAGAGACAAAGTGACACTGACATGATGTTCTAGGCCTACAGCCTCCTCGCGGCACTGTGGACCATGCTGCGAGTACGGATCGCTGCCGTTCCATCGACACGACAAGATTGCCTGGAACTCGTTAGTCAATGATAACCATGCGGTGTCTTCGGAGGAGAAGAATGCGGCCATGCTGAGGATCAGTCTCTGGGCAATCCGAGACTATGCTATGACGATGAGGAGAAAGCGAGTTGATGGCGGTGCTGCTGCAAGAAGCAGGGACGGCTTGACCTTGTTCGGGCCACACAGCACCTCTTCAAGCAACAGATCCCGAAGAACAGTCTGCACTCCTCCACGAAGTCACACGGACCACACTTCTGATGATGCGTTGTACCTCAGGGAGAAGGATGGTCATTTGGGACACACCACGATCAAGATTATGTAGACGGAGAGCCACGGGGAAGACCTGCCAAGAGACGACGTGTCATGTGTCATAAGCCTTGGAGTCCTCGACAGGAGCAGACTCTGCGAGCGGGATGGAACAAGAGCAGAGCTGGGAAGATATAGCCACAAGACTGGACCGAACGCCTGGAGGAGTGAGGCAGCATTGGATGATGATGGAGCGCAGGTTCAGTCCGAGGAAGCGTGGAGTTTGGAGACCATCGGACTGATGGGTCTCTATGTAATCGAACGGGAAGAGTCCATGGGCACAACTTCAATGAGTGGGCATATATTTCCACAGACAGGATGTAACAGCCAGGCAAAAATATACACCTGGAAGGTTGACCTGACAAAGATGCAGAGAGATATACGACCATACTTTTCTTCGGCCGAGGACCCTGTATTCCTGAGAGAAGATCAAGATCGCAGAAGTGGTCCATCACTTTGCCGTCACACCATCGCCCTTGGCAAGGAGGCAACTGTGCTCTATCTGTCGATCCTATGGCCGTATTTTTCAAGAATATAGGGTTGTACTAGAGGACTTAACTTCAGTGCGACATCAAACAGACTGTAACTCAAGAAAGTACTGAAATAATCAGTCGAACAATGGTGCATCTTGTCAGGGCTATAATTCGTTTACTGGTGTTACCATAGCGCTGGTCGTTGTGCTTTCTGCAGAGTCTACAATTACCGTCAACCTCAAGGCATACTTACCGGCGTAACAGTCATGCCGTATTTCGCGGCTTCCGAGCACTCTGTGTAGTCCCGAACGTGTTGAATATTTATATAAGATCACTTGCCCCCATGACCACCCATGAGCAATGGATGAATCAATACTTGATTTCTTTTCATTTTTTCGTTTTTTTTTTCTAAGTAGAGTCGTAAGAAAACATTTCTGTCTTAACTGCTATGATTGTACACAATCAAATCGTCGCTATAGACGCTTCAGATGGAGAACAACCGCCAGACCTCCTATTGTCACTTCCTCCAGGTATGTATTCCCTGCGAACGTAATCCTTCATGCTCATTTCTGTCTAGAGCTTCGAATCATGATATACGACTATCTTGTATCCGTTGACATGCCTCTGAAGTTGTCGTGGACGCCGTCCAGTCGTAGGCGGAGCAATGAAATACGCGCCAAGGGGTTGTTCGGTTTGATTCGGACCTGTCGCTGGCAATACATGGAAAGCCACCTCGTATTGGGAGGCACGGAACGGAAGCTACGTCTCTCAATTGATGGTGCCCTCGAAGGAGATGGTGCAGACTTGCTGCCATTGATGCACCCAGAAAAATGGCAACCCAACCACGAAATAGCGTTTGTCACTGCATCTGAGAGTCAGGACTGTAAAGAGATTGTCGGCCACCTGACCCTGGTACACCTGGGCCGAAGCTCACCTTTTCTCCTTCAAGTTTGCGGCAGTGTGCGGATTTCTTGGCGGAGATGGCCAGTTCCTTTTATCGTATTTGTCCCAGTATGGTACGTCCATGGTGGACATGATGTTATGGAACATATGGACGGATGTTTTCTGGACTATTTTGGCGTCTCGCGACTTCGAAATCACCTAGAGCTCCGCGTAGCGTCTGGATTGAGATAATCGAATGACGAAGGAATTCACTAAGAATCGATTGGGTTATTACAGGTAGCACTGTACCATCACCAGCCTGAGTGCCATTTAATGATTATTCAATCCACTTGAATGAAACACTCAAAGCTGGATCCGGCTGATACACAATACTACATTGAATTAGGCCCCTTGTGACAAGAAAATTGCACTCAGTATTTGGAGGCCGTTCATAATCCCATCCTTGCTCAAGCTTGAGTGAGCTACACTGTCCATGACGAATTACTCCTTTGGTCCTGTTTGCGTCCATGTTTCAGGCTCACTAACAATGATAGGTATACTCCGTACGCAACCTTGCTCCTGCCGGGTTTTCCCTATCGAACTTGTAGGACTAAATTCTCACTTACGAAGCGAAGATAACCATAGTGGATCTCGATCGATGTGGACATCACCGATGCGATCTTAGGAGCTTTATGGTCTTCTTTGCAGACACCATTCGAACACGGAACATTCCCTTTAAGACGGTATCTCTGATGCATGCAGGAATATCATCCAGAGAAGAACGTGCCTTCGGAATGACCGGACGCGAATGCAGTTATCACCATCACTATCTGCTTACGTCGCACAGGTAGCATAGATGTCGCGTCAACCGTGGATTTAGTCAGCTGACACGCATGTAGTTTGTATTTTGTTCCTCATTGCCTCACGCACGCACGTACAAGGATCTCTGAGCACTAGTCGTAGAGATGTACGCAACTAAGTATCTTCAGAATCCTCGTACCATCTCGAACACTTCAGGAAATATGTCATCAGGCCCCCGTGACAACAGATTGTTGACGACAAATGGACCCGTCTCGACTCGCGCCTCCACTTTCGAGGGCAGCAGCTCTAGGATGCGAGATTCCTTGATTTCGAGGCCGTGTTTCCCAAAGTATCTCTCGCTCTCGAAACTCCACTGGACATTGGCACCGACCCATTGAGCAATGCCGTCTACATATATCTGGATATCCAAGTCGACGGGACCACCCCAACGGCGCACTACGAGAACCGCCTGATTGAATTGCTGTACGAGCTTGGCATGTATCCTCGCGGCCCAGTCAATCGCTTCCTGTAGACTAAAACGACACTCTTTCATAATAATGCTGATGAGGTTATGCCCATAGTCGCCAGAGGCTTGTTCTTTGTTGTATGACAGCACATCCTAGAGCGCCGATGATGTGAGCTTACTGTTCCGTGTTCTGTGTCTTCCGCGTCTTCATGAGATCGACTACGCTGACAGCAAACTTACATTAGCAATGATAGTCAGATCCACCGCGAGCGTCTCTAATGCTCTGATAGTGGGATGCGTTAGCACCTCATCTGGCAGGTTCATTTCCATCTGGAAGAAGGCCAGAGAGGGCATCACTCCAATGGTTTGCCGCCGAACCTCGAGATAGCTGGGGACGGTGCGGATGTGAGAGCGGAACCTATCTTCTGCCTGTTGTGCAGTTCCTTTCAGGTACTTCTCCCAGCTTGCAAGGAACCGCTGCTGGAATGACCTGGTTGAGATCCCAGCCACTCGAATCCAAAACCTGTTGTGCACCTCCAGTGAGCTCACTTGTTCTTATCATGACGGTAGCTGACCTGGGGAATGGACGACCTACTGTCGCGCAATCTCGCCGCCGACCCATTCTCCGGCTGGGCGTGGCATTTCGGGATTGCGCAGAGCATCCATCAAGATGTCGACTTGATTCCATACATCGGCCGGTTCGGATATGTCGGAGTGCTCGTCAAAGATGAAGAAGAGGTTCATGACATCACACGTACACCTCAATTGTTCTCTGTCCAATCGCGGGTACATCAGACCAGCCAGCAAATCTGCAAAAGCTCATGTCAGCGCGCCGGAGCCTTGTCACTCAATGGTAAATAGATACGGGTGCCGCTGACTAAAGTTACATTTGTCGAAGGCCTTCTGTGCCTGGGGGGTGAATGCCCCGAAACTAGACACCCAGTCGAGGCATTCTTGTTTGATGTCGGCCGTGTGGATGTTGACTTGACGAGGCCATCGCCAACCGGCCTCTAGATCGGGTAGTCGGATGAACTTGGCCATGCTGATGTTTGCTAATCAGGCCGATGGGTCTGATCGGGATGACAGGATAGGGTGAATGCTGGGTTGGAGTTTTTTGCAGTGAACGATATGTCTGATCCTTCAGTTGCAATGACATGATTTCTTCATATTTATATAGTGATCGCTGAGACAAGAGAGAGGAAGGGAAAGGGAAAATCGCCTGTTGCAGAAACTTTCGTATTGCAACGGTCGTGCATGAAAATGCTGACAATGGCCGTCAAGGGAACAGTTCCGCTCGCTGGTGTATAATATGATACTGGCTGGCCAAATATCTACATCTTGTTTCAATACTTTGCTAGTTGAGATTGAAATGTCCCCTACAAATTGCTTGTAATTGTACCGGCAGCAAAAGGAGGAATATGCTGATTAAACTGTTTCCTCGACACCACTTGGCATTAACGAGATACAATGTTGTTCTGGATACTCTTCCATTTCAAGCCATCGATACATGTACTTTATTGAGGTTCAGATATCATGACAACTTTCGAGAAAGGAAATCTGGCCTCAGATTACGGAAGTGTACACTCCATAATTACCGCGTGTACGCGGACTGGGGTGGGACGCAGAAGGTAGTCCATCAAGCAGTTCAATAGTGTACCGTACATCTGCTTGACGTACAAAAATGATCCCCGCGTGGTGGGCAAGGATTTGGTCGTCATCATGAGGATCATGGTTTTGAGCTATCCTGGCCGGGCAGTACACAGAGTTCCGGATCAGTTAGAGGCGAACATGAGAATAGAAGCTAACCTCCTCAAGCTCATCCGTCCCACAATCGTCTCGCTTTTTGGGCAGAACACCTTATAGCGCCGACAGTACGATTCGGGTTCTCTGATTAGATTGCCGGATTTGAGCACTTTTTGCCCGCTTGGTCCACTTGGCCCCCTGGCTAGTGTGTCCCGCTAGACTTACCATTCCCACCCCAGGAAGGCTGGCAGGCAGGTATTGCTGACATATCCTCCAAACGGCGATACATGCAACAATCAAAGGTAGGGAAGACAAAGGACGTGCGAACCAGTCACAAGGGGAATAAATGAGTGGGGCATCCCTTACGATCTGCAGGTCGTCTTTTTGGGGTATGAGTCCACATTGACGACATCTAACCGCCCCAGCTCCAATAGTGTCATACAGTAGGGCCGGGGGAGAAGGACAAAATGCAACCAAATCTCGTGTTCACCCCAGTGACTCCCGCAGCGAACTAGACTCACGTGTGATGATGGGTGCCGGGTCATATTCACTTGGAAAAGATTGAGTTCATGGTGAAGGGCTCCCAAGAAGACTTTCGCTGGAAAACTGGAAGCCGGCGGTGGTCTAGCAGCATGAATAGTGAGCTCTGGACTCTGGAAGAGCTTGGGAGCTGCGTATTGGCAGGCCTACCCAGGGTCTCCGTTTGGGTGCGGCCACGTGGAGATGGATTTCCCGTAGAGGTGTTTTGGGATGAAAATGAGCACAATTACGTCGGACGTAATGGGATGTGTAGGAAGTCCTGCGTATCGGCTATGCAGAGATGGCGGCGTTACTCATGTATCCTCACGAAAGCCTCTTCATCAGTGAAAGTTAATTTAACGTCACGAGTCCTACATACCGTTTTTCTATTTGTTTTGTGATAAAATAACTTGTCGGAATGGTAAAGGGTCCATAAGGATGCAGAAAGAGACCGGGGGTTTCTCGGATGAACTGAACGAGTCTCAATTTCTTCGGGCTGCCCCCAGTTTCCGAAACAGATGTTCTTGCAGAGTGGCCAAGATTACTGACCTTGAGATTACACGCTTCGGCGAGTGGAGCAATCATCAGTCTCGAACCTAGCGACTACGCAATGGCCTAGATTGGCTCTTCTGAGGTCAAGTCTCGTGCGGCCCTTCTCCTGCGCGATGAGGGACACCCCTGGGAAGTTCCGGTCAGCCGGGGCGACGAAGATGTATGTCACATTGCCTATGGGGCAAGAATACGAAACAGGCTCGGCGGCGGCATTCGCAAGGCAGCTTAATAAATAAATATAGACGAACTTCAACCCTGTGCAAGCATCAAGTAGCAGATGAAAATGTGCACAGGTCGAGCTAAGAACACCTAGAATCTGCAGCCTTTGTAAATATGTATCCTGCATTTGTCTGCAGGGAATCTTGGACGGAGAGAGCGGATGCCGCGAGTGAATGTACCTTGAAAGCAGTGGTCCTAGATATACTGTCTGACTCTTATGGCGTGTTGGCTACGGTGGTATATCTGTAAATAATTGGCTTCGTGGAAGGAGGTTCCAGACTGTTGAACCCAGCCAGGAAGATCGAGTCGGTTTCGTAGTGAGTTCAATATCGCGAGGCGCGAGCTTCCCAAATATCAGATTGAACGCTGCAATGACCGACAGTCGCTGGTGGAGCGACCTTTGACAATCCCCGTTTTTGTCGTCAGCTCAGAGCAAGGTTCTCCATATTCCAGGCACCAGTGGCATTTCTCGTGCCCGTCTACCGGTACACACTAAGTCCTAGGTTAGCTCTTTCTGGATATGTGATTTCATGGCTACCCACCTTTTTTTTAGCGTTCCGACAGTAGCTACATTTATATGTATCAAGTCGACGCCTTTTGCGAGGAGGATGCTGCTCGCTGGATATCTCGTGATTTCCGATCTGTTTCGGCATTTCGCGGCTTTCTACTTGTTTAGAGAATTCGTGGCTTTTGATGTGTCCAGGAAATTCTTGCAAAGTGCCGCTCCAAACACAGAGCGGACAGTGCATTGTTGGATGAAGTCTGTCCATATGCTCTTGAATCAGGTCTCGGGGTAGGGCCTCGTCGCAATGGTCACATTTAGCTCCCTCATGCTTTCTCAGAAGGTGGAACCTTAGACCTTCAGCGTCACCACTAAAACTGCTGCACCTGGGGCACTGCTTGTGAAGCTGTTGAATGTGGTCCAGCAAGGAACTCCCATCAAGAGGTTTCCTACAAAAAGGACAACGCAGCCAATGGTGTTCTTCGATCAGGTGTCGCTCCACATCATGGAATGGTTGAAGTTTGGCGCACTCTGTGCAGGACTCAAGCTTATGATCGATAATATGTAGTTGATGTTCCACCTCATCAGGGCTTGCGAGGTGACAATACTGGCATTGCAACCAACATGTCTCGCAACTCGATGGTGGCCAATATCCAGTGCAGAATAATGTTTTTCACAATAAGCACAGAACTCAAAACTGTGTAATGCAGTATGGTCAACTGCTCTGGCAAAGTCAGCTTCCGTTGGTGGGCATCCTGGACAGCGTTGAAAGGCGTGCTTGTTACGGATATGAGCCCACAATTTGCCGGTCATGACAGGGTGGCAGTCAGGGAATGGACAAGTCACCCAGCTGTGGTCAGATAGTAAATGGCGTTCGAAGTCAGCGGGCGTCAGGCTATCGCAACCATTACAACAATCCCATTCATGATATCCCGAGAGATGCTTATTAATCGAATCGGACGAAGAAGGTTTGCGGCAGAGTGGACAGGCCCGATGATCGTCTCGAAGATGAGAAACAAGCTTGGCAACATCCTTCCCCTTACAACTGTCGCAGTCGTGAAGAGCGTGCCTAGTTTGAAGGTGTGGTAGCATTTTGCCCATTTCGAGTTCGCCGCACAAAGAGCACACATTATCCGGGTGCTTGGATAAGAAATGCCCATCTTCCTGGATTTCACCACACAATGCGCAAGCGCCATGATCTTCCTGGCCATGCTGCCTGGCCAGATGTTGCGGTAGGACCATACGACAAGTATCGCATATAGTGAAAGCCATGGTGAGGGGATCGTCGCAGGAACAGTCCCCGACTGCTCCACAACTGGTACAGACGTAGAATGGGCATTGTGGTGCATTGTAAACATCAGGGTCGCGGTTTTCGGGAAAGAACATTCTCGGATACCCGCGGTATACCCTTTTCTCTCCATCGCCTAGAAGAAACAATTTGGACTCTTCCACATGTTGCTGTGTGGGCCACCGATCCTTGGTTTCGTTTGGCCGTCTATTGGGGTGGCATTGAAGCGATGCACAATGATACGCTTTACGGATTTCTTTGTCTGTGTATTGGCCATAATTGAGGCCAAGGGCGTCGAACGGATTATAATGCATGTTGCCAAATAGGTAGGTGCGTGAGTTAAGAACGTGCGAAGAGTACGAAGAGTGCGAAGAGTGCGAAGAAGGTGAAGGAAATGGGGGCTTGTACTAATAATCAATCACAAATAAGTGTCTGACCCGAGGTACAGTACAGTGTAGCCGTCGAAGTCGCTAGTGCACGTTACGCGTCGACACGTTCCAGTGACAACATTAAGTTTGGCCTATCGTTACAAAGCTGCCCGGCTCGGCGGAAGGATGACCTCGTGTAGAATAGGAAAGAATTTTAATCGGGTTTCTGTAACATTTGCTAGAAGATCATGGCTAGCCACCAAACTCTGAAGTGTCAGCCAACGATTGTTTTCCCGATTGCAGTGGCCAATGAGGCCGGCTGGGACAAATAAGCTACGTCTGTTGGTGATTTTGGCACACAATATTCAGCTACATCCTCCATATGCATTTCCAAAATGACTGTCGCATTGCTTATGCAAGCTAACCCCTTGGCCTTCAGACGCGCAACCCGATTGTTGGTGTCATGGCTTGCCAGCAGCTTTGAAATGTCCGCCTCACCCCATTTGAAAACAGTATGTCAATATTCGATCTGTTGCACTGAATCTGATTTGCCGAGTACCGCAGTTGGTGGTGCTAAGAGCATAGTTTTCGGTAATGCTCTGAGCACTTCACTGTTCTCGGCTAATTGTAACTAACCTAACTTGTCCCAAGAACTTCTGTGTAACGCCCTGTGATCAACTCTGACTGACTGCATGTATAAGTAACGGCCGATCGACTCTTACAATGTCGCGAATTACCTGCTACAAGCCAGATATGCTGAATCTCAATTCACGTGCATACATGTACTTGCTTTCTGTTTCATAGACATCAGACCTGGTCAGTACTCCCATCAATCTAGTCGGGGCTGATAGCGAACGTGTAATTAACTGACCATGCCACAACAAGGGTCCTACTCGGGCCATTGCTTCTCCTGCGAGTTCTTGCTTCTCTCGCGCGTTCTTACTTGGCATTGGCTCACTCCAGTCGCAGGTGACTCGTTCAAGAATGGGCTCCCACTGGTATTCTTGATGCCGTCATGTAAGTTGCATTACCTCGGTCCAGGGGCTTGGATCAATGTCTCACATGACATTCCTGTTGCAAACCCTGTCCATTATCTGTCATCTTCGTCATCTCCGTCCTATCCGTCATCTCTTGTTTGCTCGCCTGACTGACTTAGTACCCATGATGTGACCTATCAAGGGACGGTAATGGTCACGCCAAAACCTGTTCCGGCATGTTCTCGTTCTTGACTCCAAACAGGTCAACCTGAAACTCGGAAATGCTATTGCATGGATCGATACTGGAATAGAGCGATGATATTCGTCCGGATCCCCAATGTGGCTTGGATCTACCTCAACCGTGCATGGCTATGACACTGGTCGCACGAGTGGATACCAGCAGGAGGTGGTGGGCCGAATACTGGCAACACCTTGACAGTCTTGCACAAGACAGGTCGGGAATGACGGCAAATGTCATGGATCCCGATGCCGACGCACTTATCATCAATCTGCCTTTTTGCGCCCGTCAAACCCTGCTCGACACTCCTGATGCTCGTAGCTGGGGTTTCTCGATGCTCTTATGTTCTTTCACGCTTTTACATTTGTTGATGCTCTTATGTAACGACTTCTTCCTTTCCACCCAAGAACGACATCGACCATCCGGCGTTGTTGGTAGTAGTATGTAGCATGTAACGTTCTGCAACGTTCAGCTGTAAAATGGGAATAGTCGGTGGTGGCCGGCCTGGTCGTCCGTTTGTTGTTCTCATCGCCTGTTGTGACCCGACAGTCTGGTAAGCTAAGAGGAGGAATGCCAGGGCAGTGAGCGTCTTTTATGCCAATTCAGAGCACTGCCTCGTAATCAGTGGAGAGCCAAGGGATGTTTGCGTGGCTGCTCATGTCATTGGTGGCCATAACACACAACTCCGCAATCAATTGATTGCAGTCCTTCTTATGTTATCCACGTACCATCACACGTGAGTCTAGTTCCCTGCGGGAGTCACTGGGGTGAACACGAGATCTGGTTGCATTATGTCCTTCTCCCCTGGCCCCCAGCTTTCCTCGACCGATTTTCTCGGTCAAGATAATGTACAGTATTGACAGCATCCATTCTCCCGCGGCCCCAGGTTATCGGTCATGTCTACGCAATAAGCTGCCTCTTTCTTTTTCACTTTTTCTTTTTGTCTTTGTCTTTTTCCCATACGCAACATGGCGTGCTCTTTATGAGGTACAAAATTGGTGTTCAGACTTGGCCTTGCCAAAGGTCGTGCCGATATCAACCTGGGCTAGCCAATTTTGAGCCCTGGTCAGAATAAAAGAGCGGACTCATGGTGGGGCAGACATACCGTGTCTTGGCCCGCAAGCCAACCGCTTTCAGGGCTAAGCCAGGTCGCAACCCAACAAACACGTGGTTCTGCTGTATGCCATGCTCCACTTACACTTCAATGCCTGCCTGCCTGCCTGCCTGCCTCTGCAGTGGGAATGGTAGTTTCGTCCCGTGGAATTCAGAAGAGCCCAGCAGGATGCACTAGCTCGGAAGCCAAGTGGACCAAGCGGGCAAAAAGTGCTTAACTCCGCCATCTAATCAGAACACGGATCTCATTGCCCTTTCTGGGACGGATGAGCTTGAGGAGGTTAGCCACGCATTTCATTGCCATACTTGGTTAGCTTTTACTGTCATACTCACGTCTCACTGATTTAGAACTGTGTATTCAGGTGGATAATATCATTTCCGACCCCCCTCTGCACTCTTCTACAATTGACACTGGGTACACGAAATAACTGTTGCATGTATTGTAACTTGGTAACCATGCTCCTAGGATATGTCAACAATGCCTGCCTGCCTGCCTGCATGCCTGCCTTTGGATTGGTAATGGTAGTTTCGTCCCGTCGAAATCAGGAGAGCCCAGCGGGACGCACTAGCTCGGAGGCCAAGTGGACCAAACGGGCAAAAAGTGCTTAACTCCGCTATCTAATCCGAAACCAGATCTCATTGCCCTTTCTGGGAGGGACGAGCTTGAGGAGGTTAGCCACGCATTTCATTGCCATACTTGGTTTGCTTTTACTCTCATATTCACGTCTCACTGATCTAGAACTGTGCATTCAGGTGGATAATATCCTGCTCCTGAATGAATGAGGCAAGTATATATCGTAGGGGGCTAGAAACGGCTTATGGTGCACGAAGCCATGCTCTTGCTGCGACAAACACACTTTCAGACTGAGAACAGCCAGTCTAGGCTTTTCCCAATCTCGAATTATATTACCTGGTGCGGATAGCTCAAAATCATGACCCTTGTGGTGACCAAATCCTTGCCCATTACGTGAGAAGCACAGATGTGATGATTACAGTACTGTACATGTGAGGTCGGAAGTGATGTCCAAGTGATTAAGCCCAGTACGCATTTGAGAACATGGCCTGTTGCAAGCAGGGAAGCCAAAAGTGCACCCCCTGTACCGTACAGTTCTGTATGTGGGGACCCACTGTTCCTGCAATACGTTTCTGGTATCCCTTGACAGGACGGACAAGGGCAAGAGGATCCACTTCTTGCTGTGACGAGTGCGGGCCGACAGTGGCAGCCCGTATCGGATCCATGACCGAGTACCAAACCGTACTCGGTTGACCAGGAGGCTTTCCCGACTCAGGCCAGGCAAGAACAAGTCCAAACAAGAACAAGTTCAGGAAGAAGTCCAACCACCAACTGCATAAGAAAAATATGGGGCAAGGACGAGACGGCCCACAATAAACGGATATATAAGCCCGTCTCTCTTCTCGTCGAGTACAATTTCTTTTCTTCCTTCTTCATCACCTTCGGGTGTTCCATCTGCAAGTTCTTCGAGCTTACAGATGACCCCCACCTGTCAGTGTCTCGACACTACACGTGAAGTTCCTTGCAAGTGCCTCGAGCCTACAAGCGAAGCCATCTGCCACAAGCGCCCAGAGCCTACAGATACCCCCACCTGTCAGTGTCTCGACACTACACGTGAAGTTCCTTGCAAGTGCCTCGAGCCTACAAGCGAAGCCATCTGCCACAAGCGCCCAGAGCCTACAGATACCCCCACCTGTCAGTGTCTCGACACTACACGTGAAGTTCCTTGCAAGTGCCTCGAGCCTACAAGCGAAGCCATCTGCCACAAGCGCCCAGAGCCTACAGATACCCCCACCTGTCAGTGTCTCGACACTACACGTGAAGTTCCTTGCAAGTGCCTCGAGCCTACAAGCGAAGCCATCTGCCACAAGCGCCCAGAGCCTACAGATACCCCCACCTGTCAGTGTCTCGACACTACACGTGAAGTTCCTTGCAAGTGCCTCGAGCCTACAAGCGAAGCCATCTGCCACAAGCGCCCAGAGCCTACAGATACCCCCACCTGTCAGTGTTTCGACACTGCACGTGAAGTTCCTCGCCAGCATCTTCGGATCTGGCGGGTGAAGCCATCTGCCACAAGCGCCTAGAGCCTACAGATAACCCCACCTATCAGTGTTTCGACACTGCACGTGAAGTTCCTCGCCAGCATCTTCGGATTTGGTGGGTGAAAGCCTTCTGCTGTCGCTTCGCGATGACGGTTTGTGCCGTTTGCAAGCCCTCCCATAGGCTTGCAGATGAACCCCACGTGGAAGTCTTGGAGACTACACGTGATGTTCCTCGCCAGCATCTTCGGGTCCTCCGAGTGAAGCCTTCTGTTGTCGCTTCGCGATGGCAGCTTGTGCCGTCTGCAGGTTCTTGGAGCCTACGGATGACCCCACGTGGAAGTCCTCGAGACTACACGTGACGTTCCTTGCCAGCATCTTCGGGTCCTGCGAGCGAAGCCGTCCGCGACTTTGACTAGTCCGGATGTGTCATCTGGCAGGTTCTCTCGAGCCTGTCAGATGGTCCCCACCTGGAAAAGTGCTTCGAGCCTAGCAGGTGAAGTTCCTTGCGGGTGCCCTTCGTGGTAACTAGCAAGTGAGAGCCGTTTGGTGAAGTGCTTTAGGGCCGACAAGCGATGCCGTCTGAAAGTGCCTCGGAGCCTGCAGACGATGCCATCTGGAAGTGCCCCGAGAGCCTACAGGTGATGGGATGAACTCCGCTGTGGCAGGTCAGCGTTACCACCCGCTTCCCCCGGACATAATCGCTGGGATGAACTTCGCTGTGGCAGGTCAGCGTTACGAACCGCTTCCCCCGGACATAATTGCTGGGATGAACTCCGCTGTGGCAGGTCAGCGTTACGAACCGCTTCCCCCGGACATAATTGCTGGGATGAACTCCGCTGTGGCAGGTCAGCGTTACGAACCGCTTCCCCCGGACATAATCGCTGGGATGAACTCCGCTGTGGCAGGTCAGCGTTACGAACCGCTTCCCCCGGACATAATCGCTGGGATGAGGTCGGCGAAGACGGATTCTGCAACCTGTACGTGGTGCCGGCTACGAACCTGCTCCAAACGGAGCAGAGCCGATGCAGAGACGCAATTCCTGGATCTTGGTCCCTGGCCTACATAGAATATCTACATAGTGCATACAATTGAAATGTCCATAATCTGCCTTTCGCAAGCTCCATGTGTTTTTGTTCAACCTCATTCTGTAGAAATCAAATGGGTGCCGCATGTGGTTGGCCAGATCGATAGCCGTAGCATTTGTGCTCCTTCAGTAATGCGAGCAATTAGATGTCGTTGTGACTATATGCGCCCGCGTCCGCTTCGTTGGTTTCGTACTTTTCGTTCGTTCGACAGGAGATGGCTTCTGGGGGTTGGGTGACATCGTTTCGGAGGGCCATTGAGGGCCAGCTTTGGATTCAACAATGGCAAGCAGTAGTCAGCATTGAGCCCAATCAATGGCGGATCGGATCTGGAAACCGGTATTTCAGAATCTGCTTTTGTTCATGACAGCTGCCAAGCACGTCCAGTTTTCGACAGCATCGAGAGGGAGAAGGCATTGTTTAGACCGTTGCTGCTGTGTAGTGGTGAAAAGTGGCCATGCGATTGCGCGCATTTGACGCGACCGACAAGTCGCTAACACCGTCCCTAATTTGGTGGTGCTGAAAATGGCGACAGGCTCCAAGCGGCTCAAAATGACATGGGTTCGATAACCGGGGACAGATTAAAGAGCGGACCGATGGCCAGGCCCACAACCGTTTTTGGCCAGCAAGCACAACTAACACGTACAGTAGTATTGCTATGCAGTTCTGGAATAGTCAATTCTGGCAAATGGAAGTTGGGACCAGATAGTATTACGCTGGCGGGATCAGAAGTGATCAGTGTGGATTCATACCCCAAATGAGAACCTATTGTGGATGGCCACTTTCGAGCTAGTCCATTTCCATTTTTGACACCGCGACAATTTTGAATTTCGGTACTGTACACGACGAAATCGGCACTCTAGCTACTGTACAGTAAAGGGCGAAATGGGTGTCGCGGGTTTCGTTATTTAAGATAATTAATTAGGTCCGATTTTGGATCTTGCATAATAATCCGGCCGACACTGGGTATCCATAAGTACAGGTACATAAAAACCAGTGCCCCTCTACACAAGAGCTTTTGTCAGATACTGGGTATGCATTCCGGTCATTATTACACATAATTTATAATCAGATTAACCCATTCCGGTAACCCCCTAAATCTGATAGCCTTAATGTCTAACCATTCTGAGCACGAGTTGCCTGGTTTCTTAGCGCATTGGATCTCTTATCGCCTGACGATAAATAAGCACCATACGATCTTGAAAATTTATTATCAAAGGGTAATTATTATCACAGTCTCGTATCTAATTACTGCGTTTCATTCCATACACACAAACTTTAATAGAACGGCATGGGTCGCAAATAACGATAGGATTTGTTTACATTTTATAAAGGACGTCGATTATAAAGCAATAGGCTATAACGTAGTTTCTTACGCGGTTACTAACAACTAGATCAAGCTATGCACTCTGCCTGGCTAAAGAATAAGAAAGCAAAAAGCATGCTAACTAGACTAGCTACGAGCTATGTATAAGAGGCTGCAAGTATTCGTTATTTAGGATCATTTCCGCCTTACGGGGATGCGAGAGGTCATTTTCGAGAACGTCTCGGCGTGTGGTCTTCCGAGCTTGTTGTGGGGATACCGTATCTGCACTCGTTATTAAACAAATTTACAAAAACCAAACGTGGTAACAAAAGCTTACCATGGATCCTCTGATGCAGTTCGAGTAAGGCATTGTGCAGTGATTGAACATCTCTATGCTGAGGCCCTAGCAGCGCCTCAAGATTGTCGTGGGCGCGTTGATAGTATGTCCTCGCCTCCACCAGCTTGCCCTGATCCCATAACAAGGCTCCGAAACCCCACGTCGCATTGATTGCTGGTCGATATCTCGCGATATGTTGAGGTCCGACGGCTTTCTCGTACCCTCGAAGCGCCCGCAAGTACATCTCCTCCGCCTCTTCCATCTTGCCTTGGGCTTTGTAAAGGAGACCTAGGTTGTTGACCGTGTCGAGTGTCGACGTGTGACCCGGTCCCCACGCATTCTCCTTCCCTCGAAGCGCCCGCAAGTACATACCCTCCGCCTCTTGCATCTTGCCTTGGTCGGAGTAAAGGAGACCTAGGTTGTTGACCGTGTCTAGTGTCGACGTGTGATCCGGTCCCCACGCATTCTCCTTCCCTCGAAGCGCCCGCAAGTACATCTCCTCCGCCTCTTGCATCTTGCCTTGGGCTTTGTAAAGGTTCCCTAGGTTGTTGACCGTGTCTAGTGTCGACGTGTGATCCGGTCCCCACACATTCTCGTACCCTCGAAGCGCCCGCAAGTACATCTCCTCCGCCTCTTGCATCTTGCCTTGGTCGGCGTAAAGGAGACCTAGGTTGTTGACCGTGTTTAGTGTCGACGTGTGATCCGGTCCCCACGCATTCTCCTCCCCTCGAAGCGCCCGCAAGTACATCTCCTCCGCCTCTTGCATCTTGCCTTGGGCTTTGTAAAGGTTCCCTAGGTTGTTGACCGTGTCTAGTGTCGACGTGTGATCCGGTCCCCACACATTCTCGTACCCTCGAAGCGCCCGCAAGTACATCTCCTCCGCCTCTTGCATCTTGCCTTGGTCGGCGTAAAGGAGACCTAGGTTGTTCTCATCTTGTTGTCACTTACCTTCATCAGAACAAGAGGGAAGGTTGGGTTACAGACGGGATAGGTTACGGACATGATACGGACAAATTGTAAGGATACTCTGCATTAAAGGTTTTCGAACTAAGCTATCTTTATCAACGGATGGCGGAGGCAAACCCCTTCCCCACAGCATTCCTTGCGCTCGGAGGCCACTTTGTTGAGGCAGCACTAGGCAACTTTGGACGTTGATCCGGCGGGAGCTGGGATGGCGTCGCAGCATCAACAACAATATGGCTCATCGTCCTGGTACTGGCAGTGCCGAATAAGTTCTCTCGCTGAAGAGGTGTCAATTGGAAGCTTCTGAAGCTGCTAGTCGTACTCACCTCAAGGCTACTACTTTGCTGGGCATGCGGGACAGTTCACGAGCCCCGGGTCAGTGTGGAGCATATCAATCGGTATGCCGTTACGAGACTTCCACAAGAACCAAGTTGACCGATTTCGAAGCACTTGTTGATGCCGTTCATGAAACTGTCGCAACGAGAGAAGACTGGGATCGTGTAGCGGACTGCGCGCGGAGGAGCCAGCGTCACCCTTATCGGTATACATAAGTGAGAACTGTTCTTTTGAGTTTAAACTCGTTCTTTATGGATGTATAAAGTGCAGTATCGAGTTGTTAAGTATAGTAGTGAAACGGCATTGATTATCAAAACTCAACAATTTGGCAGCTCGGGTTGTACATTCATCGAATGTCATTGCCAAAATGCCGGTCTCACCTTTTCTCTTATCCAAACTTTCCCAAATCATACGACTTCCACAATGGTTTGTAGTTTATGCACCATCGCTGACGTCGGCGCTAGTAACCTTAAAAAGTAAGCGTACACGGACTTAGTGGTTGCAATAAGACTGATTTTGCTGCCGCGCTTCATACCGTACTCGAGAGCAGCATCCATGCATGCACAGCACATTGAGCGAAACTACCCATTTGGAATTGACAGCCAGGCGCCAATCACTCTTCAGTACTTACGTTCTCTTCAGTCTTAGAAGATCCCACCAATTTTACTCTTATTCTTTTGCCTTCTTTAAAAAGGGGCTAATTTTGGAAAGGCAGTGTTAGCACTAATCACTGCAAGATCAAGAGGCTTGACGTCACTCTCTCGTTTATGACAGTCACCATGTTGACGGCTCATGATACCATGATTCCCGAATGACTTGGTTTGCTTCACTCAGTTGACATCTAAGAACGATTCCTGGACGATTCCTCCCCAATCCACCGAGTTGCACTTAGAAAGATACTTCCCAGGCTCAAATGCCGTCTCTCATGCCCTTCCGCACCGCACTGCGCACGCCAGCTACAGCGCACATTTTACCTATGCGCGGTACCCAGAGTTTCCAAACTTCGCAAACAACATGCATGGCCTATAAAGACGATCAGAACCGGGAATCACTTAAACCAAAAGCGCACGACAACACAATATCTGGAACAGACGACGAAGCAGCCGCCAACGAGGATGCGGCCTTCAACCCAGAGAAGACATCACCGGAGACTGCGAAGGACACCATGGGCAAAGGTGGTGGTGTTGGTAATCCGCTAGAGTTTAGCCCAGCCAATAAGGAAATGGCTTGGGGAGGTCAGGGCCATGCGGATGGTAAGCCTCAGGCCGGCGACAACAGTAAAAGCAGCGGTGGCAGCAGCACCTCGAAGAGTAAAGAACGTTAAGAGACCTAGTGTTGAGTGTTAGTATTTAAAAGAGGACGCTTTTGTTCAAGAGTAAAGCAGAGGACTGTTCGCGACGTCATTCCGTCTGTTTTGCATTGTAAAACATTCCATTAAGAGATGGGATATGATACCTGCCCAACAGGACATCCTTTCGTCCGACCTGTTCTATACAACATCATTACGACCACATCATGTCGGAGAAATGGTGGTCATGGCTACTTCATGAGCGCGCGCATACACGTGATGTATTGATTTGCATATTCTGCCCGCAAGGATCAGAGGTGCCTTCCCATATATATATATATATGTATATCTGTAGTAGTGATTTACAGCAGTCTTCCGGATGAGATATTGGGTGCGGTTGGACCATATTGCCAAAGATCCTCGTTCCAATAGGCGTCACCGTACGCTATATTCCAACCAACTACTCCACAGGAGGTGGTGAGTCGCGTCGATACAAATGCACCCCACGACAAAAGTTGTTAATGACAAGATTGGATCACGCTCAAGACTCGTTTCCATCGTTTATCTATGACATATGCTTTAACTTAACACGTGGAAAATCTGAAGGCAACTATCTTCGCACCGTGATCTTTCGCAGCATTTTCTTCGACACATAGGACATCTTAAATTCTCGTCTATCTGGCTGATTCCAAACAATCATTGCACAATATGTGGCCTAGTCTTGCGTAGGAGACTTGTGTCCGGAAGTACCGTTGAGGGAACTCACCACAACATCGAGGTCTTGCTGATTTCTCGAGTGGACCAAAGCAGATCTTGTAGGGTTCATCCAGACCGTAGACTGACAAAATTTGCTACCGCCCAAATCTATAATGAACGCCTGTGATGCAGGGTGTACCACCGGGAAGAGAGGCGCATCGCGAGCATACCAACTGGGAGAGGATCAGTCAAGGCATGAATATGGGCAAGATCAACTTACGCAATCAAACCTCTGATACATATGGAGATCCGCGTTCGTGAGTTCTGTCCGACAAGCGCCACAATGCCCCTCATATAGAGTCGTATCCTTGGGTTGAAGGACTTATTCAATCTCATCGAAGGTGCTTTCCAGCACATCCAAGACCGCCAGCCTCAAGTGTTCCACCACTTCCGTCGGCTGTTCTCTACCAAAGCCTCCAAGGACACTCTTCCATTAACACATCACACTGCTGTACAGTACCAGCATACTCATTAGACCACCGGATGTTACTGTACTGTACGGCACTGCACCATTTCGTCTAAGGACCAAAAAGGATGCAGCACAGTACCCCATGCAAAGCCACGGCCAAATATGTACCACCCAGCGAGCATGAAATGGAACAATGGCGGGGTGGGTAGCAGAGAACAGTTTTTGGTACAAACGACTCTTGTATTGGCCGAAGCTGCGTCGCTGTTGATGTTCGAGCGGTCTACGATCCATTTACGTACAGTGCCTAGATCGGACTGTGATCATCGTAGAGTTCTACATGACGGTAGGAGTCTAAAACTGAGAGTACATGACACCTGCCATCTTTTGTTCCAGAATCGGACCGGCAGGTCCAGATGCAACTCTAGCCAAAACACGAAAGACCATAGCTCGGCCACATGAATCATATGAATCACATGACTCGATCCACCCAGACCCATCTATATAAGCTTGTCCTCGCCCAGATTGTCTTGAACTTCTCTTTCCTTTCTTCTTCACACTCGTGTCCATCTGGCAGTTAACCATGCCCTACCAGATGTAAAACTCTCTTCGCTGTGGCAGGTCAGCGTTACCAACCGCTTCCCCCGGACATAATTGCTGGGATGAACTTCGCTGTGGCAGGCCAGCGTTACCAACCGCTTCCCCCGGACATAATTGCTGGGATGAACTTCGCTGTGGCAGGCCAGCGTTACCAACCGCTTCCCCCGGACATAATTGCTGGGATGAACTTCGCTGTGGCAGGTCAGCGTTACCAACCGCTTCCCCCGGACATAATTGCTGGGATGAACTTCGCTGTGGCAGGTCAGCGTTACCAACCGCTTCCCCCGGACATAATTGCTGGGATGAACTCCGCTGTGGCAGGTCAGCGTTACCACCCGCTTCCCCCGGACATAATTGCTGGGATGAACTCCGCTGTGGCAGGCCAGCGTTACCACCCGCTTCCCCCGGACATAATTGCTGGGATGAACTTCGCTGTGGCAGGCCAGCGTTACCAACCGCTTCCCCCGGACATAATTGCTGGGATGAACTTCGCTGTGGCAGGTCAGCGTTACCACCCGCTTCCCCCGGACATAATTGCTGGGATGAGGTCGGCGAAGACGGATTCTGCAACCTGTACGTGGTGCCGGCTACGAACCTGCTCCAAACGGAGTAGAGCCGATGCAGAGACGCAATTCCTGGATCTTGGTCCATGGCCTACATAGAATATCTACATATTGCATACAATTGAAATGTCCATAATCTGCCTTTCGCAAGCTCCACGTGTTTTTGTTCAACCTCAGTCTGTAGAACTCAGATGGGTGCCGCATGTGGCTGGCCAGATCAATAGCCGTAACATTTGTGCTCCTTCAGTAATGCGAGCAATTAGATGTCGTTGTGACTATATGCGCCTGCGTCCGCTTCGTTGGTTTCGTACTTTTCGTTCGTTCGACAGGAGATGGCTTCTGGGAGTTGGGTGACATCGTTTCGGAGGGCCATTAAGGGCCAGCTTTGGATTCAACAATGGCAAGCAGTAGTCAGTATTGAGCCCAATCAATGGCGGATCGGATCTGGTAACCGGTATTTCAGATTCTGTTGCGTTCATGACAGCTTCCAAACATGTCCAGTTTTCGACAGCATCGAAAGGGAGAAGGCATTGTTCAGACCGTTGCTGCTGTGTAGTGGTGAAAAGTGGTCATGCGATTGCGCGCATTTGACGCGACCGACAAGTCGCTAACACCATTCCCCAATTTGGTGGTGCTGAAAATGGACAGGCTCCAAGCGGCTCAAAATGACATGGGTTCGATAACCGGGGACAGATTAAAGAGCGGACCGATGGCCAGGCCCACAAAACGTTTTTGGCCAGCAAGCACAACCTACCAAAACGTAGTTTGCTATGCAGTTTCTGGAAAGTCAATTCTGGCACATGGAAGTTGGGACCGGATAGAATTGCGCTGGTGGGTTCAGAAGTGGTCAGTGGATTCATACCCCAAATGGGAACCTATCGTGGATGGCCACTTTCGAGCTAGTCCATTTCCATTTTGAACACCGCGACACGTTTGAACTTCGGTACTGTACAGACAAGGTCAAAACCGGCTTCCTCCTTTTGTCTCTCTCTCTTTTCTTCTCTAAGCACAGACGATCCATTTCTAGCTCTGACCTGTACGTATACCCTCAGCACTCTTTTGGACCGTATCAATTCTGATCCAAGAGCGTGAGCTCTAGCCAGGCTCTTTCGCACTTATTGATACTGTAGTACCAGTTCTCGCTACAAGACGAAATTAGATCCTTTTCCATTACTATCAAAGTCCTTTTGATGGGTCTATTAACAGCCAAAGAGAATTAGTGAACAAGGAATAAATATTGGGGTCGAAGCCGCGCTTCACACGATGACAAACTTCGTAACAGCCTTTCAGCCACCCGTCATGCACCACGTGCTTTGGCTGTCTTCGTCTCTGTTTCCACCCTCGCAGTTGTTCAGGTCATGGCGGACGCTTTCTGTTCGCCCACTTCCTCAGGACAGTGTACATTGTCTATCATCGGAACATATAGTTCCGCTGCTGAAAGTACGATCTCCTCCACTTCCCTTACTTCACTCTTCTTTGCCTCACTATGTGGAGTTGCACTAAATCAGCGCTCAGCTACCTATCCTCATTCCTTCTGGAAGAACGCCGAGGTCCATGATAGTAGCTGCAAGGTCATCGGCCAGATGGTGAAGAATGCACCTGTCTTCGAATATCTCAGCTCCCTCGGTCCCTTTTCCATCGACAGCACCCTTCCCTGGACTACGGATATTACACATCTTAGTGAAAGTGGAGATTACAACGCCATAGGCATGAAATACGGCGGGTATAATTTTACTGGCTCCTTCGACTGCCAGCTGATCCAAGATGTGCTGATACCCAACCCAAATAACCAGGATAATGTGTGCAAACACGTCTTCCCATGCGACTAGGATATTTATAATTACAGTAAGCCGAAGGGAAAGAATGGCAGACAGTTTCCTGTCACATGAGGAGGACCTTAAATTGAATACAAAGTAGTCGCTTACCGATATGCGCGTAGGCACTTATACGTGAATATTGTAGTACTTGAGGTACGATGTCACGTATAAGGTGTAAGAGCCTGGAAGGCAAGAGTGGCTACCAGTCTTCCACTATCGAATCATGTTCCTTATTCCTTATGTGATGGAGGAATAAAAAAGTAATATAGGGCCTTTGGACAGAATAGTTCGTTAAACCAAGGCCCTCACTGGCTGGGATTTTTTTGTAGATCATATTAGGAGCATGACTGGTGCAGGAACCACAGAGGTTGCAGTACTTGCTGGAAGCTGGCATAGCTAGTCGTATTGACAATATCTTACTCCCTTCTTAGCACTATTGAATTGTTGAAGGCGCTAAATAAACTCCGTGGCTAGTATATGTACGTCAGTACAAGCACTCCGCTATCTTTTGCTGATCATGCAAGGTTTCTATGGCTTGACTCGATCAGGTAACTCTTTCGTTGGTCCCTGTGTTGCCAAGAAATTGCATCTTCTCCTGCACAACGACGCTGCATGCTAGGTGATTTCGACACGCTGCAACGTCGTAGACTCACTCCCTACTCTTATTACTTGGTCAAAACAAAACTACAGGTACTCACTTTGAAGAATCCTGAGCTGAATATCCTTGTCTAGGCTGATGCAAAGTGTTCTTTAAGTTTAGATTGTATCAGCCAGTGGCAGTCTCTTCCTCCGTCTCCAAGATCATTCATAAACCAACAAATCCTTCTACAAATTCAATACCCGTTGTTGCTCAGGTCGTCTTCGATATCGGTATTTGGCAGGGAATCAAATGAATATGCTTCGAAGTCGAAAAAGAGCTCTGAATCTGATCATTGCTCCAATGGCAAATAGGGTTCGCAGCCCCTTCTCATGATAAATACCTGGCTGCATAAAATCGAGTGACGCACCACATCTTCGGCTTCAAATTGTCGAGAAAAGATGGAATGTATTCCATCTTCCACTCATAGGAGATCGGGAGTATGGTATTTGGTTCGATCGGTTCGATTGATTTCCCTGACCTCCCTGGCCTCCCAATCTACGGGCATCAAATTCGTTGCTTTGTTAAGTCTCAATATGAAGAAGTGTGTTATGGGATGAACCCCTAGCGATAGACTCAGGGGCCAAGGCCCCATCGTAGGACCCACAGAACCTACTAGACGCGCTAGAGGTTAGGAAGGAAGAAGTATATAAGAAAGAGTACACAAGAATGCAGAAGCTAAGAAAGACTTCTCTCCTCAGAGAAGTCTTCTTGTTCATAGAGATAATAGACGTCAGAGTGTAGCATTCGGTCTAGACCCATTACATTAGACTTCTCTCAATATGACACAACCATCGTACGAAGACTTCTTGGCTCAGTTTCAAGAATTGAACACGATAGTACATGCACTTCGAGAAGAAAACCAGTCATTACGAGAAGCGATGCTCTTGCGACAAACACCAACCATCGCAGACCCCCAAACTCCACAGCAGTCAAGTACGGTACCACAACGACCCCGCGCCCGACTACCAGACCCTACCCCCTTCTCTGGAGAAGATCCTGCGCTATACCCACAATTCGAAGCCAAATTGGCGGCAAAGATCGAAGTGGACAAAGACGCTATTGGTAACAACTATCAGCTTATGTGGTATGCTTTTAGCAGGCTGGAAGGGAAAGCAGCCGCTCGAGTTTTGCCATGGATACAGGCGAAACAAGAGACAGATCCGAACAGCCTGACTTGGGATACGTTTAAAAGCTTCCTTCGAACGACTTTTTCGGACCCTGAGCGCCGTACGAAGGCTATCAGTCGGCTCAACACTATCAAACAACGAGGAAAGGGTTTGACAGAGTTCCTTGGAGAATTTGACCAATTACTACTCGAAGCGGGAGGACTCACGTGGGACGACGAAGTGAAAAAAGGATATCTCAATTCGTCTCTAAATGTGGAAATTCTGAAAGGGTTGGTCGGTACGCAAGAGGCTGCGTCGTACGAGGATTATTGCCGACAATTACAGAAGATTGACGAGCAAATCAAGAAGGTCAAGCGAGCGGATTGGAAGAATACCAAACGAGAGAACAGAAAAGAAACATCTGAAGCAGAAATAATGGAATGGGAACCAACCCAAGCAGCCTTTGGCAGTCCGAGAGGCTACGAAAACCATCGAAAATTGGGACTCTGCTTTCGTTGCGGAGGGAAGGGCCACAAAGCGATGAACTGTGACGCTAAGGTCATTACGAAGAACAGTCTGCCCCAGAACGAACAACGTGTAATACGAGGAGAGTCGGGAAAAGAGAGCCCCTAAGTCGAAGTCGTGGCTTAGGGAAGAACAAGAGCGAAACTCATACCGTACGAGACCAAGAGGAAAGACCAGATAAGAATATGGACGCAGTCCCTTTCTTAATAGAGTGTCTAGTTAATAAGACCGCATTCGCGCACACACTCGTCGATTCGGGTTGCCTTTCCTACGGTATTATTAATGAGCGTTTCGTACGACAGAATTCACTCGAACGCATACCGATACCGCCTCGACCGGTCGATGGACTTATTGGATCGGGGTATTTCCGCGAAATCACTTGTATAAACCTAGATATTGACGAACACCATGAGAAGCAAGTACGCCTCTATATCGCGCCTAGTACATTGGGGTACGATATGATTCTTGGCAAGGCTTGGCTAAGCAAACAGAAGGTGGAACTTCGCTTGGGAGAAGAAGTGATGTGCATTCGCTCAACAGGAACACGAGTACAGAGTCTAGGAAAAAGACGACCCGCCTCTTCATACGACTATGCAGCAATAGGAGCCATCGGGTTCGGACATTGGATGAAAAAGGCTCGATCCCCTGGAAACAAGATACAGGTTTTCTCGGCAAGCATGGCAGATATCGAGAAGGCTCTCCGTAAAAAGCCGAAAACGAATCCCAAAGAAAAGCTCCCACTACAATACCGCGAATTCCTCCCTTTGTTTAAAGATCCAGAAGGCAGTCCATTACCCCCACTTCGAGGAAAAGGGATCGATCATAGTATCGAACTCGTGCGAGAAGGGGAGAAAGAACCAGCAATCCCGTGGGGGCCGCTGTATAAAATGTCACGGGAGGAGCTGTTGGTGCTACGGAAGACCTTAACCGAATTACTGGATAAAGGGTTCATCCGAGTCAGCCACTCGCCAGCGGCAGCGCCTGTGCTTTTCGTACGAAAACCGGGAGGAGGGCTACGGTTTTGTGTCGACTACCGAGCCTTGAATAAGATCACTAAAAAGGATCGTTACCCCCTTCCGCTTATTCATGAGACTTTGGCACAGATCTCGAAAGCAAAATGGTATACGAAGCTAGACGTCTCTGCTGCGTTCCATAAGATACGAATTGCCGAAGGCGACGAATGGAAAACGGCCTTCCGTACGCGATACGGCCTATTCGAATGGCTTGTTACCCCCTTCGGCCTGGCAAACGCACCAAGCACGTTCCAGAAGTATATTAACTGGGCCTTACGGGAGTTCCTCGACGAGTTCTGTTCGGCATATATCGACGACGTTCTCATTTATACCGACGGAAGCCTGGAACAACACCGTACGCACGTTATGAAGGTACTTCAATGTCTGGCAAATGCTGGTTTGCAACTAGACATAGACAAATGCGAGTTCGAAGTCACAAGAACGAAGTATTTAGGCTTCATTCTGGACGTAAAAGGCGGTATCCAGATGGACCCTGAGAAGATCCGAGCAATTCAAGAATGGGAAAGACCTACTTCCGTACGAGGCGTGCGAAGCTTTTTAGGATTTGCCAATTATTATCGGAAATTTATTAAGGATTTCTCTCGAATAGTGACACCACTTGTACGGCTGACAAAAGACGGCGTGCCATTCCACTGGGGACCAGATTCGCAACAAGCGTTTGACTACCTTAAGGACCTGTTCACGCAGGAGCCGGTGTTATTGCAGTTCGACCCCGATCGCACGACAATACTTGAGACAGACTCTTCGGGGTATTGTATCGGAGGAGTCTTATCACAATACGACGAAAAGGGGCTTCTTCGCCCTTGCGCCTACTACTCGAAGAAGATGTCGCCTACAGAGTGCAACTACGAGATTTACGATAAAGAAATGCTAGCAGTTATTCGTTGCTTGGAAGAATGGGATGCCGAATTACGATCCGTACGAGAGTTTACAGTTATCACAGACCATAAGAACCTGGAGTATTTCATGTCTCCTCGGAAGCTAAGCGAAAGACATGTTCGATGGGCGCTAATCCTTAGCCGATACAACTTTCGAATCGAATATAGAGCTGGCCATCAAAATGACAGGGCAGATGCCTTATCTAGACGAGAACAGGATATGCCACGAGACTCGAGCGACGACAGAATTCAATACCGGGAGTTCCAATTATTAACCCCAGAGATGCTCGGTCGGATGCAGCATCCAATCAAAGTAGCAGCTATCTCCTTTTCTACCCCCGACCTCCAGGCATTATGGGAAGAAGGCGTTCGGCAGGACGACACGTATCGTACGATTGTGCAAAGCCTAAAGGACGGCGCCCGAAAGTTTCCGCCGTCGCTACAGCTTAAGGTATCAATATCCGAGTGCTCCTTGAACAAAGATGGCGAACCCCTCTTCCGTGACCGGCGTTGGGTGCCAGAACATGAACCGCTCCGTACGAAGCTCGTTTCGGAAGCCCACGACAACTTACTTGCTGGCCACCCGGGCCGCCATCAGACATATACGACACTCGCTAGGGAATTCTTTTGGCCAGGAATGGGCCCTTTTGTACGAAGATACATTAAGAATTGCGACGTTTGTGGCAGATCGAAGCCTTGGAGAGACCAGAAACAAGGACTTCTTAAGCCGCTACCAGTACCAGATAGGATTTGGAAAGAAGTATCGGTGGACTTTGTTGTTGATCTGCCAGACAGCTTTGGATGTCGAAACATAATGGTTATAACCGACAGACTAAGTAAAGGCGTAATAATTGAGCCTATGGCGGATATTACAGCAGAATCGATGGCATGGGCCTTTGTACGACGGGTTATTAGCCAACATGGATTGCCTTCTGCCATCACCTCAGACCGAGGAAGGCAGTTCGTAGGTTTTCTCTGGAAACGTATATGCCAACTGCTGGGGATTGAACAACGGCTTTCTTCGGCCTACCACCCGGAGACGGACGGAGCTACAGAACGGATGAACAGCAACGTTGAGGTATTTCTACGATCATATGCTGCCGAATATCAAAAACGATGGGCTGCACTATGCCCGATTGCCGAGTACGCATTGAATGCCCGCACGTCGACCACCACTGGCCTTAGCCCGTTCTTTCTGACACACGGTTACCATGCGTCCCCGTTTGAGTCTAAAGAACATATAAGTGATCGTGCAATATCCTCTCAGCACAGCCCAATTCGACGCGGAGAAGCGATTGTGGAAGCAATTACAAAAGCATCAGCATGGGCGCAAGCCGCCATGGCCGAGACGCAACAGGAGCAGGAGGCATACGCTAACAGACACCGCACGGCAGCGCCCCAATACAAGGCAGGAGATTCAGTATGGCTCACGTTAAAGAATTCTGCTATAAACGATCGAGGGAAGTTAGACTGGAGAAACGGGAAGTTCAAAGTCAAAGACGTTATCGGGTCACACGCCGTACGACTTAATACCCCAATAGGGGCCGAGCCAGTCTTTCACGTAAGCCGCGTACGACCTGCTTCAGGAGACCCCTTGCCCAGCCAGCCACAGGATGACCATCAACCGCCTCCAGTAAGGATAGACGGACAAGACGAGTACTATGACGTTGAAAAGATACTGGCTATGGAAAAGAGGAGACGAGGACGAGGTTGGCAGACCTTTTACAAGGTAAAATGGGAAGGATACGCTCAACCAACGTGGGAACCCGCTTCAGCCCTCGAAGGCACCATCGCCTTAGAACAATGGAAGCAGCTACGCCACCGGGCTCAAGAAGGGGGGGAGTAATGTTATGGGATGAACCCCTAGCGATAGACTCAGGGGCCAAGGCCCCATCGTAGGACCCACAGAACCTACTAGACGCGCTAGAGGTTAGGAAGGAAGAAGTATATAAGAAAGAGTACACAAGAATGCAGAAGCTAAGAAAGACTTCTCTCCTCAGAGAAGTCTTCTTGTTCATAGAGATAATAGACGTCAGAGTGTAGCATTCGGTCTAGACCCATTACAAAGTGGAAGCGATGGACTCTTTGGCAGGAGCTGACTACCGTGTGGAGAAGACTGTCCCGACGCTATAGTTCAAAATGACTTTGTTACGATCAGGCAGGCCTTAGCTCAAGCTGGTGAAAGACTGCAGATCTGAGGCTCGGGGGTCTTTCTTTAGACGCCTCTCCTGTTGGTCATCTCCTGGATGTGCTATTAATGGCGCCAGAGGTCGGTTCTGGATCTAGGCCTCATGACAAGATCCAGCTCGTTGGAAAGAACGGTCGTATACTCTGTCTCTGCACGCTATGTTTTGATAGTCCCTCCATAACGTTGTGTTGTTCTTGCGAATAACGTTTATAACATTTTGAACGTTGCGAAATTCAGGTGTTTCAGAACAATATAGTCGTGTTACACCCATCGAGCTCTCAATTTCGAAGAACCCCCCTTTTTGACTCATCTTGGCATCTGTTCAGGCGATGTTAACACACGCGTTTCCCTAGACAAATACCATTCTGCGAGTTTCACGATCTATACCTTCTTTGTCTTCTTGAATAATACACAAGGAGTCAATCCAGAGGCAGTCAATTCCAAGAGCTTGAGTCACTTGCACGGCATGTTGTATAGTCTTGGAAAATGCATTCGGGTCGATTTAAAGCTCAAATTCGGTGGGTGTCGAGAGAGATCGGTAGATGCCTGTAGATGTACGTATGGTAATATCGCTACCTCGTCGGTGATGACCTCATCGCCGCATTTCTGCAAGTCAATCATATACACCCGAGCTAAATGATATTATGCCCATCTTTTTCAATCTGGAGATTTCTTCCTTGAATGCCGAACTTGCTTGACCTGGCGGCTAAAATTGATGGCCCTCAATGATTTCTCAGCCTTTCTTCGCTTCAGCCTTGCTAATCGGCGGCGCCTTTGCGACTCATTGTCATCGAAATCTGAGTCATACGTAGCCTCATTCTGTAAATCATGTTTGTCAAGCCCACCTAAGGAGGTGCCGATTGGAATGTACACTCCAATCGGTTCCGGTGAATATATTGGTTGCAATCTCTGCGTCACTGAACTTGTGTAGCTAGGGGAAATTTGCGGAAGCATCGAAGAATCCCTCTGTTTCGTCTTCTTGGTGGTCGTGGATGTCCATTTCGTTGTAAAGGACTCGATAATGAGATTTGATTGTACTGCCTGGTAATGTGGCATAACGGAGTCTGTGTCACAGTGATCGCCGTCGCTTATTTGTAGTTCATTTAATATCGTTGACCAGTCAAAATTGATCGTTCCATCATCTGTTTCTTCGAGGGTACACCATTGTGGATTGTGTCCTTCGGAGTTGTCTAGTTCAATAGTAGTCAGTAGCTGATATCTTGTTATGATGGCGACTCCGGCCAGGCCGAAGTACTACTTAGGCTTCAAAGGAGGAATCTAATTTTACCCACCTGTTAATGTCTGGTTGTATTGTGTAGCCACTGGTGGTACTTGGACTGGATTGGTCTGCAAGATGGACCAACCAATGATTAGTGAGTGAAACAAACTGATTTTTCAGGTGATATCATACCAAATTAAGGGCATATTGACGGTGGTAGCAGTCGACCACATTCTGAGAGTCTTCTCCAAGCATAGCTATGAAAGATCCCAGGCAGGGCAGTAGATGGGCGGTAGAGGTTCGTTCTTGCGCAATCAGCGAGAGACAGTGTTTATATACCCTTGCTAGAGCCAGGTAAGGCCCCACCAATTTATATTCACTCAGAAGAGATAGATGATGCCTAACCCCTGCCGCCAATTTATGGACTATCTTAGTTGGAGGATCGACCGGCGTTGTGTCATGGAGAAAATTTGGCAGTACAGATGACCCCCACCTGAAAATGCTAGGAGCCTACAGGTGATGTTCTTAGCTGACTGTAAACAACATATGGGCATTGAGATATACCGAGCCTGCTTGGCTAACTAGTAGTAGTGCAATCTACAGCGCTTCCTACCGGATCTGCAGGACAACTTAGAGAAAACCAGAGGGAATGAGAGCTGAGAAAGGTACTTGCAGAGGTGCAAAGGTTGAACATCGTCAAGGGGCTACTTTTTCCCTTGTACTCCGCCCGACGACTGTTACGACAATGCGAGTGTCACTTCGGAATTTGATCAAACGAGCTTGTACGACAATTGGAAGGCTCTGCTTGACTTTGATTGCCGTGAGCATGTCTCGATCATTGTGGCATAATCAAGGATTCGGATCAACCCAGTCCAATCGCAAAGATACCTACAAAGGAAAGTCTGCTGTAGATAACTACAGTAGACATATATGACAGACCATCCCCCATCTGAGCAGCTAGATAACATGCATCCCAATAGATCACATCTTCACCCACTGATTGATTAGTCACCACTGCAACACCTCTCACATGATTAGTCGTCGAGGATATGCCAGGTCTCCAAATCAAAACCAGTTGATGAGCCATAATAAATTTCGCATGAGTCTTGAGTCCATCACGCTACACTTCGTCGCCGGATCTCCATTGGTACGAAACCTAGCAATCGACAAAACTCGTCTTTACTAATGTCCACGCCCACATGTTTCTCACCGTCGAACCTATGGAATGCTTTGGCAAGGCGATCGAGACCTTCTTGCGAAAAGCACATAGCTTCTTTGCCAGGTTCTACGCTGAAAATAACTCTTGTGCGATGCCTTTCCAACAGAATAAGGATTCCGAATAGGCTGTTCGCTAAGGGCGTAAGAAGTTCATCCATATATTCAACTTCTTCTAGAAACTCCAATTGATCTTTGAGGACATGGCCACAAGAGTCCAGCATAACGGAATCGAGATGTAAGATTCTTTCTTGCGGTAGTGTATCGACGATATATGCAATGACTTGGCGCAACTGGCTCTCTGGCAAATCATGAGTGCTAAAAATAGAACTGCCCGATCCCTGCTCAGAGGAATGATAACGCTGAGGTATCGGGGTGATGACTTGGATTCTTTGATTGAGAGCGAAAGATAGGTCTGGGGGCGAAGCCATGGCTATGACGACATGGATGGTAGTCGTCCCTAGCTTCAGGAATTTCTTCGTCTGAGCACTAGTCCTATAGAACGCGATCGGTTCGAGTGATTGTAGGTTTTCTTGTGAAGATCTTGCTTTAAACAGGTATGGAGGTAGGTATTAAATATCGGAGTGTAAAGAGGGTTGTGCAAATATCGAAAAAAAAATTTAGGTGGGAGGGACAGAGGTATGCAATTTTAAACTATTTATGAAAAACACACGGCCTACTAGTTCGGCATCGTTATTGTTCCGAATCTCTCAGCTTGTGATGCACATTGGCATACAAGAATCTCCGGCAGCCTAAAGATTACTGTACATAGCACGAATCTGAGCAGTGAATCTGGCACCTGTGGCTATTTGAGGCGAAATTTCTAAGCAGTGGAGGACACATAAAGAGTCCCAGACCCCCAGCAAATACACAAACAATAGAACTCCGTCAAGTGATGCGCCAGCACGCTTCGAGACACCAAGAGAAGTCACCACAGACGGCACTTCTCACAAGCTCTCTGGATTCTGCTCTTCCGGGTATAAAGGTATAACTTTTCTTGTTCGGAATATTGTTGCATTGTTGTCTTTCCAGCAGTCATAAGCAGGAAGTAGTTGTTTGCATCGTAATCTTGGAAGATGAACGGCAAAGAGATTTCTGACAGCTCAGAATAAACATGTAATATTAGGAAACCTTCAAGCAATAGGATAAACAGTCGTCGTCCGGCCCACACTTACTAAAAGACATTGTGGTAAATATATACTGTACCTGCTATTTTGAAAAGGAGCCGCAACACGGACGTTGCCAATTGCCATATGAGACTCAGGAACGACTCTAGTGGTAAGAGAACGCTATTTGTAACAAGGTCAAGACCGCGCTCGTAATCTGTCTCGGAGCCATTCCTGCATCCATGATCAAGTGCACGACTCAGTAGCCCAAATGCCTTTATTGACCTCTATGATTCGTATTTCTTGCGCCTTTTTGTGTTTCCAGTACAAATGACAAGCATGGCTCGGGGTTAAATCAGGGTCAGCTCCGGTCAATTCTGACACTTGCAAGCTGGGGCCAGACCCTATTGTGCTGGGCGCGGTCAGACCAGTGCGGCTTCAGACCCCAAATTAGGACCTGTCGTCGGCAGCCACTTTTGAGTTAGCCCATTTCACATTTTGGACGGATTGGAACAGAAGAGGGGAGCACCAGTCGATTGATCATGTCTAGAACATAGATTTCACATACACTTCTGCAAGCCAAATGGGGCCTACCTTAGGTGGCAGGAAAAAGAGCGACGCGAGAAGGAAAAGCTCATGCGCCAAAACCAGCCAACGACACTAGATGAATACCTACCGAAACTGCGAAAACTACCTCTACAAGAACTTCAAGCTTGCCGATAAGTCTATATTTTCGACAGGATCTGCAAGAGTCGATGGCAAATTCTACCCAAAATGGCGTCGTCCTTGGACCCTGTTTGCAGACCTACTACGCCAACAACAGTTTGATGTGACCAAAGGGCCTGTGGAAGCGAGCGACTCTTTAACTAAGAGAGTAGTACCCGAGACATAGGAGGATATATCTCCTACAAGCTGGAGGGCAACGAAAATGCGGTCACCTACTTCGAAAAAGTCGCAGTCGAGGATCCCACCTATGCCATTCTCTAACATCTGGGAAGCCAAGAAGCAATACGTACGAAATATGGATTCAGCGACCTGCGATTCTGCGACAACAACCGCGAGATGGCGCGAGCAAGCGGTGGAACCGAACTACCGAATGAGGAGGATCTGGATAACGAAGGGCCGGAGCAGTGGCCGAGGACCGGGCCGAAGCACGGATTGCCATGGCGCTCACCCAAGTCTTTGACTACATGGTCAACTACAGGGTTGCGTATGGCTATGTTGCAACAGGCGAGTCCCTGCTGCTATTTCACGTCGACTGAGCCGATCCACAAACGCTCCTTTGCCATCCGTGTGTGCCAAGTAAAGATGTTGGGCGACACATCGCTCGGAGATTGGGCCGAAAAGACGATATATACAGCAGTGGCCCAACTGAGCAGCTTTTGCTTGTCTCCAATCCGATGCGCTTCAAGGAGCTTTCTTCGAAGCAACTCTGGAGAGCGCGGAGGCGGCCTTGAAGAAGTGGGCAGAACCATACGAAGACGCCGCGCGTTTCTTCTCGGCAGAGGACACGGAGTCGTCGCTGGCGGTGTCGTCGTCGCCGCTGCGACGAGCAGATGAAGATTTTACTCCAAGGCAGCCCCGACTGCTCTGGCAGTCTCCTTGCAGTCGAAGTCATTATGTGGGACCCCGGCGTTGCCTCACCGGGACGACAAGAGCGAGGAAGATGGAGGGCCAGAAGGTGGCTTGCCTCCGTCGTGGACGAGGCCGGTGGGCAAGCGGAAGGGCGGTCCGTCGTACAGCAGCTCCGAAAAAGATGTCGAGACGCGCCATTCAGCGGCTTCCAGGAAATACTGCTCGCAGGCATGCCTGTTAGGCCTCAAGAAGGGCGGGGACCTTGATGACGGCTGCCCCAATGTGCTCTCACATCATATCGCTAGCGGAGACGGCCTGCGGCACCCTGTCGCTGCCGACCAGTTCACTCGCCTGGTCAGTGAGCAGCTGCGCGAGAACCCGTACAAAGATTGCTATGCATTAGACGGGAGGGGTAAGAAGGGAGCGATTGGCGTGCTATTCGAACTAGAACTTACACCATACGGCTACACATTCGTCGGCACGGGGACGTTGGCAAATGGTCCCAAGCGTCTGCAACACGAGTGGCGCGTCTACACGCGCTTGGATACGCTCCAGGGCTGCGTAGTGCCTGTGCATCTGGGCCTGGTGCACCTGGATAAAGGCTACGTCCTACCGGCGGAACGAGGGCGGTTCACATGATGCTCATGTCATGGGGCGGCGAAAGAGCAGCGGACGCAGGCATGGACGCAGCAGATCTGGAGGCGCAGAGGCATCGCTCGTCATGGGATGTCTGGACTGAGGGCGTCAATCACAGCGACGAGCGGGATGCCCACCTGCTCTGGAACGCCCAGTGCCGTCGTGTCATGCTCATTGACTTTGATCGCGCTGTCCTCCGAGCAGCTCCCAAACATCAGCAGCTCTCTGCGGTATCTGGGACGAAGAGGAAATGTGGTCCTGGATTACCTGGAAAGTTTTCCTCGGAGGCGTGATCTGCTCTACAGTCGCCTACAGTCTGCGTAGCTAATGTCGGGGTATAAGGAAGCTTCGGAAGAATATGCCGAGTTGTATGAAGTGAAGAATGATGCTGCTAAGTTCTAATGAGCTTTAGGACGTGTGATCTCGCCGCAAGCTGGTGCAGTAGCAGATTACCCATCATTCGCCACAGTCACATACATTGAGACGTTACGAAGTGAGTATGACAAACTAGACAAGCCTGTGTGGCAATGACACAAGATGGGGTTTTGAATACTCTCTGTCCTAAAAGCTCTGTATTGGAATTTGTGTTGAAAGACACATCTCTTGTATTCACTACTTAACTATCTACAGCGTCTCTACATTGGCTCTGTCATCCTGTTAAGACTAATACGACCACAGTCTCGGCCAGGACAAACAGGTTCGTAGCCAGCACCACGGACAGATTGCCAATACACAGGAGTGGACATCTGCGACCCCCGTCAAGTTTTGGAAGATAGCAGCTCAGGGCATCGACACTAATCGCCGCCGTCAATACGGGGTTAAAGGCAGGGTCGCGATTGTCGTCATTACCGACGACTGGCATAAGCCGGGTTGAGGGGACCGTAGTAACTGCTTCACCACCAGCTACCAAGTTCACTACCTCCATGCTTTCTGGCGAAGTTCTAGCTGCCAACCATTTCGTCGAGCTCACGTCGCATGCTTTAGAGTAGATTCATTTCAGGACCAATCGCATCTGAGAGCTCTCTTGGATGGAGATGACCTTTTTGCCAAAGAGCCGGATATCCCAAGGAGGAAGGATGAGCAGCCCGGTGGGCAACATGGCAGTGCAACGAGCTCAACTCTCAGCGAGGTTGGAAATGAGGAAGGCCATTTGAATATAAATTGGACGCCACCGACCTCTCCATGATGGCTTCGTTCTTTGTCTTCTTCTTCACCTTACTCTTCCGACCTTACGTGACTCTCAGTCTTGCCACCCATCCCATCTTTTCTTCAAAAAACACCAGCAACAACGACAACAGCAATAAAATGGATAAGGGGTTGCTTCATTCTGTCTATTGGATTGACTTCAGCCGAACCGAGGATGATAGTGTGACAGCGGTCGACGAGACAACATGTCTCGAAGGCAGCGACAGCATGGTTGAGATAGACGGGGATGCGAGCCCCTATTTGCCATGGAGGGATGGTCAGACTCCAGAGGACTTTTTCGACATCGAAGCATATTCATTTGATATGCAGTCACAATCATCGGAACATGTACAAGGCCACACATATTGTCAGTCTCTGTCATCTACGAACACCGAAGACGTACAGAAAGAAGGAATGCACCACTCATCGCCCATGCTGGAACAAGATAGCACAGAGTTTGGCGACGTCCTCGACATGAACTACATCATGGCTTCGTCCTCCGAAAGCAGTGACGACCATCTGGCAGAGTTCACATCATGTCTAAGCCCAGGTACTGGCTCGAATTTTGTCGGCAACAACTTTTGTGTCGACTGTTCTCAGGGCTGTTCGAATTATGACGGAAACGGAGAGCTTCAACGGTCACAAAATATTGTCACCCCTGCCAAGAGGGGTACCGACGACGTAACTGACGAGACCTTGTCGGAAAATGATAGGCCAAAGCGACGGAAGACTACCTTCGAGAACAAGCCAAAGAACAAGACAAAAAATTGGGCTTGGAACAAGGTTTATATTCACCTGGAAATGATAGAGTTCATGGTGGATGGCTCCCAAGAACACTTTCACTGGAAAACTCGAAGCCGGCGGTGGTCTAGCGGGAATGGTGCGCTTCGGACTCTGGAAGACCTTGCGAGCTACGTATTGGCACGCCTACCCTGGGTCTCCGTTTGGGTGCGGCCACGTGGAGATGGGTTTCCTGTACAGGTGTTTTGGGATGAAAATGAGCACAATTACGTCGGACGTAATGGGATGTGTAGGAAGTCCCTGCGTATCAGCTATGCAGAGATGGCGAGGTTACTCATGTGTCCTCACGAAAGCTTCTTTATCAGTGAAAGTTAATTTCGCGTCACGAGTCCTACATACCGTTTTCTATCTATTTTCGTGATAAAATACCTTGCCGGAAAAGTAAAGGGTCCATATGAACACAGAAGAGGTCGTGGGTTTCTCGGATGAACTGACAAGTCCTGACTTCTTCGGGCTTCCCCTAGTTCCCGAAGCAGATGTTCTTGCAGAGTACAGGTATCAGCTGATACGACTTGAGTGGCGTAACAAGAAGAGAATGGAGTGGGAGGCAGCTAAGGATGACCAGGCGCAATAACTATGGGAACACAACTACGAAGGAGATAACAAAGTGGTTATATTTAAAATTCCCAGATTCTCGGGTCCGAGAAAACACTAATATTCTCCAGATAATCTGCTCCATAAGTGCGCAGATTTCAAGCTCAAGTAAGAACCATAATAACATAAACCCGGTAGCCTTCCTCTATCATATGGCAGAAGCTAATCCAGAGCACCCTGCATTTCCCAAGGCGAGAGGTAAGTCTATGCCTACGTCTGTACAAATTTTGCAATATGTCATACGTCATGGCATGACATTTCCGATCTCCAACGAGGCCTCCAGGGAGGGGGCGATTCATTTTGCATACGGCTTGAATATATAAGGCCAACGCTCCTCTGGCACTTTCGTCTGCGTTTCTTCACACAGCTCGCCCTTTTGATGATCTACAAATCTGAACTACTCGTTAGCAAACCAGCAGTCCCTTACAAACTCTTTTTCCACCAGTTTCTAGAGCGAAAAGTGAGATGCGAAAAGGGAACTCGGAATAACTCATGCATTCAAGGATGGATGGCATGCTAATGACTTTCTATTGCATGGCAGTAGTTCTGTTCACTGGCGTCATCCTGTGGGAAAAAACAATCTCGATTCCGACTTACTACGGTGGTCCTTGCGCTTCTGGAACTGTACACATGTACTTCTCCAATTCATTTAAGTTTCGAAGGATACTCGACGGCGGCAGTAGTATATATCCAAGTGTGAGTACGACCCGGGAGCTACAAATTATTAACACCAATATTAACATAACGGTTCAGACTGTGTTCAATTTTGAGTTCCTATCGAAGACCGACCGTTTCATATGCGATGCTTTGCAAATGAAGCCAGATGCCGTCACCATGGTTCCTTACAAAGACTGTGGCTTGTGACTTCTTAGTCTACACAGTGAACTCTCGTGCACTTCTTGGTGATGTCGAGGCAATCGCTCGATCTGCGGCCAGGAAGCTTGGATAACCTCTACCATTTATGATCATTGCATTCAATGCTCCAGATGTTGCGGAAGAGAAATTTATCGACAAAGAAGATGTGAAGTTCCTTGGTAAAACCCTGTTGACCTTGTGAGATGGAGTGCGTGGAGCTAATGCACAAGTCTAGGTGGAAGTAGACATATGTCGTACCAGAACGTATACAAATGTTTAGGTAGCGTTGACCACTATTTGGTCGCGCTTGGCTGCTATGCCCGAGGACCATGACAGCCAGATACCTTCCATACGGCGCGCCGTAAGGCCTCAATGGACGCGAAGCCGCGCCGCCCGCTCAACGATATCTTCGTCGCGGTTCGACGACCAGAGCCTGATTGTGACGCTACAGCACGAAGCCGACTACGAAGTTACTCCCTTCGACGCACAGCCGTACCGTGCCTGGGCGTCCAGCGTCAGGGCCGGGTTGGGCCCTACCTTCTCACACATCTACTAGGGCACATTTTGGTAGCCATAAACGGAACATTGGCCATGACTCTGCGCAGCCCGCTCGCCGAGATTTTCGTCGCGGACGAACAACGAGAGCGGGATTGCGGTGCTACGGCACGGAACCCGTCACGAAGTGACCGCGACGAGAACCTCGTGGCGCCAACGATGTTGTAAACAGCGTCACGGCTGGGTAGGAGACCAGCACTAGCGCTGAGGCCAAGGTGTCTGCACCCGCAACGTCGAGGTGGCCTCACCTGTTCACATATCTACTAGGGCACGAGTTGAGGTAGCCATAAATGCAACATTGGCCGTGAAGCCGCGCCGCCCGCTCGCCGATATCTAGGTCATGGACACGTCATCCCACACGCCTTAGCGAAGCATACACGATGTGCTACAATATAGCACGTACATCCCTTACCGTATATCAAGCCGGCTTGCCCACTGCTTTCGATGTCCCGCCTACCTAGCGCCTGGCCGTTTAGCCCGAGACCGGCACTGCCCAGCCATTCCAAACGCAAGGCCCGAAACCAACCAGTGCACCATTATCTCGCAAGCCATCAATCCATCCGTCGCCATCCACGAAGACACCACTGACCAACCTGATCGACCTGTTTGGATTCACTTGATACGCGCTCGACAGTACGGATGCCGAGCAGAGGTAGTTGCGGACAGTAGTTGCAAGGGCAGTCCGGCTTGCATAGAGCATGGTTATGTCTGGTTAACTTTGGCGCGACATTGGCCAGAGGCCAAGGCACCGGACAGCGGTCTGCGTAGGGGCAATTCATCTTCATCTTTGTTATCCACGGTTTCATCAATGGTTGATGGGCGGTGGTCTCGGTTTGCCCGTCTGAGCGGCATGGTCCCGAGGCCTGACGCTCCTTTGGGCTCCAGGCTGCAGAGCTTAGTCTTAGGCAAGGCGGACCAGGCGGTGCTAACTTGAAAGCTGAGCGCGGATATGGCAGATTTCTTTTGGACAGGTTACTGGAGATGAAGAGGAGAGCTACCGACGATGGGTTCTTGGACCACGGGGAATCGTCGTGTCCAGCTTGAACAGGTCTGAAACACGAAAGTAAGGCACGGGACAGATTGTATTAGGGAAATAAGCCGCCCAGTAACATATCAACCAATCAGACCGTGGCTGTCCCGTACAACTCGACCCCACGCTTATCGGCATACGTAGCCTATCAGATTGACAGCTCAGATGATCCTCGCTTTCTCCCAAAGTGCGTTGGCCTCGTTGATACAGACAAGATCAAAACCGGCTTCCTCCTTTTGTCTCTCTCTTTTCTTCTCTAAGCACAGACAATCTATTTTTGGCTCTGACCTGTACGTATACCCTAAGTACTCTTTTAAACCGTATCAATTCTGATTCCAAGAGTGTGGGCTTTAACCAAGCTCTTTCGCACTTATTGATACACCCACTGCTACACATCAATTGTACATTATCGAAGATAGACTTTGGGCACCGAATATATGCGTTCATGGCTGAAAAGGGCATAATTTCAAGTTCCATGGTACGACAAAGGTGCAAAAGTGTACTTCCGAGTGGGAGCCAGAACTGGACTGTCCGTGCTCAAAGAGAAGAGAAGAGAGAGAACGAGAGGAAGCCGATTTTGATTCTGTCTGTATGACTTTTACATTTATCTATTGTTTCCCCCAGCCCACCAATGTAATATCGTAATACAGAGAGCAGCGGCAACACTTGGTTGATCAAGCCTCTGAAGTAGGCTACCTCTTGCCGTAATCTTCCATTCTCTCGCGTGAGTTCCAACAAGCGCTGCTCCGGACTGATCGGCGATTTTGCCGACTCGATGTAGTCTAAAGATGTGTCGAAGGCCGTGGTGGTGCCTCCAAGATTGCGTATCTCAATGTCTACTAGAGTCGGGGAAATGGGTGACCGACGTGACTGAAACTGTTTTCCTGTGTTCATATTTCAAGACACAGCAATCTGGTACTAAGAGGCAGAGACCCACGGTTCAGAACATCCCTATAACCTGTATCGAATATACAGTAACAACTGTTTCTGGACCATTGTTCGCTATCACAATGATCCAAGAGTGGACTGTCCAGCTGGAATTATAGCACTCAAAAATAGGATTCTCATACTGTAATGTCGTCAGTGAATCCGTTTTATGTCCATGACAGACTGCGGTGCCGTGATTGTCCAGAAGTGACAATTCTAAGACTGGAAGGCAGTTTGCCGTCATTTCTACATGCTCCAACACCCACTTGTGTCCCATGATAGGTTACCGGCACCGCTAGGGGCAGGCCTATACTGTACAGTACCCTTGATTGTCAGGATTGTATTGTATGTTCACAATGGGGGCTGCACTGTGGAAACTACAAGCTAGCGAGAGGAGTCAATTTTGTATATGCCACCGCCTGAATATATAGACAAGGAAAAAGAAAGCAAAGTACTGTACTGTACAGTACAATAGATTGGAGGTGTCTCGTCACGCATATTCACACGCTTTCGTATCATTTCCCAAAATCACGACTAGAAGGGGAAGGGAACGCCGATGGCATGGAACTGCTATGTTCAGAAGTCTATGTTTAGTGGATCACAACCCCGATGTTTTTTTTTCCACGCTTATTCCTTTTGTCATTACATCTCTGTAAAGTTCATTCTATTCTCCCCACATGGAGGAGATGATTTCTTTGGGTATTCTTCACTATCGCAACGACTACTTATCTAGCCATGTCCCTTCACACCTCCCTAGATGTTTTCACTCATGACGTTATGACGACTATTAAAAAACGTCTCCGACCTTCGGTAAACCTCAAGTGCAGAAATAGTAAGGTTCCAGTCCAACAATGACAACACCTCCAATTCCATCAAATTGATATCTCCTAATGTGAACCAAGAAAGGCGGTGATTGAACCGCATATAGCTGTGCTTCTCCCAGTCTTTGTTTATTCGATAGTCATCATCTAGATATTTCGCAGTGATGATCAGACTTGCAAGGAAAATCCGGTGTGCAGTACATCTAAGCGTTTCCCTAGTAGACCCGAGCTTGGGCTTTAGACGGTCTAGATATACCGTCGTCGCTATCCACGTGAGGATGGGGACGTTTACTTCCCGAGACAGGTGAGAAATAAAGTTGCGTAGTGGCGGCGGCGTGGCTGAGCCTATTGGTTGGACTGATGTATTCAGCCGAGCGTTCCGGGGTATTGCGTTATACGTCTTCTGCACCAAGTAGTCAAGAATAGTGTCGCTGAATGGCATGTACATCATTCTTCTGAGCATTATAACTTGGACACCTGGTTCATGCTGAGGTCTCGCTAGCCGCGACAGTCCAGGTTTTCGGTGGCTTTCATTTGGATATTGCGATAATGTTCGAGCAGTAGTCAGTGTCCTTGGGATATTTGCGATCGATTTCATCATGCTCAGTCAGGTGTTCTACTGTATGGAGCTCAGCTGGTGGGATGGAGCAAAAGAGCAACTTGTCAAAGAGAACCATCGGTACTGTATGCCCTATGCTATACGGATCCAGAAGCGGCGGTTCAAAGGACGCATGGACTTCTGGAGCGGCAGATAACTCTTGACCGCCCTTTCATCCTGTTCCAATATAGGCTCAAGATTTGTTTATGGCCTCTGTGGGCAACTACCCGCAGAGTGCTAGAGCGGAAACCGGCTCGTGGTATGACATTCATAGCCACGAATTATTTTAAAGACGAAGAAACCCTGACTTCGCGGCACACTTCGACTGATTTTTTCTTACTTTGCTCCTGCTCAAGTTGTCTTAGCTCATTGAACTCAAATGGCGGACAGCCTAAAAAGCCTTGCAGGTGTTGCTACTTTGCCGCCCAGAAGAAGGCGTAACTTGTACATCAAGATGCTGATCGAGAACGACCAATCTGTGGATTGGTATTACGCCATCTCACCCAAGGTGCTCAACTGGACTTTGTTGGCAGGCTACATCGTTCTCCCTTCCACGTTCACGACCATGAATCGCTCCGAAGCTTTCAACACCATGATGGAAGATAACGAGCTTGTGCTGAAGGCATTTCAGAATCCTCCTTTACTTGGACTTGCACTGTTCTTGTTTATTGTTTCCCTGATAGGGTTGACTTGTATATGGTGGGTCTGGAAGTGCAATTATATCTGGCTCACAAACTCACTACTCGGCTTCAGCACGACCTTGCTAAACGTATACGCTGTGCGGGATGGTACATGGTCGGCCATTGCCATAGCTTCCATCACCGCAACTAGCTTCTGCTTACTCATCTCCATCCTTGCGTATACAATCTATAGTATATGGCTTTTGAAACCCATAAGAGCAGCTCGAGCCGGTCGGAACGTGGAAGGTTATAGCACGGCCGATACCGCGACCCACAGGAAAGAGTGACATGATATGGGCCAACCTCCCTAGCACAAGCATCACCTGGTAGATTAAATCCCCTGTTTCACTTTTGGAGGAGTTACAAGGCGATCAGCATCCGAATGGCAAAAGCCACCACGTTCCTCTAGATATATACACTGGCTGTATAGTGGCAATGGCTAAATATTCAGAACATGTTTCGATGTCTGTGTGAGTTCTGAGCCCTATTGGTCATAATGACGCGTTGCTTCAGAGATATCATCACTAGCTTAACCGGAATAAAATTGCGCACAAGACTTCTAGGTACGGCATGTAGATTTATGTGGGTCTACCTGTTGCTGCAAGCGCCTACCATTGTGTGGGGAGACATGCTTCCAGATCAAAGCATACTCGAGGTAGAACGCGTACAGAATCTGCTCCAAATTACCAGGTCATTCTGTTCTTGCGAGTCTTGAAGCATACTGAGGACCTTACTTGTGACTACGGTACTGATTTGAGTTTGTATTGTACGAGTTCAAATTAGGGAGCCGGTAACACTAGTGTATCGATTCATTATTCCGGACCTTATTCACTATGAAGGTGTGAAAACATGTTTTAGGTCATCCGACGCTGTACACAGTATACATATATCAAGTTTTTTCCAACCAAGGTAGAAGTTTGAGCATTATAAAAAGTTTACTTCGTCTCACTCATAGTTAACTTATCATTGTTCATGCTGTTACTTTTCTGTATAATCAAGATGGCGCAGCACATCTTCAAGCCTAATGAACGCAGAGCAGTTCGACATATACGCAGAGGCATGATACCAACAATGCATAATGATAGAGAAGAGCATCATGTCCAGCACGACAACGCAGTAGATGTGCGAACGGTTTCCGCCGGCACGTCCAAAGCCATGTCAGACCCGCAAGAGGTTGAAGACAGTAGTAAGTAACGCCAAAAACATGGCTGCAGACTACATTCTGATTTCTGGAGTAGCAGGTCGTTATCAGGCTGAGACAGGAGCCAAGAATATCTCGTCCCATCTAACCCAACAACAGATCGTTCATCACGAGCAAGAACAGCTCCCCTTGATACGGCATGATAGCACTACGAAAGACATAACTAGTCTTTCGGACGTTCTGACTGACGATGAGACCATCAGCATTAAGGCAAGCACCATAGATCCTTCATCATCTCCAATGACTTGTTCGGTCAATGAAGAGCATGATGATTCGAACGGCCCGCCTCAGTCCCCTATGTCGCCGACGCCAAGTCCACCCGCTAAGGATGGATATGCGACAAGGGGTATGATGGGAGCATTGGCAAGCCCGGGAAGTAAGAACATTTTAGACCAGCGATATTTGATCGAACAGAGAAAGAGACACTGATGTACTGTTCTAGGTCGACTGCATCATCATGGCACTGTGGGCGCACCAAAATTCTGCGCGACGTGCGGCTTCAGCACCGACGAACTACTACAGCTCTGCGAGAAAGCCTTGCAGTTTCATCGGCACGACAAGATTGCCTGGAATACGTTAGTTAATAATAGCCCTGCGGTATCTTCGCAGGAGAAGAATGCGGCCATGCTTAGGATTAGTCTCTGGGCGATCCGCGATTATGCATTGACTATGAGAAAGCGACTTGATGGCAGCGCTGCTGAAAGAAGCATAGATGGTTTCAAATTATTTGAGCCACCGATCGCGGCTTCAAGTGACAGTTCCCGAGGGACCGCCTGCACTACTCCACGAAGCCATCTGAACCAAACCTCTGATGTTGCACGTTACCCTAAAGAGAATGACAATTATTTGGGACACAGCGGCGATCAAGAATATGTAGATGTGGAAACCCGGGGAAGACCGGCCAAAAGAAGACGGGTCATGTCTCATAAGCCTTGGAGTCCTCGACAGGAGGAGACTCTAAGAGCAGGTATGGAACAAGAGCAGAGTTGGGAAGATATAGCCAGAAGGCTGGGTCGAACGCCGGCAGGGGTGAGGCAGCACTGGTGGATGATGGAGCGCAGGTTCAGTCCGAGGAAACATCAAGTCCAGAGGCCATCAGACTGATACGTCTACACTTAATGGAATATGAAGAATCACTGGCCACGAGAGGGTATCGGCAGGTAGAGCAATTGAATACCACTATCGGTATAAATACAGTATTATACATATCAGAGTTTTCACTTTCGATGTGTGAAATTGGATGTGCTTCAACTATGCTCATAAACAGTCCATGCTGCGCTATTGATCGCTAATGAACCACATCAGGCATATTTCCCGCAAGCCTTCACTCTGATTGCGCTATATACTTTACGTTGGACTCTAGCCGAACTGAATGGGTATAATGACATTATACGGAGGCTAGAATCCACGTACCCAGCTTGTCTGATTATAGTGGTCATTTCCTTCCACATGCTACAGAAGAGAAGGATTGAGTCAGCTGCATGTTGTGAATATTGGTAGGACGGGCGGATCAATATAAAAGCCGTCTGGGGCTCTCAGGCCCGCCCGGGCTGGCTTCTCCGGAGCCATTTAAACACGCTATATTGCCAGATCTCAATGGTCTCACTTCTCTGGACTTCAAAACTCCGTCTCACACAACCAGAACCTTTTGTACTAAATTCCCGGACAACCCCAAAATTGTTGAGCTCACCGAAAATATACAGTTTCATACCACACGCACATAAGTAAAGCATGGCGGTAGTAGAAAAACATCCGTTCTACCTGCAACTTGAAGATGCGCATGGAAACAATAACGACTTGCCAACTCTCGAAGAGGTCAGTATCCACAAACACTTCTTTCATATTAGTCAGGCTAAAGCTAATACTTGATAGATTTGGAATGGCGCCCAATTCCCCGGCACTCCTACCTCAATAGCAAGTTCCACTCGATATCAACCGTACATACTCAATAATCCTGTCGCTGAGGCCCATTTATCATCCGAACGAACATCAGCAGTACAGACTACGAAGAAGTCGACCAAAAAAGGAAAGGGTAGTAAGAAAAAAGAACATTGGAAGTCTAAAGGGGTTCGGAGATCCAGGCGACTTGTTGCGATCCGACGTCAAAGACTAGCATATCCTTACATTCCTCAGACAACTCTAAGAAGATCCAAGCGTATTGCTAATCAGCCCGAGGGAAAAGCTGTTTGCAAGTAAACCTAGGCGAAAGATCTCAACTTCCAGGTCCGTTTTCTTTCTTTTTCGTACTCCAGGCATTATTTTGTACATAGAGATTGTCACAAGGCCACCTGTGCCGTGTGCAATCGGTTTGTCTCAGCAGTAGGAATATCACAAAGGACGGATATGTTCCAATCTTGTTCATCTTACCCGTCCTTTAGCGTCGGATGCCACTTCGGCGATGGTAGCTATCATTTTGATGCGTCACATATCCTTCCGCTTCCTTCTGACTCTGACTATGGTCGCCTAATATTTGCACTATAGGGTCAAAACGGACTCGTCTAGTTCTTTGAGTATTGTTATGGTCCGCCGTTCTTTGAGAAACTCTATCGTTTTGTTCAGCAATCCTAAGCTTCTGGTGCAGTTTGTCCACGATAGCTTCGTAATCTCTTCCGTATTTGATCGTTGCGTTGGTGGCGGGCACTTCACGCTGATCATTGCGGCAGGATCTCGCTTGGCGCCGCAAAACGTGGGATCCTACGACGTCTTGGCTTCTGTTATCCCCGCTCAATGATATACCTAGGGCGAAAGAGCCTGGTTAAAGCTCACGCTCTTGGAATCAGAATTGATACGGTCCAAAAGAGTACTTAGGGTATACGTACAGGTCAGAGCCATAAATGGATTGTCTGTGCTTAGAGAAGAAAAGAGAGAGACAAATGGAGGAAGCCGGTTTTGATCTTGTCTGTACTCCTCGCATCCAGCACGACCCGTAACCGCCAGCATCCGTGGCGATTGTAATCACCATAACAACTCGTCTAGATGGCTTCGTAGGTTTCGATGGTTCGTCACGGTCGCATTTGTTCAATTGAGCGCCGTTGACAAGATTTCTATTTTGCAATTTCATGCTTGATCATAGTGGGTGAACAAACTTGCGTGTGGCCTGTTACTAAGGCGGACGGGGCTACTTAATAGTTGACATAATGGACAAGGCCAAGCTCCGATCCTCCTGACTCAAATCTCAGTAACTCTTCTGTGTCGGATATGAATAATTCTTCCCGGCTCAACTCTTTTCCCAGCCATTCCTCTGGCTTTCCTGGCTCTCCTGACCCATGTTTCTGCGATGTTCCTGACTCTCCTCGCTTGCATTTCTTCGATGCTTCCAGCAATTCTTCTCACCATTCTTTCATCAATGCTCCTGCAGTTGATTTTTGCAACTTTGCCTCCGCTTCTCGGATAGAACAATCTAGATATAGATGATCTCGGACCCTGAGTATCCTATGAGGTCCGTCTGGTATCATCACCAATCTAATAAGAACTCTTTTTTCCCATGCTCTAACACATCGCCAGGCGTTCTCGGGTGATACCTGATTATCATTGGCTCCATGAATCATGTAAAGATACTTCGCTGGCGGGTCGGGATGGTTTTCAGCCGACATGGAAGACACTTCATCTGAAGTAGCTTGTGACCCAAGTGCATTGATTTTTGTGAGGTTGTGTGTGATGTCGTCTTGCATTGAACTGACAGCATAAGAAGCCACAAGCAAGTCGACGGGCTCCCGAATATTCAGACAGGCCCAAGCACCGGCAGACCATCCCCAGAGGAGGATCTTCTTTTCGGGATGATTTTGGCGAATCCACTGGACTGTCGATTGCGTTTCAGTGGCGGGTCGGTGTTAGTTCTTCTCTTTTCTTTCTCATCCAATAGCATAAGTTTATCATGCCGTATCAACGGGAGCTGTTCTTGCTCGTGATGAACGATCTGTTGTTGGGTTAGATGGGACGAGATGTTCTTGGCTCCTGTCTCAGCCTGACCACGACCTGCTACTCCAGAGATCAGAATGTAGTCTGTAGCCATGTTTTTGGCGTTACTTACTATTGTCTTCAACCTCTTGCGGATCTGACATAGCTTTGGACGTGCCGGCGGAAACTGTTCGCACATCTACTGCGTTGTCGTACTGGGCATGATCCTCTTCTTTATCATCATGCATTGTTGGTATCATGCGTCTGCGCATATATCGAAATGCTCGGCGGTCATTAGGCTTGAAGATGAGCTGCGCCATCTTGATCATACAGAAAAGCAATAGCATGAATAATGATAAGTTAACTATGAGTGAGACGAAGTAAACTTTTATAATGCTCAAACTTCTATCTTGATTGGAAGAAACTTGATATATTTATACTGTATATAGCGTCAGATAACCTAAAACATATTTTCATACTTTCATAATGAATAAGGTCTGGAATAGTAAACCGATACACTAGTGTTACAGGCTCCCCAATTTGAACTCGTGCACTCACAGGGGATCTCGACTAATTCAACGGTGGCCGGTGCATTGTCAAGCAGCCTTCCAGGTGGTCGGAGTGATCGTTTGTCGTTTCCTATCGACTTATCCAAGGTTTGAGAGGCGCCTTGGACGTGAGCCAAACGCACCTTTCGTAAAGCTTAGCAAACTGGTTCCTGAGTTCTTTGTTCGATTCTGCTGGCTTTCCCAAGGTGTTTTGATGACGAAGCCTACAGCCTGCGGAGCTTCGTCCTCACAGTCTTTGTGATATGTCGTCTCAATCATACCGTCGCCTCGGAGCTTGACAACAATTTTATCCTCCTCATAGGACAAAATTCTTTTTTCCGTTTTAAGGATAATCAATTGAAACAATCATTGACTGCGTCTTTTACAAAAACCGCTGTCCCCATCCCCTTGATTTATCTTGCTTGCCCTATACCTCGACCCTCATAGACTATCTTCTCCTCAGTGGCGCTCGTGAAGACAGGCGAAGCGCAATAACTGTAATCGAAGCCTGAAAAAATAGTTTCAGTGGTACACTATGTAGCCTAGTAAAACTAGCTGTTCTTTGGTCAATCAAGGGGTGTCGAGCCTACACGCACCACAACGTTAGCCACCCGTCTGCCATGTTTGGAGCTGACGTCTTGAGTTTAACACGGATCAGGGGCTGCCCAAAGCCTCCTACTAGCACTGACAAGAAAACCACAAATCACATGTGCGTGTCTCCATTCTTTGAATATCAATGCTCTAGTGGTATTCGAAATGGTTATTTGAGCATATAATATCTTCACAAGTTATCGAGAGCTAATATCAAAGCATATGTCAATCATGAGGTAGGCAAAGCTTGATTCCAGTCAACTCAATAGGGACTAATATTTTCCGTACACATTACACGCAGTAAACACCCCAGACCAGCAGAAATATCGCCACTGACGGCGCAATTCAAACGCCTGCGTATGACAGGGTTGCCCTCAAATGTGCATCGAAATCATTTTGGCGATTTCGGAACATCGAACATACCGCTTGTACGCATATTTTCCAGCAGCGTCCGTTCCTTCTTCGCTGACACAGCGTTAGCAGACTACAACGCTATGGATGTGTATGTCAACCTACAGCCTCGTTCAGTGTCCGTGGGACGATTTGTCACCTCGAACTCAGGATTTGACTGCACCGTATGATCGCAAATGTCCACCGTCTCGGTACCGTAGTTCTTAGTCGTGGTGATACAGAATCGATATTTGCGTGCGGGGCCATTGAACACGATATCCGGGAAGATGGCGTACTGTTTGTTACATCCGTCTAGATATTCCCCCTTCATGACCAGGCAGCCCTGTGAGGAGTAATAGGTATCGTCCCAAGGATTCTTTACAGATCCGTTGGCGTCTTGAGCCAGTACCTGGAATGTGATATCCTCATCGGGGTGGGCCGGGATGCTGACGACGAGAGGAGGCCACATTGGTACCCTTTTTCTGACAACTTTTGGTGGCTGAATCTCTATAGTTATAGGCCTGGTTCGCGTAATGGTACTGTGGTCTGACATTTTGTCTGCTATGTCTTTGGCGTTTGGATGATACACAAAAGTGCTACCGTGTGCGCTTCTCAAAGGTGAAGACTAGATTCAGTCACCATACAATTTGTTGACTAAACTTTCATGTCAAGCGAACATGACACAGAGGTCAAACGGGTAAGGGCAAGTACTTTCGGCTTCCTAATTGGTTGGAAAAAGCTTCGGGAATTATGAAGGGGGAGGAATAGCCACTGCTGCTCTCTCAGATGTCGGGCTCAAGAGTGTCTGAGTGTTTGCAGAATCTCACCAGAAGTATTTACCCACAAGGGAACATACCTCTTTAATAGGGTCGTAACATTTCAGCCATGTGATACAAGTCATCAATAAGTACTGCAGTTGTCAAGCGCAATATGTAGGTATCACTTCCTTGAGCCCTGCCGTCAGCTTTGCCAGAACATTGCTTTTCTGCTCTCGAAGGCTTTTACAAGCCATGTGTAAGCAAGGACACGACTCCCAGGGCTTGATGTTTGATAGGGACGCTAGAAGGACTTCGGTCGGTGCATGGTTGATATTTGGTCGTTAGGTTTCTTTTTCACTAATCAGAAACAAGCAACATCATTGCAGCCTCGCTGTATTCTCCCATAATGGACATATTGATGTCACAATATTGAAAGGTTGCCCTTGAAATGAATCCACGGGAATTTAGATCCCACAAGATAAATTCGCTCAACTGTACATGGGAAGCTCAGCAGTGGCGGTTGGAGAATGGGGTGTCAATCAACTGACCAGCCATTCGCTGTAGCCCATGTCGTCGCGTTTCATAGGAAAGCAATAGATATTCGGGCCCGAATGGTCGGCTTGCATGAAGCAGATAGGCGGCATTCGCGTCTTTTGCCACTGGAGTATTATTCCAGTCGCAAGCTTGTGGATGAGTTTGGATCGACTAGAGCCGCCACAATATGAGTCCCCCATTCGACAATCCTGAGCGCGTCCCAGACGTCAATTGAAGATGGCCGCATTGGGATGCCGAATACTCCTTTATCGTATGGGATGGATACGTTATGCAACCTGAATAACCGGTCGTCTCCATGTCCTCTTTTTTATGCATATGGCAGACTCCCTTCCTCTAGGAACATCATAGAAAAGATGTTTGTGACTGTATAAAATACACTATACCTCGTTGCTGTCGGTCTGTTTCGATGATCATATTCTGCCAAGGTACCTTTCAAGGTGGGTTACCTCTAAGTATGCAATATGGGACGTTGCTTGAACGTTTTGGTTTTACTGCACCAGATTTGAGATAACTCCGTATTTATACTATTTATTCTGGGACTATTCATCTAACTCAGTATGGCCTACTCATCTCAAGACCTATCGTGCTACGCTACTCTTGAACAAAGTCGCGAATTCATCCGCTCGTATGTAAGTCCAACCCTTGTCATTTGCCATCCTCATCCCGCGTTCGATGACTTCCTCCTCAGGCGTCGAAGACGTTCCCCGTCCTTGAATTGAGGCGAGTCGTACATGTTTCATTCCAAAGGCATTCCAATCGTGTAGCCTGTGGAATCTATATAGCGAATTCTCGTCTGCAGGTGTAAATAGTAAAATGATGCCATCCAATGTACTCCACCAGTGAGACTCGAAGAGTTCAACGCCGAGATAAGAGAGATCGCAAGTGTCCCATATTTCAATTGACTGATCAGCAGAACCGACTAAACGGTGTAACTCATAGCACTTCCACTTGACTCCTTTGCACGTAGAAGGGTCCGGATACGAGTGAACTTTGTTACGACCAATAGGCACCTTGAGATCGTCCTTGGTCCAATCCTTTTCTTGAAGGTTTACCGAAGATATAAAGAGATCTCTACCACTGAAGTCCCCGCCTAACAAGCAGACGCGTACAGAGTTTGCATCGCTGCTCCCGGTTGGCGCTTGGCTTGATGAGGTGATCGAGCGGAGGGAGAATTGCTCCTCAATAGTTCTGGAAACAACTAGCTCGCGGTATAGCGTATTCAGCACGAACAAGCCCAGGAGAATCTGTAAGTGTCAGTGCAGGCCTCGTATATCAAAACTGCACTTACTCCTATGCATGCTTCATGGAATCCTAAAACTAATGGGATAACAGAAAGTGCTTGCAGCAGGCAAAACGCCCACCTCGCCACATTCTCGTACCATGTAGCTTGACTATCGAAGGTCCACAACATAGTCCACCCGCAATGAAATATGACCGGAACGACCTGCAGAACTCTATTGAACCGGAACAAGATTCCAATGCCAATGCACTCCGGCAAGAGGACCAAGGGTCCCATCATGGACCACGTGCTTGTTGCCGCAAGGAGACGCAGCTGGGCCGGCTCATGTAAATTGTAAAGAGACTGCCTTTGTTAAAATCGGTTCTTTGATAACGATTGGTGGCTTACTTCAAGTGGGGTCACGAAAGCAGTCCATGTTAGAAAGTGGTCTGGGTCGAACTCGAATGATATGGCACTAACCACCATGTAAGTGAGGATGAAGAAGAGGTTTACCCCAAGTAGTCGGGGGCATGACCGCGGCTTGGTTACCCTGGAATGTTTTCCAAGAAGGACAGAGCAAAGAAGTATGAGTTGAGTAAAACAAAAGGCTTCAAGGCAAACGAGCAAAACGAGCGAAGCGGTCATGATAAAGAGATCAGAGCTGCACTTTGTGTAGACCACGGCAAAGAAGGCAACAAGCAGGTACATGCCGAGTGATTCGACCTGGGTGACATGTCATGCAGATTCACCCGTACCAACCGGGCGTCGATGGTTTTTGAACAAATCAGTACTAACGTCCAGAGCAAGGTTGGTTTGGTAGCCAGTCTACTTCAACCAAGGATTTCTAATCACAACTTGGAGCTATTACATGGGTGGCGTGAGGCGATACTACTAAGGGAAATTTAGTTTACGGACATAAGAGGACATGATGAGCTGCCATGCAGTATGGGTCCGCATGGATGCGCGGATAGCGGAATGGTAATGTACAGAAATTGCAAGGTTTCAGAAAATCACAATCGAGATGGGGTCACTTCGCCTGTGTAACATGCGTCCCTGCTCGTGTCTAGACAATCCAGATGTACAGAAACAGGGAAGACAAGACGGCCACAAGGCTTGGGTTCCGATTGGTAGAATCTCATTTTTGGTGGTTTGCAAACGAGGACGCCCGGCTAGAAGGGGTCCAGCCATTTTGTATGGTAACTATCGGCTGTACTCGCAAGCGAGCAGATCCTCTTATGATGGTAGGACGAGAAATTGTATCTCCATGCGATGAAGATGCGGCAGGGTGTTGCATGCCCTAGGTCGGAAAAGAAAATCTCTTGCTGCTGTTTAAAGACAATTGATCAAACGGGTGTGAATTAGACTAACTACTAAAATGTGGGCGGTAGTATGAACTGAGACTCCATCAATGCATTGACTAGGAACTGCAGGCAAACATCGGCAGCCCGATATTTTTTGCTTTAGGCGCCACCACTTCAACATATGTGCAGTCAGACAAGAGGGGTGCTAATCTACAAAACACGGAAAAGTAATGGTGCATCTAGTGGTATACGCAGAAGCGGCGGACAAGGTTGGCCGCCAATGGCTGCGCAAATCTAAGCCGTTTTGGGGTACTGATCCCAAGTACCCTAATGCGGCATAGCTCTGAAATGGGAGCTTCTGACTTCCCACCTGCGGATTGGCAATTCCTTCCGTAAACTTGCTCTAAATATTTCATTGTATTGGTGCGCAATGGCCCGCCATCAACGCTTACTACCGTTTGACGGACCTCTTCAAGCATATGCCGACTACCTCGAATGCATACTGTTATCTGTCTATGGATCAGTTGATCAAGTACGACAAAGGGTTCTGTCGCGAGTGGATGTCGTTGCGACGTCTGCTCCTGAGATTTTAGCGCCAACATGGGCGAGGGACAACGCTATAGGCAAATCGCTAACGGCCCCGAGAACTGCACGCAGGACTTCAAGACCGATCACGAATGATTTAGAAATCAGCGGCATTCCTCCGAGTACTCAGAGACATGATCCTGTGACGGAGGATTGTCCCCAGACGAGTAGCGCGATTCAGATTTCCCAACCCACGGGTTCAGCAACACCGAGCGGCGATGTTACCAACAGCAGCATAACCCAGCCCCCTACCCCGGCTCAAACTATCCAGGTCGCGACCTTAATACAAGGTATAGGATATCTAAAGCCGAAGATAGCTGGATGGCAGAAGACATTCGAGGATTTCCTGGCTAGAGTTCCGGAGAATGAGCAGGAGTGGCTACAATTAGAAGCCAGTTCAGGTTTGAACTGCTCAGGGCACATTATCGATATCTTCCACCGAGTTGCGCAAGCTCAAAACCAGATCCAAGTCACCAGTCAGAAAGCGATACCTAGCAAGGACCTGCCTGGTACCGAGTTCCTACTCAAGTTCAGCTCGTATGTAGGGAACTTGAAAGCCAAGGCGGTCTCCAAGAGGCAGCAGGCTCGCTTCAGCGAATACCTGCTGCACGGTCACTGCATCGTGGCTCGAAAAAGTGGAATGACCGTCGATGAGGTCAACGAGATGACGTCAAAGGCTCTGGGGTCTGGGGACAAGCCAGATGAGAACGCGAGGAGATGGCAATCATACCGTACCGCCGCAAAATGGTTTGACTGGCTGATTGAGAAGTTGGAAGGTGTATTGAAGCACCGTGCAGGCAAGCTCTTTCTTTTATGTACGTAAGCCAGCACCACCCGTCACAAAGCAGCACTTTCTAACCCTCCAGGTGACGTGGATATCAGTATGTTTCGAGAATTCGTCTCGACTACGGCACGGCGGGCCTATGTGCTCGAAAAGCTTCAGGAACGAACAAAAGGTTTAGGGAAGAACTTGCAAGACGTTGGAGTTTCGCTCCGCCCGGCATTTCTCATTGCAAATACGGGTCCTTGGGAGTAAGTCGTAATACCCTAATCGCCATACGATTGAACTGTACTGACTTATATTGTAGGTTTAAGATAGCTCTGGAAGCTTTCGAGACTGCGCTTACTCCGGAGATCTATATTGCCAGCCTGAACGCTGTCGAGTCCTTAAGCCACATGGCTCTGAAATGTCAAGCAGTCTCTTCAAACGAACCGCGAAAAGGTCTGACAAATTTTCCGCCAGTGCTGGCACTACAATGGCAGGATGGATATCAGTGTCCACGAGCACAGAAACGTACAAGGGACTGGATATCGAGGGCATCGAGCACGACTCCCCAGAGAAGGCACAAGCGACAGTCGACTAACGTAGCACGGGGACAACAAAGTCTCTATGACAACCACCACATTAGCGGCGATTCAGGCATCGGCAGTCCGCAATCTAGTGGAGACACAGACAACGGCCAAATGAGCGACGCTTGTGATTCAGGCATAGACAATCCGCAGTCTAGTGGAGGTGCAGACAACGACCAATTTGGAGATGTTGAGGGTCTAGGCACGGGTCAAAGTATTGGCAGTGCAGAGTTCGATAATATTCGATGCTCGGCTACGGACGAAAAGACAGTCGCCGAAAACGTCCAAGAGGCCCAAACGGCCAGCGCACCAGTCATCACTGTTGACGCAGGCTGTTTCCACCTCAATGATAACACATACATCCCATCTGCTTCATTTGGCGCACAGCTTTTGATGGCTGCCAGAAACTTGAACATGCAGACAACCGTGCAGTGCACTTCTCAGCATGCTCCTTTCCTTTCTCATACCAATATGGAGGGCGTCGTACCAACGTCGGGGATAATGCAAGGAGGACACGAGGAAGTGGAAGACTTGTACATGTTTCGTTGGGATGGGGTTGATATCATGGATCTGGACTTCCTCAATACCAACAATGGCCCTGGGGGTCCTATATAGCTAGCATTTCTCATCTGACCAGCTATCTTGTCCAAACTTCTCAATATACTGCTCCTTCAGATAGCATCGTATCCACAAGCAAGGCAAACCGTTCTGAGATTCTGCCTTGGCTAATCCTACGTGTTGGTCAAGGATGGACACTTGAGGCAAAGTGGTAGTAAACTGCTCGCCTTGTTGTCTCAGACCGGCCACACTCTCTTTATCCCGCTTGACGATGATGCTAAAACGGGCCCTCGAGTCAAGCAACCCTCCAGTTTGAATTAATAGAGCAGTTGGGACATAATTCATGGGCTTCGGCTCATGCTCCTTGAGCAGAGGGCTCTGCACATGTTAGTGTCTTCTAGGCAAAAAAGAGGTTAAACACGTACTGCCTGGTCTATTACTTGAGCGACCACACTGTCGAAGTCAGAACGCCAAGGTATCTGGCGGATATCAGGTTGTCCAAGTTGAGGCAGTGAGGGTTCATTGTCGCTCGACCAGTCGAGGCCCGCGATGGTGTCTTGTAGTTCTTCAGTTATGTTGGGAAGCAAAGCCATGATGAGTAGTGCTTGGTCACGGGGAAATCTTTGAGAAGCGTGTAGAGCGAAACATGGTGCCTTTTAAAGTCACGACACGTGGAAGGTGATTCGCTGTTGTATGACTATGGATCGTTGCGAAACTTTCATGCAAAAAAGTGCACAAAGACATCAACGTGTCCTGGCCCTGACTTTGAGAAAACGGCGCGGATTAGTATATTGCCGAGGCCAAGCCTAAGCCAATCACAGTTCGTGACATATCCGCAAGTCTTGAGAATTGTCTGCACCAAAGCATAGAATAGATTGTTCAGGATAAAATACGATAAGCATCCCTATATACCAAAAAACCCATATTTTGATCAAACCCTTGTTTGGGCTCTACCTGTGAGCTCAGACAACTCCGTGAGGCCCATTCTCAGTCTCTATTTCATCGAGATCAATAATACCACCACCACCAACTCCTCCGCCGCCTCCTCCTCCACCTACTGGCCCAGCTATAACTGGGCGTGGCGGGGGCTCTTTCATATCAAGCATGTCGACAGGTCGGGATGCTGGAGTCAAGTCAGCTTTTTTTGAGATAGTCGTGGCTGTTTGTCGTACCTTGTCGATCTTGCTATAAGTGTCAGTGACAATTCACCGCAGTAACGATTGGTGTCTGGCAGATAGAAATCTCCACAACAGGTTTATTTGGGAAGAGTTTGTGGCCTAGTTGATATTTCCAAAGCTTTCAGGTCAGTTTCTGGGGGAATAGGTGATAATTTATACTAAGCGCAGTGACAAGGATCCGTCAGACCGGCTGAGTATGTACATGCAGAGGTATTATGCCCGTGCACATGGTGGACAGAGTGATGAGAAGTGGGCATAGATAGGCGTCTTGTGCCAAGAATTAATCTAAAGACTGGCTGTGTCGATGTTAAGAGATTTCAAAACAACAGCATAACCCTGTGATGTGGCATAGTATGACGCAGGCGGTGTCGAATGTACAATGCATTCTACTAATCCTCATGTTGGTATCCGAGTCTGTAGATGGTAGCAAGCATTAACGAGACAGAAAACAATAAAGACCTTCATTCAAACGAAAACTGCTTGATTCTAGTTCAGTCTACCTGCGGATAGTGCCTGATGCCTTGCATCAGCTGTATACCATTCGGGCAATTTGTGTTGTATCAATAGTGCACTTACCCACGAAGAATTTGCTGCTGCCTTGTTTATCCCTGAAACATTCACTGAGAGCATGGTGAGATATTGTCCATCTCAACCCGTAGACTGAGGCGATCTTTCACCATCCATGCTGCCTCTCTGACGCCAACTGCTTATTAACATGCAGTGCATCCGGTACGTTCTTGTGTCAAGGATCAAGATCCAAGTTGGATGTGCCAAATCCACTAGGATCCAATGACAACACACTTTTGTGACAGAATGGCTTAGTTGGCCGATCGAGAGGATACATTTATGCACGGCCGCAACAACCAGCCATGCATAGTCACGCCCGGTGGGTAGGGTAGAAGTGACTATATAGCTTTGAGAAGCCAAGCATATTTCGATCTGCACTAGCCTGTTCTCGTATCGGTAGCTACAGACCAACCTATGACACCGGCTCCTTGATCATGCTACACATGAAAAGCTCATCTATGCTGGTACTTTCTTATCCCTACCGCCAACGCTATGGATTAGATTATGGACATAGGCGGTATCTATGCGGTTGCAGCAGTCTTTCCTAGGACGTCACCTAGGTCACCGATTTGGCACATGGCGTGATGATAGGGCGCTTAGTTCTTTCCCTGTCATCTCCATTGTTCTCGTCCAGCAACGGGTTCTAGACCAGCCCAAGTACACACACAAGACTCTAACGTCATCACTAATAGCAGTACAGAGATGTGGTGTTTGTGGACTTTTTCGCAGCAGTGAACCTTGCACGGCATCTTTACAGTGGTGTAGTACGTACATGACAGTGTTTCATATATGCAGGCTCTATAGAGTATTCCCCTGAAGTTTAGGACCAACCGGGCGACGGCCATTGCGAGTGCATCGTTATATCGTCACTGCCTCCGAAACTAATGTGAGGAGGTAAGGTCAATCCCGTGTGCATAGGCTTATTGGCAAGTATTCGGAAGAGGGTGTGGGACGAACGAGCGATTCAGCTTGAAATAGTAAGTCGATATGTGGAACTCGGGGTGTTTCTATAATTGGCCTGTATCTGGTGGAGTGATTCAATTCGGCTTGCGTGCCCCTCGCCTTGCACCTTGCACCTTGCACCTTGCACCTTGCACCTTGCACCTTGCACCTTGCACCTTGCACCTTGCACCTTGCACCTTGCATCTTGCACCTTGCACCTTGCACCTTGCACCTTGCACCTTATTCTATGTATTTACGGGGCAGCATTACGGATTTGGAAGGGCCGTGAAAGCGTCCTTCATTCATGAATTCTGTTTTCGCTCCAACCTTTTACCAGTGCATAAACGGCCAGTGTGCACTTAGATCGCGTCAAGGTAATAACCCCTGAGGATGCTACAACCTTCAATAGAAGCATATACTACCCTATTGCATTTGATCTCGTTACAGCTAGAGGCGCAGCTTGAAGCCTCGAGGTATTGTGGCTGGATTGCACGCCAGTCAAGCGTTGGATTTCACTTTCCCCTCTTCCCGAAATCAAAGCTCTTCGTCCGACACGCCTGATACCGTCGAAGATGCCTGAGATCCATGTATGTTGTGCCTGCCCAGAGCAACTATCTCCGCTCGATATTATACATCATTTGCGAACACATATCGAGTTGTACCAGGTAATATTGTCATCTGCCTTTTCCAAGAGACGTTAACAGCTTGACGATCTAGTCTCTCATTGTTGCCATCTTCAATCAATTGGCGGAAATAGCTGCTCCCCGAGGCACAGCATGTCTTAACCGTGAAAGAAGCAATGGCGATAGGGAAGTTGACATACCGCACGATAGTTCGCAAGCGCGCCCAGAGTCCGAAGTAGAGCATGGTGATAACGACCTGCCCCTCAAGCCGTTCAATTGTTCAGCCCCACGATGCGACAAATCATTCGCAAGGTCACAAGAACTCAAGCGACATTTCAAGAAGCTTCGTAAATCAGACGGCTCCGCCTCATTATCACGAAAACGCTGAGACAGTTTGCAGACTATCCTGTCAACATGACCTGTCCCACCTGTCACGAACCCTTCACCAATGCAGACCAGCTCTTGTCCCATAAATGCACAGGCAATTCGACGACCAGCCAGCAGCTCGAGATACAGAAGCAACGACAGACGGTAGAAGCCGACGTTGACAGACAGCTGTGCTTGAAAAGACGAAGCAAACAAATAGTCCGTCCATACTCCAGAAGATCCAAACTGGCTCGTCGAGATAGCTTTTCTCGAGAGTCGCTGTCGTCTACCCACGCAGAGCGCTCCTCGGTTCTTTGTCCACCTCAACGGACCGCCAACAAACAGCAGACGGACAACGAACAGCCGATGGTTAACGAACAGTCGATGACCATTGCCTTTCCAAGAGACAACAACCCAAATCCACAATTACAATGGCTTGATGGAAGTGTTATGGTCATGGATTCTAGGCCAGACTTTTCGACTGCTACTTCCCACATGAGTAACAATGCTAATACATCTATTCTGAATGCTAATGGTCCCATGCATGGAACGGGCTATTCATCACTTTGGGCTCGCTATTACCGTGATGGACAACTCGGCCAAAGGGGGGTTCAGGATTGGGATACGAATATTGGAGCCAGCTATGGATAACATGAGGTGCCAATGGCTCAATTCTCTTCCACCAAGGCCAATATAGTGGGGTACAAGTTAGGAGAATTTTCCACATGCATACCCATATCCAGATTCTTTATCAAGCGTGATTGGGAGTATTGGGTGCGCAATGAGACTAGCATCTATTAGATTGAGAAGCAGAAAAGGTGCCAACTTTGTTTACTCACATACCGCCGCTCTCAAATATAACACGGACCTCTTCGCAGCGACTTTCAATCTGAATGTATGGAATAGCGCATAATTTGTAAACTGTTTCGTCGAGCGGCTCGAAAGAAAGAGCGTGACCTCCTTTTCCAAATCGCAACAAAGTGCCTGGTCGCAACATGTATACAGAGATTCGGTCTTTTGCGGCAGCGTCTTTCGTTGTCGAGCAATAGTAATAGTCGTCTGCGCCTATGACGAACGCGAAGTCTTCACGGTACTGCTGGAGAAATCGTAGCCGCTGGTGCATTTTGAGTACTAGACAACAATATTATGTGACTGGAACTCACGGGCTCTCTCATGTAGATTTCCTTGAACCTGTCCAGGCCTCTCGAATTGTTGAGGGCTACCGAAGGTGCAATCGTCGCGGCTAGTTTCCCGATCTCAGTGTTCGACTCGTAAAACACCCCATGTTGCTGGAAAAACTGCTCAGCACCTTCCTTGGTAACCTTGAGGGAAACTCGAGATTTTTCAAAGAGCGAGTCATCTGGAGATCCCTGCGAAGCCATAGATTCTCGTGTGATGTCCGATATTACCAACAAACGTGAAGCTTACTCTTTTTCATCGCAATGACGGAAAGTCTGTGCTGCTCGTGCGGGGCTTAACTTAAGGGACTAAATGGGTAGAAACGGCGGCAACTGAGCCACAATCAATTGTTAGGCAGTCGTTGGGCGGCAAAACCATGTCCCCCTATAAAGTCATCACATCCCGCTTTACATTCTGCCCGAACCTCAGCAAAACTCCAGACGCAATTCTGTAATTCAAAGGTACGCTTGCCCACAATTGACTTCATTTGGACGATATCTTACTTGCATATAGATCCAAAGAATAAGCATCATGCCTGCCGCCTGCAGCTACCAATGCAACAACGGCATCATTCCTTCTACAGGACAAATGTGCCCCAATTGTGGCCCGAAGAAATAGTGGCGCTCCTGAGGTAGGCCCCTCTTTTGTATTGTCCTAAATCACCGTTGATTGTAGAATAGCAGTAAGACGAGGCACCGGGGATAGCTAAGCACAAATGGGCTCGGGCGTGCATGGTGATGGAGGAGTGGTTCATCGCTGTCCGAATGCGGGAGGGTGCATGATTACAGCTATTATGAGCTGCTGGTACTCAGTCTAAGAACACAGTACTAAAACAGAACGTGCAAGGATTATGCAGATAAAGAAAATATGAGCATGTTCGAACGATTGGCCAGCCACTGTGTAATTGCATCAGGGTCAATTGAAAGTGTGTCGTAGCTAAACGACTTCAAAGACATAGCCGCAAATGCAGCCCCTGCCGGAACCTGGAAGTTTTCCCGGGCTGCTGGCGACAGACCTTAGCCGACGCCGCCAGCGCAGCTTGACATGGTTGCCTATGCATCACACGAGTGCATTTTTATTAACCGTCTCTTACTGCGATGCAACTGGTCTGAACGTTGATTCTTGCAAGGTGAAAGAGACACCTTGAATGGCAATAGCTGATGTCTTCGTAGTTGGCATAAGGCTTCTAGATAGTAGACCAGTCTGCGATCATCCTCTTTCCTAGTACCTACACGTAATTCATCTACTCGTGGGGATGGGATAACACAGCCGCTGAACTCCTAAATTGTGCTTGAGATATTATCATTGGCCGGATTGGGTCGAAACTTATCACCGAGCTGGCATAAGTCCATGAAGGAGATGTTCCCGGCTCGACTAGATCAAAGTTGGCTCGAATTGAACTAAGACATGTGTTCATTATACACCAAGCGGATCAGTCTCGCCGCAACCACGAGCCTCTCCGGGGTTGCATGTACTTGCATCACAAGCTTCAACAGCCCAAGGCGCCGATGGCTTGCTACTTGTTTGTACGACCATGCCGCACACATTCATTGAAGCCGCCCGGGCATCCAATGGGGATAGTATTGCGCTCTAGCACTTATAGAAACGACTCAGCTACCGTCATGATAAGACGGACGTTCTGACTGACGATGAGACTATCAGCATCAAGGCAAGCACCATAGATCCTTCATCATCTCCAATGCCTTGTTCGGTCAATGAAGAGCATGATGATTCGAACGGCCCGCCTCAGTTCCCTATGTCGCCGACGCCAAGTCCACCCGTTAACGATGGATATGCGACAAGGGGTGTGATGGGAGAATTGGCAAGCCCGGGAAGTAAGAACATTTAGGCCGGCGATATTTGACCGAACAGAGAAAGAGACACTGATGTACTGTTCTAGGTCGACTGCATCCTCGTGGCACCATGGGCGCACCAAAATTCTGCGCGACGTGCGGCTTCAGCACCGACGAACTACTACAGCTCTGCGAGAAAGCCTTGCAATTTCATCGGCACGACAAGATTGCCTGGAATACGTTAGTTAATAATAACCCTGCGGTATCTTCGCAGGAGAAGAATGCGGCCATGCTTAGGATCAGTCTCTGGGCGATCCGAGATTATGCATTGACTATGAGAAAGCGAATTGATAGCTGTGATGGTGAAAGAAGCATAGATGGCATCAAATTATTTGAACCACCGAACGCTGCTTCAAGTGACAGTTCCCGAAGGACTGCCTGCACTACTCCACGAAGCCATATGAACCAAACCTTTGGTGTTGCATGTTACCCTAAGGAGAACGAAAAATATTTGGGACGCAGCAGCGATCAAGAATATCTAGCACGTACATCCCTTACCGTATATCAAGCCGGCCTGCCCACTGCTTTCGATGTCCCGCCTACCTAGCGCCTGGGCGTTTAGCCCGAGACCGGCACTGCCCAGCCATTTCAAACGCAAGGCCCGAAACCAACCAGTGCACCATTATCTCGCAAGCCATCAATCCATCCGTCGCCATCCACGAAGACACCACTGACCAACCTGATCGACCTGTTTGGATTCACTTGATACGCGCTCGACAGTACGGATGCCGAGCAGAGGTAGTTGCGGACAGTAGTTGCAAGGGCAGTCCGGCTTGCATAGAGCATGGTTATGTCTGGTTAACTTTGGCCGCGACATTGGCCAGAGGCCAAGGCACCGGACAGCGGTTTGCGTAGGGGCAATTCATCATCTTTGTGGTCCACGGTTTCATCAATGGTTGATGGGTGGTCTCAGTTTGCCCGTCTGAGCGGCATGGTCCCGTGGCCTGACGCTCCTTTGGGCTCCAGGCTCCAGAGCTTAGTCTTAGGCAAGGCGGACCAGGCGGTGCTAACTTGAAAGCTGAGAGCGGATATGGCAGATTTCTTTTGGACAGGTTACTGGAGATGAAGAGGAAAGCTGCCGACGATGGGTCCTTGGACCACAGGAATCGTCGTGTCCAGCTTGAACAGGTCTGAAACACGAAAGTAAGGCACGGGACAGATTGTATTAGGGAAATAAGCCGCCCAGTAACACATCAACCAATCTGACCGTGGCTGTCCCGTGTGCTGAGAGTTATTGGGATGAAGTTGGCGGGAATCGGGTAATCAGAATCCGCGAGGCAGTAGTTGGGCCCATTAATGTCTTCTATCCAGATGCCGAGAAGATGGCCGCTTTTAAGAACGACGCGATAACGGAGATCAGCTATGTGCTCTCTCCTATCTAGAGGATTGAGTAAATCGTAAGGTATTTTTGTTTGGACTTAGGGAACAGCTCGGCACATCATAAGAAAGCATTATATGGATACAAGTAAAAAAATGTTACAATGCTTCAAGTAGTCGGCACTGTACTAGTAGTATGTAAACCAGAATGTGATGAGGTTAGCCCTGACTGCGGCTACTATATAGTAACGTCGCTTCTTTGTCCATATTATCCACTCTTGTCGGCCTGCTTGTTGCGCCACTGAGCAGCTAACAACTTCCAAACTTGTTGCAAATAAAATGACCCCACTTTCTGGACTCCATCATCGGCAAATCGAAGCATGCTCTCGATCGGCTTCTCTTGAGAATCGAGCAGGGGCCGTAGAAATGACTCAAACAACGGACGATGGCCCCTCGCCTTGGGAAGGAGAAGGTAAAGGTTAAAGACGAGTCTCGTCGATGCATATACCGGAATCAGCTCTAAGACGGAATGTGAAAGCGACTCGATGAACATCACTGTAGAAAGGATGGACCAGTACATCAACCATTCTCTCAGTTCCTCCGTGTTCGACGTTTTTAGTGCCTTGTATGTGGCAAGTAGGGGATAAAAGGGGACAGTGTCGATTTGAGGATACCAAGTATGTTATTCAGCATCATGTAGATCGAGAGACAGTTTCGATTTACTGGCATAAGATTTCATGTCAGCATTGGGCGCAGTCGAGATGGTCTTCTTATGCTACTTTTCGAATGCAAAACAGGATCTGATTTGCTCTCGTACTCCAAAGCTTGACATTCAAGCCCCTCAATTTTGACCTCCAGCACAGGATGTCTTCCAATTATTGTACCGCACAAGCTTGTCAGATAGACAGCTAGGTTATAAATTGGATCACAAGCATATCGGACACATATAGCTCCAGAACCGGCGGCGGATGACACGGATTTCCGAGGTCCTAAGGCGGAAGCTTGTAGGAAAGCAATATATGTACGAAGGACCTGAGAGACTCCAACTCCATTAGACTAGGAGTACAATACTCTAGTCATTATTATATGACATGTTTTGGTACAAACAGAATTCATGATTCCTGATGCACTTTTGAAGTCCACAACAAAATCAAACACCATGTGTTATACAACAGGATGTAGCCTGAATACGGTACTTGTATCTAGTTCCAGGCTGATTGGCTCGACTCCTCCTGAGCTTTGCCCGCTGGGAGCGTAGAGGCCGACCGGCTGATCAATTCATTGAGACGGACGTACTTTGGCGTTGAGACGCGGCACACAGGCCACACACCAATCCTTTTAGCCGATGGCGCAGCCACCACCCGCACGAATGCAGGTACAGACGCTAGTACAGACGCTGGGGCTTGCCTCGCGGCACCCACCGATGCAACCGTAGCACAGCTCGATCCCGACACCAGCGACCCCTACACCAGTGATCCGTACACCGATAGTGAGGTATATGCATTCACGCTTACTGATCATGGTGTCGCTGGAGCTCCAGATCAACCTGCAGAAGAAACTGTTGGAGAGGCCACGGGATAACCCACAAAAGGTGCTGTACAACATAGTCCGGGTGTTTTCACTGAGAATCCTGACTCTTTGAGTAATCATGACGACTTACCTTCGCTAAAAGAGTGGTTCCAGGACGATTTTGATGTTGACAATTTGCTAGATGACAGCCAGAGAGAAGAGTTGCTGACGTCCCTTGTGAAAGATTCTATTAGTTCTCCAGCGCAGAAGGTAACTCTTAGCTCTGATCAATGCCTAATCCGCCAGAGGTCAAAAGCCATGGTAGGTGACGCGGAAAGCCTGACTGCAGACAACCTTCTAACCCTAAGGAACAGCAGATCGTTGCAGATTCGAGACCGTAGCCAAAAGTGACTTTCCCAATCTAACCCAACCCCAGATCGTTCGTCACGAGCAACAGCGACTTCCATGGACGAGGCGCGACAGGACGGCGAACGACACAGCTAGCCTGTCGGACGTTCTGACTGACGATGAGACCATCAGCATCAAGGCGAGCACCATAGAGCCTCCATACTCCCCGATACACTGTCTGGTTAGTGAGGAGTCCAACGGCTCGCAGTCGTCCTCCATGTCGCCGTCGCCAACCCCACTCGCTGACGAAAGAAATGTGACAAGGGGCATGATGAAAGAATCGGCAAGCCTGAGAAGTAAGGGCATTCACACCGTTGATATTGGGTTGAATAGAGACAAAGTGACGCTGACATGATGTTCTAGGCCTACAGCCTCCTCGCGGCACTGTAGACCATGCTGCGAGTACGGATCGAGGAGAGGACTTCCAAGCCGGGTCGAGCAACTCCGCGCTTACAGAGCTGGGAGAGCGAATCGCGCACAAATCATGCACGACATGCGGCTTCGGCACCGATGAACTATTACAGCTCTGTGAGAAAGCGCTGCAATTCCATCGACACGACAAGATTGCCTGGAACACGTTAGTCAATGATAGTCATGCGGTGTCTTCGGAGGAGAAGAATGCGGCCATGCTGAGGATCAGTCTCTGGGCAATCCGAGACTATGCTATGACGATGAGGAGAAAGCGAGTTGATGGCGGTGCTGCTGCAAGAAGCAGGGACGGCTTGACCTTGTTCGGGCCACACAACACCTCTTCAAGCGACAGATCCCGAAGAACCGTCTGCACTCCTCCACGAAGTCACACGGACCACACTTCTGATGATGCGTTGTACCTCAGGGAAAAGGATGGTCATTTGGGACACACCAGCGATCAAGACTATGTAGACGGAGAGCCACGGCGAAGACCTGCCAAGAGACGACGTGTCATGTGTCATAAGCCTTGGAGTCCTCGACAGGAGCAGACTCTGCGTGCGGGGATGGAACAAGAGCAGAGCTGGGAAGATATAGCCACAAGACTGGACCGAACGCCTGGAGGAGTGAGGCAGCATTGGATGATGATGGAGCGCAGGTTCAGTCAGAGGAAGCGTGGAATTTGGAGACCATCGGACTGACGGGTCTCTATGTAATCGAACGAGAAGAGTCCATGGGTATACAACAGACAGGATGTAACAGCCAGGCAAAAATATACACCTGGAAGGTAGACCTGACAAATATGTAGAGAGATATACGACCATACTTTTCTTCCTCGAGGACCCTGTATTCCTGAGAGAAGATCAAGATTGCAGAAGTGGTCCATCACTTTGCCGTCACACCATCGCCCTTAGCAAGAAGGCAACTGTGCTCTATCCGTCGATCCTACGGCCGTATTTTTCAAGAATATAGGGTCTTACTAGAGGACTTAACTTCAGTGCGACATCAAACAGACTGTAACTCAAGAAAGTACTGAAATAATCAGTCGAACAATGGTGCATCTTGTCAGGGCTATAATTCGTTTACTGGTGTCACCATAGCGCTGGTCGTTGTGCTTTCTGCAGAGTCTACAATTACCGTCAACCTCAAGGCATACTTACCGGCGTAACAGTCATGCCGTATTTCGCGGCTTCCGAGCACTCTGTGTAGTCCCGAACGTGTTGAATATTTATATAAGATCACTTGCCCCCATGACCACCCCTGAGCAATAAATGAATCAATACTTGTTTTCTTTTCTTTTTTTAGATTTTTTTTTTCTAAGTAGAGTCGTAAGAAAACATTTCTGTCTTAACTGCTATGTTTTGTACATAATCAAATCGTCGCTATAGACGCTTCAGATGGAGAACAACCGCCAGACCTCCTATTGTCACTTCCTCCAGGTATGTATTCCCTGCGAACGTAATCCTTCATGCTCATTTCTGTCTAGAGCTTCGAATCATGATATACGACTATCTTGTACCCGGTGACATGCCTCTGAAGTTGTCGTGGACGCCGTCCAGTCGTAAGCGGAGCAATGAAATACGCGCCAAGGGTTGTTCGGTTTGATTCGGACCTGTCGCTGGCTCCATCAAGAATGTGAACCTCTTCTTCGAGCACATATCCACAGAAGCACGCATGAAAAAAAATTCAGACATTTGGATCGATACATGGAAAGCCACGTCGTGTTGGGAGGCACGGAACGGAAGCTACGTCTCTCAATTGATAGTGCCCTCGAAGGAGATGGGGCAGACTTGCTGCCATTGTCGTCCAACCCCCAGAAGCCGTCTCCTGTCGAACGAACGAAAAGTACGAAACCAACGAAGCGGACGCAGGCGCATATAGTCACAACGACATCTAATTGCTCGCATTACTGAGGGAGTTCGGAATACTGTTGCGTTGTTGTCTTTCCAGTAGTCATAAGCGAAGAAGTAGTTGTTTTCATCTTCGTGCTTTTGGAAGATGAATTGCAAAGGGATTTCTGACAGCTCATGATGAACTTGTAATGTCAGGGAACCTTCAAGCAATAGAAGAAAAGTCGTTGTCCGCCCGCACTTACTAAAAGACATTGTGGTTCATATATACTAGTACCTGCTATTTTGAAAAGGAGCCGCAACACGGACGTTGCCAATTGCCATATGAGACTCAGGAACGACTTTTGTGGTAAGAGAACACTGTTGTGTAACAAGGTCAAGATCGCGCTCGTCATCTGTCTCGGAGCCATTTTTGCATCCATGCTCAGGTGCACGACACATAAGTTGTGCCGACCCCACACGGATGCAGTCCAGTAATCCATCATGGTGGGTCCAAATTCTGCACTGGTCGCTACGCCTGTATCTTCCTCGAGCTCATGCCGCTACAAATTTACCCTTAGTTTCATCATATCATACTGCGTAATATGCTGATGCATCAGATTTGGGACAACAGCAGCACAAGACGCATATCTGCACCTTCCGCCCGCCGTGTCAACCTCATGCCTCTTCGTCGGAATTCTACTGCTGCCTGCCTGTTGTTATTCATCAAGAAGGAATACTACAACTCCAAATGTCTCGCATTGTTAGCTTTGTTTCTCTGGCGGTGAAGCGTCAAAAGTTAGAGAGCAATGTTGCTTCACCAAATGAGGAGGAGGTAGCACTGACGAGAAAGGAGGAAGTATCGGCGACGCAACCACCAGCGCCCAAATGTTATCCCTGTTAAATCGTGAAAGGGGAGCCATTGAGCTGGAAAATCTTGCTCAAACACCGAGAGCATCATCTCATCAGCCAAGAGCTAGCAAAATGCCAGATCGCATTGGAGCAGCTGCGTCGATGTCACCTCGTTCCATACCCGGCCCACGTCCCAATGCCAGAACAAGTGTTGAACGTCACTAATGGGCAAGAGCTGGCGCTCCTAGCCAATTTAGGCACTCAAGTACCACAGTGGACGCCGCCTTTTGATGTTGCAGATGGACCGTATGCTACGTTATGCATCGTCTTTGCTTTGACTCAAACACGAAATGTTCCTGTATCATCCAGACGTGGGTACAGTTTTGAATGAAGCAGCCATGCCAGCAGGGACATGCGTCTTTCGTGGCTTGTAGGCACATGCCGCGGGCACTGCAAGACGTCTTTCTCAGGGAACTCGACCCCTGCCTGCAGTATATCTTCTTCGTAATTGGCGTCTCCCGGAACATGACTGTACATTGACGCCGTAGTCCCCTTCCTTTGCCCATTCCACGATCGCTTGTTAGGCACGATATTGCCCAGCGGCTTCCGTCCTGCCTTGACGACAGAACGCTCAAAGTCAATCAGCATGAGCTCCCCTGTGTCGGTATTGCGTAGCACATTGGTACGACGCACGTCCCGATGCACCACGCACACCCGATGTATCGCCCGCAGACAACGTTTGACCTCACCAGCACGAACCGCTTCGTCAATCGGACTGCCATGCGAGAGAAGCAACAGGTATTCGATGTAGACCCGATGGTCGTAGTAATAAATCCTGCCCATGTCGCGAAGATCTAAAGCAGATACCGTGCCCTTGGCGACGAAAGTGTAGCCGTAAGCCATCAGACTAATTTTGAACAGCACGCCGCGAGATCCGCCCACATCTAGACGACTGATCCCGTGGTCGAGAGACTCCTGCAGCTGCTGAAATAGGAGCCGGAGGAACTCGTCACGGTCGATCAGATGATCAGCAGCTGCAAGGTTAGCCTGCCAGTGCAAGAGAACGTTGGGACAATTTGCGTCAAGCCGACCTCTTCTGACCAGTCCTAGATGACATCGCTGTGTGCAGTACTGTCGCTCTTGTGAAGCTTCCCTGCGCGGCGCTCGGCCAGAATGCGCTGGCTGCGCCGGGGACCTTGGCTCTGACTACTCGACCGCGGCTCAGACGGTGTCGGCGTGTCCGGCATCGGAGGCAAGGACTCATCCGACGAAGACTCGTCGTCCCGGTCCCTAAATCTTGGCTGCAAATCTGGACAGTCCTCTTCCTGAGCCCAACGTTTGGGTCTTGTTCGAGGCACGCGCGGTGACCGGCTGATGCCTGCATAAGTCGTCGGCGCATACAGCGAGCCGGAGCTTGAGCCGCTCGGAGCGTATCGCTCGTCTCGGGGAATAGATCGCAATGTCGTCTCAAAGTCCTCCGCCCATCGCCTCAGCCCCAAGATTACACGCTGCCGCTCATCCTGCGATCGAACATTGGGTGGGTTCCCTGGCGGGCCGAGAGCCATCAGGCTGAATGCCAGGTACTGGCCAACTGCGGTGCAAGCGTGGTGTTCCCCGATTGCGCTGCCACCTCAAAAGCGGGCTCTGCTAGATGGGTACAAGAGTGTGCCGGGTTCTCGCCAGTCTACTCGCAAGAATACAATGGTCTCGCCAGTAGTCAGCAACCCGTACTCGAGACCCCCCTCGATCATGTAGTTGTAGGTCTGTGTGATGGCCGCAGCGGTGAGCCTCTCGGCAGGGTCTGGAATCGACCGTCGGGATCGGCCGCGGTAGGTATTGTTGTGCGATTGACCACGTCTTTGAAGATATCCATGGGATGCAGACCGACACGCAGGTATGGAGCGGTCAGCTTGTGCGGGGCCTTGTATTTGGACACATACAGCATGGTACGCCGTGTGGAGAGCTCGTCGTCAAACTGGTATACGCATGACTGATTGGGGCGGATGCGTCCCGGATCTTTCCCTTGATCGGGCGTCTGTGGCGGTATCGATGAGGCCTGCCGGTCGACAACCTCCTCCGCAACATCGCTGATCACATTGGGGTGGTTCTCAAAGACAATGCCGTTACCGATCCCCAAACTCGTGCCGCACTTGGTCCACATCCCGCAATTGATCGAAAATCTCTCGCACTGGATCTTCGACGCTGTTGTGTAGGAAATATTCGAGCGTCTTTTCGCAAGATATCGGTCGCTTGGCAATTCGCTGGCCGAGGCTCGTCAAAAAGCCCCGAGATTCGAAACGCCGATCAGAGACCGGGAAGGTGCCGTAAAGGGCCCCTAGAGTGGTTCGCTGCTGCTCGAGAAAGTCGGGCCATGGGCGTAGGTTCTTTAGACACAGCTTGTTGAGCGGGTTTGTGATGGGCCCTTTCGAGGTGAGCTCCTTGTCGGTCTCGACGGCGAAGTGGCTGGCTACGAGCTCATGAGAGCTCATGAGTTGCGGCAATGTATTTATCCAAAGTTGTCCGTCGCGTCAACAATTCAGCCTCTTGTTGTCGTTCCTCCGCATCTTGTTGTCGTTTCTTGGCTTCATCAGCACGTCGCTTCTCATCGCGCTCTCGATTCTCGGCATCGCGTCGTTCACGTTCGGACGACCGTCTCTATGATTACATCTAGATTTTTCGACAAGACCAACAATGCAGTTTGCAGTCTGCACAACGCAAACGCACGAGGATCATACTTCTGGGCCGTATCTTGAAGTGTCCCTATCGCCTAGGCGGCGGCGGCCAGGATTTCAGGAGTACTCGATTGATTCATCGTCTCAACTTTTGAGTGGACAATGTTTACGTGCGAGTTGCCGGCGACAATGTGGGTTAAAGTAGGCGGAATATTAGTCTAGTCTAGCCTGCCAATCACGGTCCGTGGAGATCAATCACTACGAGCTCCGCGCTAGCCACTTTTCGAAAGGTTCTGTAATATGTACATACTTAGAATTAGGTAGAGTGCGGTAACGGAGCACGTAATTGCTTACCAACATTACTATCTTATCAGTCCACGTTGCGCTGAATCATGCCTATCAACTACTTTGTGTGAGTTACGAAGCGCTTCGTCTGTCCTACCCTCTTTTATATAATTTTTATGGTCATTTAAGCAACGTCACAGTCATATGGGGTCCGTGGTCAGCCTGAAAAAGCCCTTGCAATGGGGCAGAGTGGGCATGCCTGCAGCTTATCCTGGTTGGTGGCAAGCTCGGCGCCGACTGCTGGAGAACTTAGAGCTCCCTTCTAAGTACTATTTGGATTGACAGCCTGAGTTGATGTTCTTACTCAGGTCCTGCAATAGCGTGGATAGGCACGTGCGCAGGCTGGAATGTACGTATGTATGTAGATACTGATACCTCCAAAACCCAGCGATGTATGGCTCTGGGAGGCGTGGTTTGCCCTAAAGGTAAGAAAGTGTACATGGGGCAGGCATCAATTCGACGACAACGTATTCTAGCGCTCTTTTACGTTGGTAGCTGTCACACAGCCTGCAGTGCGCTAAATTTGGCAGTCACACAATCTATTACCGATGCATATAAGCATAGTCTCCCCCCGCCCTTAGCGCAAATGAAAAGCTTTTGATCCTGCAAGCTTCGCCTCCCTCTGCTGACAGAATTTCTGTCTGTCAAACACTTACTTTCGTTACATACAGAAGGGTTTAGTATCAGTTTACAGCAATATTGCCATGGCGGGGCCACGCAAAGCTATTGAATTGATGCTTTGCACTTGCGAGAAACCGTACATGCGTGTCGCAGACTACGGACTAGAGCTTGACGAGGCGATTCCTGTTGCAGACCGGATGCATGCTCTTCTTGAGCATGATTATCAATGGAGATGGCCCGACAACAGCCACCATCTGGCGAATTGGGTAGATGATCCTAGCAAACGTGCCAAAAAATCGGAAGAGGACACCACAACATACGCAGAAAGAGATAGCAGAAGGAACTTTGTACGAGAGTTCATAACAAACGAGCAGGCACAATGGCTCCGCTGTGCCGTCATCACCAGTCGTGCACTGGAGTATCTCCAAGCTTGTCGGCGTCAAAAACTGATCTTACAGGGGCTGTCCCCCAGCGGTCAGGACTACAGTTTTGAGCCGAGACTTTTTTACCAGTATATATGGATATGCCTCAACCAAGGGACCGGGACACGACTTTGGGAATCAGCACCACTAATGTTTCTAATTCCCGAAACTGAGTCAGATTCAGGCGATCTGGTTGTCTTGACAGCTCAGAAATTGTTGGAAGTTACGATCCGGAATTGGGAGCAGGGCATGGATTTGGGAAGCATATTTCCAACACTATCATTAGACGATGTGCTACCGTTACCACACGACGCAGAACCCCAGATAAATGATCAAGGCTTAAACAAGGCCATATCAAATTGAAGACCAGATTCAACTGCAGCGCCAATTTCCGATGAGATCACAAGGCACGACCCAATGGGCAACACTGGAACACATGGGAAACCAATCATGAGGAACAGAAGACTCAGGAACACGATTAGACAAGGGATGAAGACACCCATGAGGGGTCACGTAACATGGTCAGTTATAATTAGTGTGTCTATAGTGAGCAACAGTGATTAGAGGATACCAGTGAGGGCATGAAAGAAGGCGTCTCCTATTCTACACAGACATTCATTACCTTGATGATCAAAGCTCAAGCATGTATCTTACCCATAGGTGAAGCCTATACTAATTGTCACAATACACAACTTACGGCCCAATTAATGCTCATGGCTTACCGGATGCGGAACGTGTTAGTATTATACTAATCACCTCATACTAGTGAAGCTTCGCAACCTCATGACAAGACCTGAGTAAAAGGGGCAAGACGCCCGACCTGACAGTCGACCTTGCCACAACCCATTGTAAGACACGAGCCGGTACTGTGTAATTCCTGGTCCCAGTGCCGGGCCCCGTAACAGCTTCAAGGGTCCGTCTCTGCGGAACATTGCCTTGAATTTTGCCGGTGAAGAAATCGTCGTAGCGATCGGTCACAAACGATTCGTCGAAAGCCTGTCTCGCATATTTGCATCCTTCATCAACTGGTTGGCGGACGCTATGAGACCAAAGTAGATCATCGGGCTGTCCTTGTTGCTATTGATCGATGCGGCCAGATATGTGGGAATCTTGGATTGGGCGGCCATGTGCAAGTACTTAGGTCCCGACCGCACGGGCTCCGAGGTACAAGCGCTATTCTATCCCGACAAGGAATCTCTCCAAGCCGTGTCAGCTAGACGTCGCGCCGGATTCCTAGATGGGCTGAACAGCACGGCTTAATGGAATCTATATAGTTACATCACTCATGAGCCGCAGCTGCACTTCCCCAGCGTGCAACGAGTCGTGAAACTATCGCGAAGCAACGGCCAGGTTTTACATCAAGTGATGCGTCACGTAGTAGATTGGCTCAATCCACAAGCTCCATCGTCATCGCCCGAAGGGATAACAACAAGCCCCCCTTGTGCAACGACCTTATTTCGCTCCTTCCGAATCATATCGACTCCGTCCGCGTGAGCAAAGGCAGGCAGAGCAGTTACGACTGGAGCCAGCTGTCCTCAAACGCCTCGCAAGCCGTTGCCGTTCTGCTGCACCTGTAAAATAACGTCTAAGAGGTCTGCATTATAGAACAGCCAGAGCAGGGGTGACAGCGAAGAGCCCTGTGGGATACCGTATTTGAGCTCTATCCAGGAGGATTCACCCTCCGGGAGCTTGAGCTTCGTGCGCCTGCCCCGTAGCCAGTTCCGTAACCAGATCACTATAGGTGCCGGGAGCCGCCTGCGGGCTAGGCATTCAATCAGCCTGTCGTGGTGTACGTTGTCAAAGGCACCTGACGCGTCCAGCATCAACAGCGTGGCTACCTTGTGGTCCCCTTTGTCGGCTTCCCCGTGGGCCTTGTAGACCCTTTCAAGCAGGGTATGTATGGCGTGTTCCGTGGACCAGGTCTTCCGGGCCCCTATGTGGTCTTCTGGTAGTAGGTGGTGTTCCTCGACATAGAAGCTTATCCGCTCTGCTATAGCTGACTCCAGAGCCTTGCCAATGGTTTCTAGCAGCGCTATAGGCCTGTACGCCTTCGCTTTACTATAATCGTCCTTGTTGGGCTTCTTCAGGACCACAGTGATGGAGTCCCTAAAGGGGCATATGCCCCTAAAAAGGCAGTAGTTAAAGAGTGGCTGTAATAGCGGTAGGAGGAGGCCCATCGAGATCCGGAGGATGTGGTTAGGTATCCCCGACGGTCCGGGGGCTTTATACGGCCTAGGTCGTAAAATAGCCTGTCGTACCTCGTCCCGTGTTAAGGGTGGGCATGGAAGATCTTCGCTAAAGGACAGCTGATCCGGGTGTGTCCCGGGTATCGGTGGTGGTGTAGGGAAAAAGACCCTACTGAGCGCAGCTACCTTACCATCGTATGTGTCTTGTCCCTCTATTATAGGCGTGACCCTCTGTTGTGCGGCTCCCAGACCCCTGGATCGGGTCCATTTGACTAAGTCCCAGAGGCCCTTAGGTCCCTCTGATGCGGCCTTGTTCACCTTTTCTCGGTACGCCTCTTTAAGTGCTTTGGCTACCGCAACCCCCTTCTGGTTGCGTGATTTCCTGTAGGACTCCCAGTCCCGCGGGTCTTTAGTGCGTTGCCATACCCTCCGGAGTCGATGGGTCTTTTGGCACTTGGCTTTACACTCTGCTGTGAAGCCTGGGGTGTGCCAGACTACAGGCTCTGTAGTGGGCACGGTGTCCTCTATCGTGGTTGTTAGGGCATCAACTATCTCGGTCATCAGTCTTGCCACATCGTCGTCGGTCAGCCTCCCTTGCAGCCGAGGTAGTCTCTCCTGGAGTCTATCGCAGAAGTCGTTTATTGGGGTGTTCTTCCAGAGCTTGATAGGAGGCCTTTTGGGGGCTTGTAGTGGCTGAAGGTCTAGGATAGTGTGTATCGGCCAGTGGTCTCAGGGATGGTCTCAATGATAGGCAGGGACATGTCGCATGGGCAGTCAGATGATGAGAGGAACCTGATGAAACTGCAGCACGACTAGTCCAGCGGGAGGTAAAGCTGTTAAGATCTGGTAGGAAAGTCGACCTGACAAGTCCAGGATGGTTGCTCGATGGGAGGGAACCCCTCCCATTTCGACCTCGGGGCATCTCTTTCTCGCTCGCAGCTAGGCCCAAGCTCCGTGGTGGCTATGTACTTCTGCGTGCGACTCGAAAGTATATAAGACAGCGCAGCTCTCTCTTGTTTCTTTCCAGAGTCGCTTCATGTTTTACTTGCTGCACCACCTCAACAGTCCCATAAATAGTCCCAAAGATCCCTCAGACGTCCTGACTGTATGCGCTGCACGCTCAAAACCCACGAAAATCAGTCTACGCAGCTCTGTTTCGACATGGATCACATCTCGATTGTGTCCTTCTATTTGGTGGTAGTTATGCTGCTGGTTATGATTCTAGGAGAAGATGAAGAGCGCACCACATTTTGTCTCGACGACGTCGCCTCTGACATCGCGACGAGGTTTCTTCTGATATCGACGAGGTTTCTTCTGACATCGATGACGTTTGCTCTCTGAGTAGCAATGAGCGCACTCCTGTCGACGTTCCTACTACTCATAACGTCAGTTTTAGGTACTTTTCTGACGGTTCCCAACTGCGACAGATCTTCGAGTGCGACTGTGACGCCGGTTCGGAAGTAGGTTTGTTTCATAAACAAGGGATGAGGGAGAAACTAACCGCGTGTTCCAGATCGTGTCGGACTGTCAATTCGTGGCCAAGACGGATGACTTGGTTCGCGAGAGCTTCGAAATGCCGCCAAACTTTGCCTTTATAGAGTGCCATGACGCTCGACGGGGACAGTTCCTGGTTTACACGGTGACTTCCCGCATGCTCCTGCATCAAGTGGAAATTTTTGATCGAATGTCCATCAATCGGTCTGGGGAAGCTCTACCATTCATCATTATTGCGCCGAATGGTCACGCGATAGAAATCGAGGACTGCATCAGCGAAGAGGATGTGAGGTCCCTGGCTGAGAGAATCAAAGATACAAGGGCTGAGGTATATGGTATTTCAAGATCAGCAGGGTCCAAAGTACGTCGCGTGCGGGATTTTGTCTAAGAGGATACATGGGTTGGTTCTTGTGATACGGTGATATTCGTCCTGATACTATCACATTGCAGACACAAAGAGCTGCCGCGGATACGAGCTGCAAAATTGCAAGCGGCTAGAGCTCCAAGACCACAAACGTCCCGATGCTGGTTTGTCTCTACATAGGTCCGCCATGCGTACAGGCGGCGAAAGATGGACGCTGGGCCAGTAACATTGATTAGAGAGCCCATTAGTAGGCTTAAATATCACAAAATGTAAAATTAGCAAGGACATGACAAAAATACCAATGTTCTTGTCCGACCCTTGCAATGCTTAAACCCAGAACATAGAAACATCGGGCCCAAGACGCCTGCCCCTATCAGACGCTGCCTATGAAGCCCCGAGAGGCGAAGTGCTGGAAATGCAAAGTAGCTGATGAGGATATCTCTTTATCCTTCCTACGTCTATCTTTATCTACCAAGTCTGCAACCTTGTGGTGTAGCAAGAGCCCGAGCGTGAGCTTGAGCTTTTCGGCTCTTATCACGGATGGCTCTTTGGACCTGAAAATGTCAGAATTCTCGTTCGACCATGAAATATGAAGGGATGGATGCACACAAGTTTATTTGAAATCCGGTAACTTCTTCAGGTCTTTAGGCACATGTACCTCCATTTCCATCCGGTTATCAATGGCATTGTGGTATATGAGCACACTGAGAACATTCGCCTTCTTGCCAAGGGCTTTGGCCTTACGCTTAAGCGATGGGCCACTTCTGCTCATCTTGATTCTCTGCGGCCTGGTATGCATGTTCAAAATTGGCTAGCCCAGGTTGATATCGGCACGACCTTTGGCAAGGCCAAGAGTGAACACGAATTTCGTACCTCATAAAGAGCACGCCCGGTTGCATATGGAAAAAAGACAAAGACAAAAAGAAAAAGAAAAAGAAAAAAAATAAAGAGGAAGCTTATTGCGTAGACATGACCGACAACCTGGGGCCGTGGGAACTGACATACTAACGATACGGATGGCCGATTTCTTGTGTGGAAAGGGAGAAGTCGGTACTTACGAGCATCAAGGAACGTAAAGCATCAAGGAATGTAAGAGCATGAAGGAACACGAGAGCGTCGGGGAACCCCAGCTACGAGCATCAGGGGTGTCAAGCAGGTTTGACGGGCGCAAAGTGGCAGATTGATAATAAGTGCGTCGGCATAGGAATCTATGACAAGTGCCGTCATTCCCAACCTGTCTTGTGCAAGACTGTCAAGGTGTTGCCAGTATTCGGCCCACTACCTCCTGCTGGTATCCACTCGTGCGACCAGTGTCATAGCCTGGCACGGTTGAAGTAAATCCAAGCCACATCGGGATCCGGACGAATATCAATCGCTCTATTCCAGTATCGATCCATGCCATGGCATTTCCGAGTTTCAGGTTGACCTGTTTGGAGTCAAGAACGAGAATATGCCGGAACAGATTTTGGCGTCACCATTACCGTCCCTTGATAGGTCACATCAAATATACCAGCCACTTCAATGGCAAGGGTACCAAGTCAGTCAGGCGAGCAAACAAGAGATGACGAATAGGACCAACAAATAACGGATAGGACGGAGATGGCGGAGATGACAGATAATGGACAGGGTTTGCAACAGGAATGTCATGTGGGATATTGATCCAAGCCCCTGAAACGAGGTAATGCAACTTACATGACGGCATCAGGAATACCAGTGGGAGCCCATTCTTGAACGAGTCACCTGCGACTGGAGTGAGCCAATGCCAAGTAAGAACACACAAGAGAAGCATGAACTCGCAGGAGAAACAATAGCCCGAGTAGGACCCTTGTCTTGGGAATAGCGAAGACCGAATCCTCCATGGCTATTAGAGCACGATGACTACTCTATGTATGAGTCCCCGGCTGGCATAGTAGTGTAGCCCCGGATCGGTTCTCATGGCAATGCCCGATGGCTGGCTAGAACCGGTCAAGTGTTTCATCAGTCGTTCATGCTTTGCAGTCGTCCAAGGAGGTCGGGCCGCGCAATCGTCACTGGCAGTTACCTGTTGTGAGATGGAGGACGCAAGGGCCACTAGTCTATGGGGGCAGGGTGAGATGAGGGACCCACTGTGGGACAATATATAAGGGCATCGCTCGTCCCATTATTTTCCCTTTCTTTCTTTTCTTTTCTTCTTCACGCCCGTGTCGTCCGCCTGTGAAGAAGCTTAAAGCCTCCAGGTTGTATTGCCCTGAACCGATGTCCACACCGGCAGGATGCCCCTAAGACCGATGACCACTCCGGCAGGAAGAATACCCCTAAGACCGATGACCACTCCGGCAGGAAGAATACCCCTAAGACCGATGACCACTCCGGCAGGAAGAATACCCCTAAGACCGATGACCACTCCGGCAGGAAGAATACCCCTAAGACCGATGACCACTCCGGCAGGAAGAATACCCCTAAGACCGATGACCACTCCGGCAGGAAGAATACCCTTAAGACCGATGACCACTCCGGCAGGAAGAATACCCTGACAATCCGATGTCCATACCGGCAGGATGCCCCTAAGACCGATGACCACTCCGGCAGGAAGAATACCCTGAAAATCCGATGTCCACACCGGCAGGATGCCCCTAAGACCGATGTCCACTCCGGCAGGAGACCCGTCGAGCTTGCACGCTCAAAGGCCGAGGAGACCCTGTCATCCAGCTGGTCTGACTGACTTCCTCAGTCTCTCTCTGTCTTTTGTTCTTTCGGATCCCAGGAATGCGCGGCGACACGAGTGGGCGATTGCGAGGCGTGGCTCGTTATCGTTTTGCGCATTTCCCGGCCCGAGCCCGAACCCAAGCAGAGAGAGTACAGTCGAAATCGTCCTGACTTCTTGGAGACATGTTGTCTTCCGCTAGTGATGCGTGCAGGAACCTTGACGGGGGTCGCAGATGTCCACTCCTGTGTACCGGCCAGCGAAGACGGCCTCTGCAACCTGTCCGTGGTGCTGGCTACGAACCTGTTAATCCTAGCCGAGACTCTGTTTGGTAGTCTTGACAAGATGACAGAGCCAATGCAGAGACGCAGTAGATAGTCAAGTAGTGAATACAAGAGACGTGTCTTTCGACACAGATTCCAACACAGAGCTTCCACTACAGACATGTCACTACAGAGATTCCACTACAGAACTTGCAGTACCCAGAATATGCACAGCCTCATCTTGTGTCGTTGCCATACATGCTTATCTAGTTTGTCTAGTTTGTCATGCTCACTTCGTAACGTTTCCGTGTCTGTGACCATGACAAGACTGATGTGTGATCTGCTACTGTATCAGTGAGTCCTGCGCAGGATCAACCATATCAGTGTATACGGTGTATCTGCCTGCTTCTGCTACTGCTGCCCATCTTGGTGCCTATCTCTGGATCCTGCCTGCGACTGAATGCGTCGTCTTTCGGTACGGTATTGTCACTGTACAGACAGTATTGTAATGTTACGACTGTAAGCATAAAGTCGATCGAGGGACGCATTTGGTAATGGAGCAGATTCGTACCAGGCCTACTGCTTGTCGACAGTTCCAGCCGAACATCGACATCCAGGCTGTGGAGAGAGGGGGCCCAGAATTGGCATCTCAGGTTGCCTAGACATGCTAGAAACAGGCTAGTCCTAAATCATGTCCAGTCATGACACGAAACCTCGGGGGGTCGCGCACCATTTCTGTACACTCGGTCGGGAACGAGTCGTGTCTGCTTCTCGTCAGGCCGAAAATGGGCTGTCGCAATTTGTCGCGATCGTTTCGGGTGGCTGGCAGGCCTGGTTTTTAAATCGTGCTTTTCGTCAGTGGCCTCTTTCCGGCCGTCCCATTCTCGACAGGGAGTACAGAAGAGGCGCATCGGTCGGCTTGTTGTGGGGAAAAACGGCTACGCGACGCCCGCCCACTTTGACGCGACCAAATAGTGGTCAACGCTATACCTGATTGAGGACAGCGCGACAAATCCATACGCCTCCAAAGTGGTATGCAAATGCGCAAACAAAGCTTGAAGCAGGACTGCACCGACGTTCAAAAGCGTCCTGGTGGGGTCTGAACCAGAACCAGAATGATCGGACGTCTATGGTCGTGTTTGATCAATGGACGTCCTTCGCTCATTTTTGGATTATTCTCATTCTGATTTCTTTCATGATTGTACGGAAGCAGAACCAGCTAAATATAGTATTGGTGCAATGTCTCCACACTTGATCCACGTTGCGTGCAGGACCACGAAATCGGCCACTCTAGCTGTCTCCACAATCGGCGGCTAATAGGCCCACGGGTACCCGTGGCTGCAAAATTCCACGGACCCGTGGCGACAGCCAATTAAGCTTAGCGCCATTTGATTTTCTATGCCAACCCGCACAGAATCAACCTTGAAGTGCCGTGTACCTTTCGACCTTTCCTTTGTGTTGCAAAATTGATCGCCTTTAGAAACAACATCCTTTGATTATTGTAGCTATTTGGCGTCCTAGGGTCTTGATTTGGAGCGGCTAGCCCTTTTGCCTATTGTTAATTCGTAGCCATTAGATATGAAGCTATCTCTTACACGAAGTTGCTTTTTTGAATCACCTAACGCGTCGCGTCTGAACGTAGTAACATCCAAATCATATCTTCTACTGTGAGACATTTTGAACCGTGACTTACACTATAACCAAGATGAATACCGTCCAAAGCCAACAGGCAGCTTCATTCCCCAACGACTGTCTTCCTCCAGAAGGCGACTACAATAGTCGAGAGAGCTTAGTCCAGGCGATCAACACTTGGGCATCTACAAAGGGTTACGCATTCGTAACTGGAAGATCAACCAAAGAGAAGACGGGTAGATATACTGTCACATACGCCTGTGATCGTTTCTATCACCCCCCAAAATCGTCCAAGGAACGGCAGCGCAAAACCACTAGCAGAACAACCGGTTGCCCATTCTCGATACTAGCAAAGGAAGCTCAGAACGGGACCTGGACCATTCGGCATCGTCCTGATAAACGATTCTCCGTTCATAACCACCAACCCAGTCAACGTCCATCTGCACATCCAACCCACCGAGCACTCTCTACACCGGATATAACGCAAATCCAAAACCTCAGGAATGCTGGAATAGCTCCCAGAGACATCAGAACGTATATGCGCCAGAATACAAGCTCAATTGCAACGCAGCAAGATATCTATAATCGTATCGCTGACGCTAAGCGGGATCTTTGCGAAGGTCAAAGCACTATTCATGCACTTGCGGACCAGCTATTCATAGAAGGCTTCTGGAGTCAATTCCAGACAAACTCAGATGGCCGAGTTACAGCAGTTCTATTCGCCCACCCGCAATCATTAGGATATCTTCAAACTTATCCAGATATTCTGATCTTGGACTGTACATATAAGACGAACAGATATGGAATGCCACTCCTGGACATTATTGGAGTTGACGCCTGTCAACGATCATTCTGCATTGCATTTGCTTTTCTCGATGGCGAAGCTGAGTCGGATTTCTTTTGGGCCCTAGACCGCCTCAAGTCACTTTACCAACTGTGTAATGCCCGGACGCCCTCCGTTATACTAACGGACCGCTGTATAGCATGTATGAATGCTATTGGTACTTGCTTCCCAACCGCAAACTCGTTATTATGCGTTTGGCATGCAAATAAGGCTGTTCTTCGGTACTGTAAGCCCACCTTTACGGAGAACGAAGAATGGAACGAGTTTTTCAAACATTGGCATGCAATTATTGGGTCGCCGGATGAAGAGAGGTTCAATGAACGTCTGCTCCAGCTCGAGAAGAAGTATCTTCCCACGCATCTTGACGAAGTTGGATATATAAAGAAAACCTGGCTTGATCCTTACAAAGAGAAGCTTGTGAAAGCTTGGGTTAATCAGCACCCTCACTTTGACAACGTTGTTTCTTCACGAGTTGAAGGTATCCATTGGCTCTTAAAGAGTCACCTAAAGGTGTCTACCTTAGATCTCTTTGACGCTTGGAGAGCTATTAAGCACGCATTACAAAACCAGCTCATAGAGCTACAGGATAACCAAGCTAAACAACAGATTCGAACCCCTCTTGAACTCTCGGGAGTACTATATAGCACAGTACGTGGTTGGGTATCACATGAAGCCCTTCGAAAGGTCGAAGCACAGCGGAAAAGATTGTTCGAAAGCAATCCACCTCTTTCAACTATCTGTACTGGTTCCTTTACCCGATCTCAAGGGCTACCTTGTGCCCATAGGCTAGAAGGCTTATTGGCATACGATAAGGCCTTACAACTTGAAGACTTCCATCCACACTGGCGTTTAGCTCGTGAAGATACTCCTCGATTGCTGTTGGAGCCTCGCCAACGTATCAGTCCGATTGCTGCTTCTTCGTCTTTACCGCTATCAAGTGTTAGGCGAGAGCTAAGTGGATTTGAAATTGTGCAACAAGCTACTACGCCATCAAAAGCACCACCCCTTTGCAGTAAATGCCATGTATTAGGGCATACGAAAGCGTCAAAGGACTGCCCACTAAGGTACTCAGAACTGATAGCCCGGCCAGTCATAAACGTCGAATTAGAACAAGATCAGCCAACAACGACATCAAAGGGGAAAGACGTCCTTTCGGCGGAGCTTGATACGGTCGAAGAACAGATTCTGTTACAGCTAACTACTGACTCGGAGCTAGCTGCAAGGATAGGAAACGCCGCTGAATCAAGTATCCGATCGCCTACCAAGTCTACATCCAGTCCGGTGACATCACCTAAGCCAACGACACCAGTTAGGTCTACAGTGACCTCGCCGGCCGCAGTCTCTAGCCCACCTTTGAGATATAATGATCCACGGGCGATTTACCAGAGATATGTTGCCGCAAGGGACGCCTGGTATAAAGCCCAACCCCCTGGAAAGTTCTTAGGTAATCGGGACTATCGAAGGGCAATGGGTTTACCAGTGCGATTCAAGAAAGCAAGTTACCAATGGTGTCTTGATTTCAAGCAGATGGGTAAACGCTGTACTACTACAACAGGCTCAAGAGATTGGACAAGGGAAGAGATGATGGCATATCTAGACTGGGAGAAGAAAGAGACTGATCGTATCGAGGAAATAGTCGCTCAAGAGACCGATAATGGCCGTATCGTCCCCGGTAGAAGGGGTACGGGTGAACTTTGGACAAGAGCACAACAGGATATTGAGGAACAGCAAGCCTTGTATTCGGCTGAGGAAGAAAGGAGTTGTATTGTAGTTAAACCATAGCTTAGTACCATAGAGTAAGGCCTGATTATAGGTTTTATTAACGCTCTACCCTTTGTCACAAACCCTTAGACCACCGGGCCTTTGATCGCTCTATTAATTGTGAGAACGGACAGGACCAAGGCACAAGGCACTTCGAGGTTGATTCTGTGCGGGTTGGCATAGAAAATCAAATGGCGCTAAGCTTAATTGGCTGTCGCCACGGGTCCGTGGAATTTGCAGCCACGGGTACCCGTGGGCCTATTAGCCGCCTCCACAATCTGACAGGTTTGTCTGAGATTCTCGTTTCCGTGCCTGACAGTGACAAGACCCTGATTGGTCGCCAACACAACAGCGACAGCGACAGCGACAGCGACGAAACCAGAAATGGCACAGAGATGACCAAGCTGCCATGACCGACCAGAACTGTATTTACTTACATACCCCTGATGGACAGTCAGATACAGTGGGAGCATTCAAGCAGGGTAGAGAAGGAGAAAGAGGCGAGGAAACGACACGAGACATGGGATACGGTGATCGTGAGCCCATACATCATTGGCGAAATGGCCAAGCCGAAACCAGCGTTTATTCAATTATCTATGTACGTGTATGCCATAATGGCTACTGGTTTATTCAATTATCTATGTACGTGTATGCCATAATGGCTACTGGAAATCCACAAATTCTACAAGATGCGTCTCTGCATTGGCTCTGTTGCCCCGACAATAGAGACTCGAAAGAGCTCTTGCCAGGACAGCAGGTTCGTAGCCAGCACCACGGACAGGTTGCAGAGGCCGCCTTCGCTGGCCGGTACACAGGGTTGGGACATCTGTGACCCCCCGCAGGAAACCTAGGGAGATAGGACATCTGCGGGAAAAGAGGGAAGCAATCCATCATCTGTAGGCTCCCGGGGCACTTCCAGATGGCATCGTCTGTAGGCTCCGAGGCACTTTCAGACGGCATCGCTTGTGGGCCCGAAGGCACCTCACCAAACGGCTCTCACTTGCTAGTTACCCGAGGGCACCCGCAAGGAACTTCACCTGCTAGGCTCGAAGCACTTTTCCAGGTGGGGACCATCTGACAGGCTCGAGAGAACCTGCCAGATGACACATCCGGACTAGTCAAAGTCGCGGACGGCTTCGCTCGCAGGACCCGAAGATGCTGGCGAGGAACGTCACGTGTAGCCTCGAGGACTTGCACGTGGGGTCATCTGCAAGCTTCAGGAGAAACTTGCAAACGGCACAAACCGCCGGCGCGAAGCAACAGCAGAAGGCTTCACTCGCAGGACCCGAAGATGCTGGCGAGGAACAGCACGTGTAGTCTCCAAGACTTCCACGTGGGGTCATCCGTAGGCTCCAAGAACCTGCAGACGGCACAAGCTGCCATCGCGAAGCGACAACAGAAGGCTTTCGCCCGCCAGATCCGAAGATGCTGGCGAGGAACATCACGTGTAGTCTCCAGGACTTCCACGTGGGGTTGTCTGTCGGCTCGAAGAGCGTCAAGACGTTACATCTGCCGCCACGAAGGACTGACAGACGGAACACCCGAAGGTGATGAGGAAGGAAGAAAAGAAATGGAACTCGACGAGAAGATGGACAGGCTTATATATTGGTTTATTGTGGGTCGTCTCGTCGTCGCCCCATATTTTCCTTGTGCCGTTGGTGGCTGGACTTGGACTTGGACTGCGTTTGTCCTTCTGTCTGGCGTGGTCGGGGAAAGTCTCCTTGACAGGTGGGCATGTTTTGATACTGTACTCAGTCGTGGATCCGATATTGGCTGCCCTGTCGGCCTGAACCGTTACAGCAGGAAGCGGATCCTCTTGCCCTTGTTCGTCCTGTCAAGCCATGTGCCGCCAATGGGCCCGACATCAATCGATCCATGTGGGGTCGGTCTGGGATACCAGAAATGTATTTCATGAATAGTGGATCCTTACGTGCAGTACAGTACTGTACAGGTATGGAATTCATTTTCGGCTTCCCTGCTTGCAGCACGCCATGTTCCCAAATGCGTACTGTGCTTAGCCACTTGCCAATCAGTTCCGAACTCACATAATCATCACTTCTAGGCTTGTCTGTCCGACCGGTTTAGTGATCGATCTAGCCCCATGAGCTAGACTGGATCTCTGCGAGACTTGATCCCACGGCCGCCATGACGAGGCCATCCACATGCTTTCCACCCTCCCTTTCGATACAATGATTTGTCTCTTTGCCTCGGTTGCGCCTTTGCTCCAGCTTTCTACTTTCATCGTCTGATTGCTCCCAACATCTGAGATCCAGTTCTTCGACCGCCTATATTCTCCCTACTCCTCTCTTCCTATCTCATATTGTACACTGGGGACATCTGTATTTCAGCAAAGACCTCACGACACTGCTACATTCCGAGTCACTCGTAGTGGCAACCCCGCTGTCCCCTTCTCCCTGATTTTATCTTGCTTGCCCTACAACTAGATCCCCATGGACTGGTCTTCTCCTCACCGGCGGTCGCGAAGATTGGCGATACGCAATGCTTCAAGAGCAGCCGTCGGGAAGACTCAACCATACACTGCTGCTCAAGTCAACAGACCCGCGAACTCTCAAGGCACTCCTGCCAATCGCCAACCCCGTCGACGGAGGCGCGACAAACGTGCTCAATCGCCGATCACTGCAAGACTCATCATCAAAACAGAGCCGAGCGATCGACCTGAAGATCGAGCTGTAAACAGAACGGACAATTTGGTTTCCCAACAAGACAATACTCAGCAAGCGGGTGACCGTCACTCTAATATGTCGTCAATACGACCAACAGTACCCATGCTGAACGGCAACGTATCAAAGGTTCCAGTGCCCTCGTTGCACTCAAGCTCAGTCTCAACAGCTAGGCCGTCTGCTGCGCTGTCACACTCGCGTGTCCCGTCTATGGCTTCTTGGACCAGACACGGTCCGATCATCAACTCCAGAATTTCCGAACTAAGGAGACAAGACCTGGCAAGAGCTCAAGCATCGCCGACCACAAGTTTACGTCAGTCGTCCTTGCGACCTATGACGAGGCCCTCTTTGCCTTCTGCAACACCACGGCCAATCTCAGCAATACCACAGACATCTCCAACTGCACCCCCGACATTCCCGACAATACAACGTCGGTTCGAACCTTCTTCTACACCCGTCAGTCTAGAAACGCCCCACGGTCGTGTGAGAATCCATTATCCTATGATCATGACCGACCAGATCTTCCGGAACACGCGTATGTGGATGGACGTCTACCCTGACTGCGGATACAACTTCCAAGTAGAAGCCTTTGTCGACCGAGCTGGTCATGCTCCCGCGTTCATAGATTGCGGAACTTTCTTGACACTCGAAAAGGCCAACCGTACTGTCCTCCAAACCTTCTCGGAAGACATCCGCGAACTCATGGTGGACCGATACACGAGTATGGTTTTCCGAGAAACAGATGAGGTGCCTAGCAGTCCCTACTGGACAGGGTTCTGCTTGGGATTGCACCACCCGATTTTGCGAATATGGGCAAAGCAGGTTGATTCGTGGAGCTTTCGTGTCGAGACCAAGATGGTAGCCAAGTCGGTAGCGCCATGATATGTACAATAGCACAACCTCGAGTAACATGTAAATTTGCATTCCTTTCTTCTTCTAATAATAATATAGTATCCCTACTCAAGTACGAAATCGGAAGGCTCCATGCCAACAAGTGTAGGATCATAAAAGTCCTGCTGGCCACTCTTCGCGTCCCGTTCAATGACCGCTTGCAACTTCGATACCCATTCCTGCAGCTTTTGGTCGAAGCGCTTTAAGCTTGAACACTGTCAATTTGGCGAATTGAGTAGGACTTGGGGAGGCCTACCCAGTATCCACCGTCTGAGTGCTGAAGTTATCCGCAATTAAAAGCAAGAAGCGATGGCTAGAGTGATGATGACCTACAGCATGCTGATTCTGTAGCATAATGAGCCTAAGAACTTCTGCAACCACGTCGCTACACTTACTCATGTTTTAGTTCGCCTGCTTGTTGCTCGAACCTTTTCATGCTCGCTTCAAGTTGACGGACTGTTGTATCTTCAGAGGTGGAAGCCGGCAAAGTGGCCGTCTGTGTTGGGTGATCGGCATCCAGCGGTATATTCTCGGAGTGACGCTGCTGTGAAGAAGAGCCATAGAGAGGGATAGTTGGCATTCTTCGCCACCGGTGTCCTCTTCTCCTGGTACTCGTGATTTCGTGAGAAGGAGACATGTTATAGGCAGACAGGAAAGTCACTGGGAAACTAGACGAAAGCGTCTGAAACATGTACGAAGAGGTCCCTTCCATCTTTAGTACTTCACTTTACTTTTCGTCGTCTATCTGTTCAAAATGTGGTATAATCCACAACTGACTCCTCTTGCTAGCTTGCAGCTTCCAACAGTGCAGCCCCCATTGTGAACATGCAATACAGACAGAATCAAAATCGGCTTCCTCTCTTTCTCTCTCTTCTCTTCTCTTTGAGCACGGACAGTCCAGTTCTGGCTCCTACTCGGAAGTACACTTTTGAACCTCTGTCGTACCATGGAACTTGAAATATGCCCTTTTCGGCCCTGAACGCATATATTCGGTGCCCAAAATCTATCTTCGATAACGTACAATTGAAGTGTAGTAGTGGGTGTATCAATAAGTGCGGAAGAGCTGGTCGAAGCTCACGCTCTTGTAATCAGAATTGATACGGTCCAAAAGAGTACTTAGGGTATACGTACAGGCTAGAGCCAGGAATGGATCGTCTGTGCTTAGAGAAGAAAAGAGAGAGACAAAAGGAGGAAGCCGGTTTTGATCTTGTCTGTACAATCCTGACAGTCAAGCGTACTGTACAGTATTGGCCTGTCCCTAGCGGTGCCGGTAACCTATCATGGGCCACAAATGGGTGTTGGAGCATGTAGAGATGACGGCAAACTGCATTCCAGTCTTAGAGTTGTCACTTCTGGACAATCACAGTACCGCAGTCTGTCATGGGCATAAAACAGATCCACTGACGAGCTTACAGTATGAGAATCCTATTTTTGAGTGCTATAATTCCAGCTAGGACAGTCCACTCTTGGATCATTGTGATAGCGAACAATGGTCCAGAAACAGTTGTTACTGTATATTCGATACAGGTTATAAGGATGTTCTGAACCGTGGGTCTCTGCCTCTTAGTACCAGATTGCTGTGTCTTGAAATTTGAACACAGGAAAACAGTTTCAGTCACGTCGGTCACCCATTTCCCGACTCTAGTAGACATTGAGATACGCAATCTTGGAGGCACCACCACGGCCTTCGACACATCTTTAGACTACATCAAGTCGGCAAAATCGCCGATCAGTCCGGAGCAGCGCTTGTTGGAACTCACGCGAGAGAATGGAAGATTACGGCAAGAGGTAGCCTACTTCAGAGGCTTGATCAACCAAGTGTTGCCGCTGCTCTCTGTATTACGATGTTACATCGGTGGGCTGGGGGAAACAATACAGAAATGTAAAAGTCATATCAACGAGGCCAACGCACTTTGGGAGAAAGCGAGGATCATCTGAGCTGTCAATATGATAGGCTACGTATGCCGATAAGCGTGGGGTCGAGGTGTACGGGTTAGCCACGGTCTGGTTGGATTGATGTGTTACTGGGCGGCTTATTTCCCTAATACAATCTGTCCCGTGCCTTACTTTCGTGTTTCAGACCTGTTCAAGCTGGACACGACGATTCCCGTGGTCCCAAGAACCCATCGTCGGCAACTTTCCTCTTCACCCCAGCTTCCGATCGTCTCTCCTTTTCGGCTACATCCGCTGCGTCTCCCAGATCTTGATGAGGGTTTGTTGTGTTTGAACTACTTGCGCCTGAAGTTGACTTGAATTTCTCTCGTGGGACAGCGCAGCCGATAGTTGTTTGACTTGCCTTTGCAAGCGGTCATTCTCTTGGACTACGGCCCTGGCGAATGTTCCGACATGTCTAATGTAGCGCAGATACTCTCCTATGAAAGCATCCGAGCGCGGACGGACATAGGTGTTCTTGGGTGTCATGATACTGTTTGCTGGGGGATTATGAGAGAGATAAATTTATGATGGAGCTTCCATCTAATGAGAATCTGGCAATGATGGTGATTTTTAAAGTTCGTTTTGAGTTTTGTTAGGGCTTCGGATGCAACGATAGAGCCCATCTCACTGTCGTGTGCCTGTTGACGACTGGCACAAGCCGGGTTAAGGGGACCGTAGCGGGTATTTACCGCAACTGTTGTCGCAGAGCCCGATGACCAAAGAGTCTTCCTCACATATCCAATTCTGGCGGGTTTTTCCACCTCGGTGGTTTTTCCCCGCCGGCGGAAGCAACATCACCTGCTTTCACCTTCACCAATTCGACGGACATCGAACGGCTACTGGGACGATGTCCAAACCGGAGGACTGCGGACTGATGGGTCGGATAGCAATGGACGGGGATGTTTTCCGACGGAATCGAGGTTGGATACTGACTAAAATCATCTGGCAGCGCCAGCATGATACCGCAATAGCGTGGATTGGCACGTGAGCGGCTCTGACATGTATATACATACACTGACACCTCCACAATCCTGCGATGTATGGCTCTGGGAGGCGTGGTTTGCCCTAATAGGGACGGTCCCCACGTTAAATACAATCAATCAATCAATCAATCATTTTAATGCTTAATGTATGTGTACAAAGGATCCAAAAATGGCTCTCGAGAATAATGATTTCGTGCATATGAGCGGAAGCCAGTTTCGTTACTCACTGTACTGTAATGCATCAGCATCAACCCAAAATCGATAAGAGCACTGCATAAAATATAATCCATCATGGCCGGAAAGGCCGTGTCCTAGACCACCGTGGTACTCCAAAAGTTCATAAAGCTACTTTCAGGTCAGAGCCAGAACTGAACAGTCCGTGCTCCAATAAGAGAGAAGAGAGAGCAAGAGAGGAAGCTGATTTTAATTCTGTCTGTACTGTATGGCTGGGCTCAAATATTGTACATCCAAATACTACAAGCGTAAAAACGGACCAAGATGAGGATCAATCATCGGGTCGCTTTCTGCATATACCATCTCACATCCGGATCCTACGTAATACAGGGTGCAGTATTGTAGTACTATATAAGTAGTTCTGTATTTACCGCTCCCAAAATATCCTCTTGAATAATCCCGACCGTCCGTCACATTTGTGTAACACCCAACATTTCTAACCATGGAATCTCTAAGCGTTGCCGAAGGTAACCAAACTACAGTTCCCGCGCTTTCGTACTATTCGAATACTGTCCTTGGTAATATGAACAACCAGGATGTAGTCACCGGGCTCCTAATAGGACTGGTTATTGGTGTTGCCATGCTGGTACTCCTGCTTGGCATTCTCCTGACCTTGTTCCTTCTTGGAACCCGATCTGCTTCAATCTTTTCTGCCGATAAGCACAAACTGTCCAAGGTCACTGGACCCGGCGACTGCAGCTTTGGGCCACCTTCGAATGCCTACCGGGAAGAGCAACTATCTTCACAACCGACAATATTACACCAGCCACCTGCAGACCTTCTTGTTCACCCAGTATATCGAAGTGGCTATTGGCAGGGGAATAGTCCAAATCTAACGGCTAGCGATATTGAGCAAATTAAAGTGCCCCAATCTTTGAAACCGGGTCACTGGGGTAAAGCGCAACCCTCTTATGAACAGCCAATGTCAACAATGCCGCCAATATCCGAGTCAAATAGTTGAATATTGTTACAGGTATAGCAGTGGTAATGTAATCAGGAGCAGGAGGAATATTTGTTGTACTTGGGTGACTTTCTCACATATATTCGTTGTAGATGATCTACAGTGGCTTACTGCCTCCGCCCTTCGACTATGTCAATGGGTAGACATGGACGTTAGGGCGCTCGGCTGGGTGTATGGAGTTGTATTTGGTATGCGTTTATAGTCTGTACATCTTGAGATCTCATTTCCCCCCATCCTGAGCAGCTCAATATCGTTTCAGTAATACAATATATTACTTGACACTACAATAGTATCAAACATGAAATGATACTATGCTAGTAGGTCTATGAGCACGACTACATGACTCTTTGCCTCTATGTGCGGAATAGACATGCGCCTAATAATGGTGTGTTCGTAGAATTTTAAACGCTTGCAGTACATCACTCGCCAGCAAATAACCGACTGGCAGAAAGGACAAGCAAGATGGTGGCCCGTGGAACGGAATGCAATGTTGTAGGCGGAGACTGTCCGCGCAAGTTTGACACAATCTTGTGATATTCGACAAAAAGGTCACCCACTATCCATCGATACGTTACAACTATGTCTATACGATCTATTCCATTCCTGATCGAGGCACCTTTGAGTATATGTAGCCATGTCAATACATACGTAAACCAGCCACGTCAAGTCGAACAACCACCACTGACTATGCGTGTTATGAACTGGCCCATATAAAGAGCCCTTATCCCTATCAGAGAAACAATAAACAAGAACAGCGCAAGTCCAAGTAAAGGAGGATCCTGAAATGCCTTCAGCGCAACCCCATTGTCTTCCATCATGGTGTTCAAAGCTTCGGAGCAATTCATGGTCGTGAACGTGGAAGGGGAACGATGTACACCGTCACGGGTGCTTTGGTGCATTCATGTTGCGGGTCGCACGGCGGCTGCAGCGGAAAGGATTGAAGTAGAAGATGAAAAGGTTTACACCTGATTCCTGGTTCCCACCCGAATACAATGCGCCATCACCACATAGCTCAGGGACAAGCAGGCGCGGTCTTCTAGGCAATGATGTGAACAGTACCAATTGTGGAGACGAATACACTAGGACAGGCCATAACCACAGGAATCACCGCAACACCGCCTCGTGCCGTCGAGATAGATTCATTTCAGGGCCAATCGCATCTGAGAGCTCTCTTGGATGGAGATGATCTCTTTGCCAAAGAGCAGGATATCCCAAGGAGGAAGGATGAGCAGCCGGTGGGCAACATGGGCAGTGCAACGAGCTCAACTCTCAGCGAGGTTGGAAATGAGGAAGGCCATTTGAATATAAATTGGACGCCACCGACCTTTCCACGCTGGCTTCGTTCTTGTCTTCTTCTTTCACCTTCCGACCTTACGTGACTCTCAGTCTTGCCACCCATCCCATCTTTCCTTTAAACAACACCAGCAACAACGACAACAGCAATAAAATGGATGAGGGGTTGCTTCAATCTGTCTATTGGATTGACTTCAGCCGAACCGAGGATGATTGTATGACAGCGGTCGACCAGACAACATGTCTCGAAGGCAGCGACAGCATGGTTGAGATAGAAGGGGATGCGAGCCCCTATTTGCCATGGAGGGATGATCAGACTCCAGAGGATTTTTTCGACATCGAAGCATATTCATTTGACATGCAGTCAGAATCATCGGAACATGTACAAGGCCACACATATTGTCAGTCGCTGTCATCTACGAACACCGAAGACGTACAGAAAGAAGGAATGCACCACTCATCGCCCATGCTGGAACGAGATAGCACAGAGTTTGGCGACGTCCTCGACATGAACGACATCATGGCTTCGTCCTCCAAAAGCAGTGACGACCATATGGCAGAGTTCACATCATGTCTAAGCCCAGGTACTGGCTCGAATTTTGTCGGCAACGACTTTTGTGTCGACTGTTCTCAGGGCTGTTCGAATTATGACGGAAACGGAGAGCTTCAACGGTCAAAAAACATTGTCACCCCTACCAAGAGGGGTACCGACAACGTAACTGACGAGACCTTGTCGGAAAATGATAGGCCAAAGCGACGGAAGACTACCTTCGAGAACAAGCCAAAGAACAAGACAAAAAATTGGGCTTGGAACAAAGTTTATATTCACCTGGAAATGATAGAGTTCATGGTGGATGGCTCCCAAGAACACTTTCACTGGAAAACTCGAAGCCGGCGGTGGTCTAGCGGGAATGGTGCGCTTCGGACTCTGGAAGACCTTGGGAGCTACGTATTGGCACGCCTACCCTGGGTCTCCGTTTGGGTGCGGCCACGTGGAGATGGGTTTCCTGTACAGGTGTTTTGGGATGAAAATGAGCACAATTACGTCGGACGTAATGGGATGTGTAGGAAGTCCCTGCGTATCAGCTATGCAGAGATGGCGAGGTTACTCATGTGTCCTCACGAAAGCTTCTTTATCAGTGAAAGTTAATTTCGCGTCACGAGTCCTACATACCGTTTTCTATCTATTTTCGTGATAAAATACCTTGCCGGAAAAGTAAAGGGTCCATATGAACACAGAAGAGGTCGTGGGTTTCTCGGATGAACTGACAAGTCCTGACTTCTTCGGGCTTCCCCTAGTTCCCGAAGCAGATGTTCTTGCAGAGTATAGGTATCAGCTGATACTACTTGAGTGGCGCAACAAGAAGAGAATGGAGTGGGAGGCAGCTAAGGATGACCAGGCGCAATAACTATTGGAACACAACTACGAAGGAGATAACAAAGTGGTTATATTTAAAATTCCCAGATTCTCGGGTCCGAGAAAACACTAATATTCTCCAGATAATCTGCTCCATAAGTGCGCAGATTTCAAGCTCAAGTAAGAACCATTAACATAAACCCGGTAGCCTTCATCTATCATATGGCAGAAGCTAATCCAGAGCACCCTGTATTTCCCAAGGCGAGAGGTAAGTCTATGCCTACGTCTGTACAAATTTTGCGATATGTCATACGTCATGGTATGACATTTTCCGATCTCCAACGAGGCCTCCAAATACCTCTTATGAAGATATCACCCGTACCACAACTGCGGGTGTCGACGGCCAGGAAGAACCTCGTGGCGCCAACGACGCTATCATAAGTGCCCAGGCGCGAATGATAGTGTCGAGTGGGAGACTGGCACTAACGACAAGACCAAAGGTCCCGCGATCCTACAACTTAGATGTAACCTCATCAACTTACACACCACACCTAGCCATGGAGTGGAAGAGCCACCACCACCCACGCGCCTTGGCGGAAGGTGGTCTACGTGCTACAGTTTAGCACATACATCCCCACCATACATCAAGCCGGCTTGCCGACTGCCTCCGACGTCTTGCCCGGCGCTTGGCCGCGAAGCCGCGCCGCCCGCTCAACGATATCTTCGTCGCGGTTCGACGACCAGAGCCTGATTGCGGCACTACCTTCCCACACATCTACTAGGGCATATTTTGGTAGCCATAAATGAAATATTGGCCACGACGCTGCGCAGCCTGCTCGCCGAGATCTTCGTCGCAACGAGAGCGTGATTGCGGTGCTACGGCACGGAACCCGTCATGAAGTGACCGCGACGAGAACCCAATCAATGGCGGATCGGATTTGGAAACCGGTATTTTAGATTCTGCTTTCGTTTCATGATAGCTTCCAAGCACGTCCAATTTTCGACAGCATCGAGAGGGAGAAGGCATTGTTCGGACCGTTCCTGCTGTGTAGTGGTGAAAAGTGTCATGCGATTGCGCGCATTTGACGCGACCGACAAATCGCTAACACCATTCCCCAATTTGGTGGTGCTGAAAATGGACAGGCTCCAAGCGGCTCAAAATGACATGGGTTCGATAACCGGGGACAGATTAAAGAGCGGACCGATTGCCAGGCCCACAAAACGTTTTTGGCCAGCAAGTACAACTAACCAAAACGTAGTATTGCTATGCAGTTTCTGGAATAGTCAATTCTGGCACATGGAAGTTGGGACCGGATAGTATTGCGCTGGCCGGGTCAGAAGTGGTCAGTGTGGATTCGTATCCCAAATGAGAACCTATTGTGGATGGCCACTTTCGAGCTAGTCCATTCCCATTTCGACAGGTGAGTAAGCGCATCGGGTCGGATTGTTGATGACAGCCACGACTATTTTCTATTTTCGAAGCCCTTGCAGCGGTCTAATAATTCATCAGAAAGTGGACCAGAGGTTACCAACGCAGCGTGGCTATGTCCGGGGCTGAATTGGAGCCATTGATTACAGAAGGCACAGGGATAATGAACTTCTCAGTTCTTCGTCACAGTCACGTAACTCATGACAACTCGATGAGTCTCTACTTCCGCCCCCTTCTTCTCTCAGATTTTATAATCGTTTACCATCAATATATGAGCAACGGCGCTAGATGACATCAAGCCCTTTCACACCGTACATGCACTTTCCACCAAGCCATTTCATTTGTTTCTTCGGCGGTCATGAACCTTCTTGCAGACGAAATCTTACTCCTGATCATTGGTGAACTGGCACACCACGAGGTCTTGTCATGTCGGCGGGTCTGCAGGAAGCTCATGCGGGTCTGCAATTCCATTTCCTTCAAGTGCCTCAACGTAGGACCTAACTATCTCGAGATACAAAGTCTCATTAGACTGTCGGAAACCGATCTACGGTTGCACGTACGAGAAATTCATCTGACCTTCGAGGTATTCTATCCACAACGAGCCATGTCTCTCGCCGCGTTCACCTCGGCTCTACGCCCACATCCGCTCTTGTACAAGCCATCCGATACAGAGAGATTCTTCAAAAGATACCAAGAGGCATTCTGCCAAGAAACAATGTGGGAACGATTTCTGATGCACGCCGCATCGTTGGCGACCTTGTTGGACAGATACCAGAACCTGGGCCATGTACAGATATCCCAGTCGTATGCCCACCATCCTGAAGACAAGCCTGACGGCAGAAATCCAATGAATGCTGCAATATCTATTGCTGGACATCAGATGTTCCTGTCTATTGTCAACGGGCTTGCATTATCTCGAACTAAGATTCGGGAGATGACACTCAAGGATATCAACCCACTTTATCATTATTTCAGTGACCATGGGTTCGCCAACAGGTTCGCCAATGCTCTGCTAAGAGTGTTCCCAAACACAGCACCCATCTACAAGGCGGCATTTCAGGAGCTAAAGGTTCTTAATATGACTCTCGCATCAAAGCTTGAGAATCTCGAATGCATTGCGGCTTTGCTACAAACTATGCAGGAACTGGAGGCTGTTAGTCTTCAATTTGGTGGGGGTACATTCGAGGGCCATCTGATGGATCGGTTTCTACCCTTAGTCCACTTACCAAAGTTGAGGAGATTTTTCGTAAGCTCTGCTTGTTTTCAGCATCCAGAAAATCTATTAGAGTTCTTACAGAGACACGAGGGAACGTTAGTCGTTGGGTCGGGTATAAGGTTCTAAAACGTAAGGAATTGGAATGTAATACGTAAAGCGCGAATAGTTTCTAAGGTAGGAGTCGTTCGTGGCAGCTGTCAAGATTGCGGGGAAATAAGAATACGTACCGGTGTACTAACAGAAACCGTTCGAACCAATAGAAAGCTGTAAAAAAGTGCTGCGTCCGTAAGGTGCTGCGTCCCTAGTAATTCATGCTGCGTCCCTATCAATTGCCATTTATAAATGCGATGTCGCTTAGCAGTCTCGGTTGTGACAAAGATCATAATGACGCCGGCGATTCCGTCGTGGCTAGCATTTAGATCAACGTGCTAGTACTCTTCTCAGCTGCCTCTTTAGATGTCAAGCGTGGATAGTCGGACCATTAGACGGTCCGAGTCGATGGGGCTTTACGCCTGCCGTAAAAGTTCGTTGCACCGTGACTTTTCGCGAAGATGTCGAGTATCCTGGCTATCTCCAGTAACACAGATGAGAATCTGAAGGCTGAGCTACACAACGGCACTTACTTCGACACACAGGACATTAGGATTCGCAGCAATCCAGACAAACTCCAAACATGCATTGCAAAATACATGGCCCAGCTCTGTATCAGAGACTTGCGTCCAGAAGTAGAGTTATGGGAACTCAGCAAATGGACGGGATCTGCTCAACGATGTCTTCCGCATCTGGGAGTCAAGCTTCTGGTCCATGGCATCAATACGTGGCTGTAGTTCTTCACGCGATCTGACCCAATATGGGGACATGGATTGGTCAGTCTTTACTATGGTGATTGTTGGGAGGTGTCTCATTATCGCACTACGACATCTCTCCTAGATCGCGCTTTTAGGGGAGTATTAGCCTTCTGCTCTCTTGTAGAGGGAGACTGCGGGCGTTCATGTTGTTGTTGAACCTTCTCCACCTGAGCCTCCAAGGGTCGAGTAGAGTCACGCCTTCCATCAATCTAATCGGAGTATCTAAGTTCCAAGAGAAGTTGTGCTGCCTGCTCGTCCGTACAGGAGCTCTCAGTAGTATTTTCCTCGGCGGCCCCAGCCGATGGCCACACAGGCATAAGCCGAAAGCAGCTTTCGCTTTCCCTATCCGACATGACGGTCATGGAGTATATGTCGCCGCGGCCCCTTGCCAAATGTCTTGCGGCTGTATTAGAAAGATGTGACAGTGGGACGATGGGGCCTCTTTTATAGCCAGACGCCGTCAGTACTCGGATAGAAATCTATCCGGCCTCGTAGAAGCGGGATTTAACTTACTCCGATAGCTACTGCGTCCTTGTCTTGCTGCAAATGCCAGATCAGTCTTGTGGCTCAAGTAGAGCACATGATTTATAGTTGCTCTAATGTAGTCCCCAATTATAATTGCAAGGTGAACCAACAATTCAGAGATGAAGGAAACCGTCAGTCCACGAAGTCTCGTGAGAAAATGGTCGCTACATCGGAAGCAAATTGTAGCCAAAATCTCGTGATCAGTAAGAAATCTTTGCAAAGCATTATTCCTTCTGATTGTCATCGTTGCAATATGGGAAATACACGAAGTCGGAGTAAGGATGACCACGTCATGTAGAAGCTTGACGACACGGACTTCGGCCCAACTGTTTCTCGATTATTGTGAATCACCAGGGGGGGTACATGGTTTTGCGCGAAACCGCTAAGTATATAAGGTTGACCGTGTTCTCCCATTTCCAGTCTTCTTCCTGTTTTCAATTCTCAATACATCCTTTCCTGTTCCTGCATTCCTTGTGTCTGACTTGCCATACCGACACGTCGAAGTCTGGAGAAGTCACGTCACACAGATCAATTCATGACGATACATCCATTCGAAACGACTTTCCTCCAAATCTTCATCTTCATTTGATAGCAACAATGATCCTCGGCTGGATCCAAAGACTGATGAAAGTGTTGACTTCATCTCACTCTCGCTCTTTAGCTCCCGGGAAGATCTATACGTATTTTTCTGATGCGAGTAACCTGCAAACGATTCTCGACTGCGACTACCCTACACATCCAACAGTAAGCACATCATAAAAAGTTATAATCTCACATCAACTGATATATTCTAGGCAACGATCGAAGATCGACTTGCACAGAAAGTTAATGAGCTTGTTGACGCTGGTATTACCATGTCTCCAGATATCATTTCTGTCGATTACTGCCATGGCCCGCGGGGAGAATTCATAGCCTATACAGTGAAGTCCCGTGCGCTTCTCAGTTCTGTCGAAGAAATTGACCGCCATTGGATTAATGAACTTAGAACGACTCCTCCTTTCATACTTGTTGTCATCAATGATTTGGATGCTGCGAAAGAGTCTTGCATCGATGGGGAAGATTTGAAATCACTCGCTGGTAGATTAATACTTTCGAGGGCTCGGATCTTTGCTATTACCGGAGCACAAGACTCTGGCATGTGTCAGGAGTGATACATGGCCCAAGAGCACCAGTGATCGGTGCCGTTGGGGCTCAAACAACAAGCAGGTGTTCATCACCAGAGGCACGGTTCCGCTTTCTAGTCTTTCATGCATAATGATGCAGTCGGGACGAAAATAAATGTAATAAGAAAACAAGAGGAGGGAAAAAGGGAAAATAATGTAAGGTGGTAAATTTGCAGTAGCTCGGGTTGGCGTTCTTCGGGCTCAAAAGCCCATAATCATAGTTAGGATTCATTGCGATCTACGAAACTGTATCGCTCAGCTAGTTTAGATCGACAGTTCTATCCGCAGACGATTTTGAATGAGGCAACAACTTTTGTCATATCTTGGGTGATAAGTGTCACGGTGGCTCCGTGGCCAAAGTGGAGAGAATAAACGTAGGTGTAAATCGCTCAATGAAGTAAGGTAGTTGGTATGCTACTAATTCGTGGCTATGAATGGTATGCCACAAGCCGGTTTCTGCTCTCTAACACTCTGCGACTAATTGCCCACAGAGCCAGAAACAAATCTTGAGCCTATAAGGATGTAAGGCCGGTCAAGAAATATCGGCCACTCCAGAATTCCGAGCGTCCTTTGAACCGCCGCTTCTGGATCCGTATAGCATAGGGAGTTGTCACGAGGTGATCATGAACACATACAGATGGCTCTCTTTGACAAGTTTCTCTTTTGCCACATCCACCAAGCCGAACTCCATAGAGGAGAACCGCTGACTTGGCATGATGAAATCGATCTCCAATATCCCAAGGACACTGACTACTGCTCGAAAATTATCGCAAAATCCGAATGAAAGCCACCGAAAACCTGGACTGTCGCGGGTAGCGAGACCTCAGCATGAACTAGGTGTCGAAGTTGTAATGTTCAGAAGAATGATGTACATGCCATTCAGAGACTCTATTCTTGACTACTTGACGAGCGCACCTAAAGTTTTGTATACGTTCTTGTACGACACATGTCTACTTCCACCTAGACTTGTGCCTTAGCTCCACGCACTCCAGCTCACAAGGTCAACAGCGTTTTACCAAGGAACGTCACATCTTCTTTGTCGATGAATTCCTCTTCCCAACATCTGGAGCATTGAATGCAATGATCATAAATGGTAGAGGTTCTCCAAGCTTCCTGGCCGCAGATCGAGCGCTTGCCTCGACATCACCAAGAAGTGTACGAGAGTTCACTGTGTAGACTAAGAAGTCCCCAGCCACAGTCTTGTAAAGAACCATGGTGACGGAATCTGGCTTCATTTGCAAAGCATCGTATATGAAACGGTCGGTTTTCGACACGAACTCGAAATTGAACACAGTCTGAACCGTTATGTTAATGTTGGTGTAAATAGTTTGTAGCTCCCGGGTCGTACTCACACTTGGATATATACTACTGCCGCCGTCGAGTATGCTTCGAAACTTATATGAATTGGAGAAGTACATGTGTACAGTTCCAGAAGCGCAAGGACCACCGTAATAAGTTGGAATCGAGATTGTTTTTTTCCACAGGATGCCGACAGTGAACAGAATTACTGAACCCTGGAGGCCCCGTTGGAGATCGGAAAATGTCATTCCATGACGTATGTTCGCCTCATGATCTTCTGTGGCGTCAGTTATGACTTTTGTCGGACATTGTGCCAAGTCTTGCCAGGCTCCGGCACAATGATGAAGGATAGTATGGCCGTGGTAGCTCTACCATCGCATCAGCTTCGTCTCTAACGTCTCTGAGCTGGGATTAGCTGAAGTCATTAATGTGATGTCATCAGCCAAGTATTGTCGAACGGCATTCATGATCTGAAGTGAGACGAAAGACCCTTGCACGCAGTGATCAGATGGCAAGAGAATCTTGAAGAAGAAGTGACACCACTGGGTCAGGCGCAGGGTTTTCGGCAACAATGTGAAGTATTACTCTTGAAACTACTCGACGTCTCACGTGGTTATTTCGGTTCAACTATCACCCCGTTCGGGTCGAATGTGTGCCCGATTTCGCGAAGTTTTTCCATAGAAAGCTGGAAAGCCTTCATAATCCACTATGGGTAGAGTTAAGCCCCTCTGTCACAGACGGAAATAAGGAGGCCTCGGATCAGATATGTCTTTCTCAATTGATTTGTATATATACTTGGGCATTCTTCTGACTTCTATCCTGACAATGTATTTCTGATAATATCTTGCAACAACACTGCGATCCCTTCCTCAGCACGTTTACTTTGGGGCATTACACTCAAATATGACCCATTTTTCTACTGAAATGCTCGCTCTACCTATCCATGAGACAGGGGTTGATGACAACTCGGTATGCCCAAGACAATTATCGGAACCTCCACTTGACTATTCGAAATACAAAGAGCAATTACAGAAGCTTGTGGACATGAATAAGGCCCGAATACAAGATGTCTCGCAAAACGTACAGCCGCATGTATCAGCATCGGATGGATCCAATACAGAACACCGGCTGCACCCTCTCAGACCTAGTTATGCTACCTATGAGGCTGCACATCATTTACAAATACCTCGGAATGATGATAATGTGTCAACGGTCGGCTTTCTGGTTAATAGCAACGATCGCCAAGCCGAGGTAGATTTCTTCGAGAATCCGCGTTTCGAAAACGACGATGATGAATTTATCACGTTCACAGCTCATTGGAAATCTTCGCGAGTGACAAGTGACGATTTAGTGGGTTTGTCTGTGTACAGAGCACAGCAACTTGTGGAGGAAGAGTTTGGGTTGGAAATATTGAATCAATGGAAGAAGCGCTTATTGGTGCAAAGGCAAATCAGGGGAAAGGCATGGCACCCGTGGTCTATCCAGGAACTACGAACCCCTTTACTAGACCAAAAAACCGATATGGCGACGTTTGAAGCAGTCTGGACGCCGACAAACGTTTCCCTGAGTGAGATCATCATACACTCTGAAGGTTATGACGATGCTAAAAATGCGGTCGTAGAGAGGTTTGGAACGAATGCTTGGAAGCGACAAGAAGCCAAATTGGTAGCTCGCCGGCGCCGAACTATGAGAAAGCGCAGATTCGCTCGAGGCCGTGGATGGAGTAGATAGTGAAGAGTGCTTGGACGCCGGGACGATACCGGGATTATATAACAACAAGTAGGAATAAGCCTTCTTCCAATTGAAGAAACTCTCGCTACCGCCGTCTATACCGTGGCTAGGCTTCACTTCTGCGTGAAATACTGCTTATTAACGTAGATCAAGTGTAGAGACGTCACACCGGTACTTAGCTGGTTTTGGTCCCATTGAAAGAGCCCGGTCCTCAGTGGCCTAGCCTGTAGCCTCCTGAAGGCCTCACGAACGTGCCGGCTTGTCGACTGGTGTTTGCGATAATGCGATAATGCGATAGGACCTACTCGTCCGGTCGATAATTGTCAGTCGAAGATGAGTCGAGTCAATACGGGAAGCAGTCTATAGATGGGAGAACGAATACTAATATAAGATTAACTTTGGCATTGCGATTTCACTTGAGAATGCCAATGTGCTGTACGGATGCTGCCGTTCCAGCCATTTCATTTCCTTACAACTCGAGTCTAATGCCCAACTATCATTTCATGCAGCATTCTACCGAGACGTCTTTCTATCCATGTGGGTACATAATAGTTTCGCGCCTGGGGACAGCTGTGCTGGGAATACAAACACGACCGGCCGAAATCAATACACATAGTGGCACTCTTCCTGGTGGAGAATAAAACAAAAACTCCATGGAGCACGATCAGCGTCGCCGGTTGGATTTTAACGAACTACTGGGGAGCTAGTGACCTTGGCATGCAGGCACATGCTGGGGCGCGCACAGTAATGGATAGGCATACATATAGTCAGCTGTGGCAGCTGCACACACACAATCGACCCAACCGCTTTAGGGGTTGGTGCACTCAATTGGGCCATTGCTGGCGAAGCACTACATGACGCCCTGGTCGACAATCGGAACCGAAACCGTACCAACAACAGCGTCTGCACGAGCACAAATCCCATCCAACATCATTGACAGTGGCCCCGTCGGAGCCTGCAGGTCGCAGTCTCCTGATGCGGGGTCGTGTGACCGACGACTGTGCCGCCTTCAGCCCGCACGAGGCTCCCGACGTGTCCTAGACGACGACGACGACAACGACAACGGCATGAACTGCCCGATTGGACGGCGCGAACGTATGCCAAAGCGGTGCTGGATGAGATCCCCCCGAATTGAGTACGATGAGTGTCGCAATGTCCCAAACACCTGAACGAATCAGTATGATTATAAATGGTAAGGTTATGATCTGTGGATGGTCGTGAGCATTTTTGGTGGGCTGAATTGCGGATGAGGCTAACAGATTACACCGAACAGGCGTGGTTATAATCTCTTCGGTCGTCCTCAACATTTCATTTGACCGCTGTCCAACGATTGCGTTAAAGAGACTGTCTGAATTTATCATCATTTGAAGGCTTTCCATTGCGTGTTTCACTTAGCGATCCTGAAATGACACGACTCTGATATCTCTATGATTTCATCTCGATCTTCACTTGCTTCAAGTTATCGTTATTGGTGTTGTAGAACGCGATACAGTGGTGATTGATCAAGAAGTGATTAAACATGGGTCATATCCTCAAGATGACAGCCTCATAGTATATACCTGGCTAAATGGGAGTCACCGGCCATGGATATTCTGCAACAAGTATCTACAATTTCACCAATTCAACCATTGCTTATGATCATAGCAGGTCGACAATTTGTTCCAATGTGGGCACGTAGAGGAACATTTTGCAAAGTAGTCCCTGTAATTACATCATAAAAGATGGTAAACAAATTGTGTCATAAACATGTCGCTTCCCCACTTATCCGACACTTACCTGTCCTACTCTCGGCCGTCTCGTTTCTTCTTTCCTGCCAGGCTCTGATTGCCGCCCAAATGAAATTCTCCCCGGGTTCCAGTGACGGTTTCCATTCAATCAAATACCAAGCCTGTCCTCTCATCCGCTTCTCTCCAATGATCTTGCAAGGATAATCCTGATTGGCTATCACCATTTCGTGATTCGATGTGAGATTAGGCGTTCCTACAAGCGTACGATACCAACTTATAACAGTATCTAATCGACCATAAGATCTACCCTCCGCTTTGTGAGGATGTAGCAGACCAAACTCAACATTGCTCACAGCAAGGCACCGCGGTCAGCACTTTCACATCATCGTATTTTCTTTCGCACTTTTGCAAGTCCGACCCAAAGCGCCAGCTACTATACCCACTAAAACATGGTACTAGGGAATGTCTGCCTCTATTAGTCTATAGCTCGGCTCTGATGTTTACGACATCATACCCGACGATGACGGAGACACTGTTATCGTGCACGATCCATCTTCTGCTGCAGGCCGGCAAGCACACCCTGGCCCCTCTTCAGACTCAGGTAAGCACTCCTACAATCTAATCGGGGTAGAGCGACGGTTCAATCAACTGACCATGGCCCAATAGACGCTACAGGAAGCCCGGGCAGCAGACACCAACGTCATTCACACAGGACAGAATCGAGTACGACGAGTAGAGACGGGACAGATGATGATTTACTCTGTTACCAGGTCGGACAGAATAACGCATCAACACGGAAAGGCGAGATAAGACATCATAGTATAGGTCGGGCTGGACAGCCTCAATATCCGTCAGGGCGAGTCACGAAGCAGCCAGTGAGAGGCCGTGCACGGCCTCAAGCTTTGGAGACACATACATCGGCTGAGGGTCTCAGCGTGCACCGTGCTCAAGTGGGGAGAACTTCCTACACATCCTATCACATCCGACGTACCTGCACTCACTTTCATCCCAAAACACCTGGACGGGAAACCCATCTCCACGTGGCCGCACCCAAATGGAGACCCAGGGCAGACCTGCCAATGCGCAGCTCCCAAGTTCCTCCAGAGTCCAAAGCTCACCATTCTCACTAGACCACTGCGTGCTTCGAGATTTCCAGTAAAAGACTTTTTGGAGCTCTGCCACCCTGAACTCTATCCATTCCAAGTGGATAAGAACGTCGCTCCAAGCCCTCTTTTTTTGCTTGTTCTTTGGCTTGTTCTTTGGCTTGCTCTCCAGGGCAGTCTTCCGTCGCTTTGCTCCATCTTTCTCTGACGTGCTCTTTTCAATTACGTCCTTGGCACCCCCTCTTGGCAGGAGTAATCATGCTTTGGGAACGTTGAACCTGCCCATTTCCATCACCATTCGAACTGCTCCGAGAGTTGTCCACACAAAGGCCGTTGCCAACGAAATTTGAGCCAGTACCTGGGTTAGACATGACGTGAACTCTGCCAGCTGGTCGTCACTGCGTTTGAGAGACGAATACCCGTTGTTGCTCACGTCGTCTTCGATATCGGTATTTGGCAGGGAATCAAATGACTATGCTTCGAAGTCAAAAATGAACTCTGGAGTCTGATCATTTCTCCATGGCAAATAGGGGTTCGCAGCCCCTTCTGTCCCAAGCATGCTGTTACTGTGTTGTGGATATGTTGTCTCGTCGACCGCTGTCATAGTCTTTTTCTCGGTTGGGCTGAAGTCAATCCAACAGGCAGGATCAAACAAACCCGTATCCATTTTGTTCTTGTTGTTGCTGTTATTGTTTGATGGAGAGGTGAAATGGACGGCAAGATGGAGGTGCACATCAAGTCGGAAGAGTGAGTGAAAAGAAGAAAAGGACGAAGCCAGTGAGTAAAGTTCGGCGGCATACCATTTTATACCCAGGGGGTCCTCCTCATTCCCAATGTTGCTGAGAGCCAAGCTCACTGCACTGTCATGTTGCCCGTCTAGCTGCTGACCCTTCCTACTTTGGATATCCTGCTCTTTGGGGCGACGAGGTCATGTCCACCCAAGCCACCCAAGAGAGCTCTCAGACGCGATTGGTCGTGAGAAGAACTGATCTCGACGGGATGAGGCGGTGTTGCGGTGAGTCCTCCGGATGTGGCCTATCTTAGCGTATTCGTCTCCATGATCGCATAGAAGACCGCGCCAGCCTGTCCCTGAGCTGTGTGGCGATGACGCACTCGACGCACGTGAGAACCTGGCCTCACCGACTTATAATCCCACCCATTCTCATACACACATGGTGCCTATGTCTGTTCATCACTTGGCGATCCAAGAATTCGCTGGCATCCTACACCACTACCAAGCGTATACGGAAGGCGTCCGACACCGCAATACCGACCTACAACAAGTAATTGATCAATTACACAAGAAGATTGACGAAATGTCGGATTTTCAGCAGAATCAAGGAAAAGTGATAGAGGCACAAAGAGAACGTGTTCGTATCTTAGAGTCTGCGCAAGCCGCACCCAGTCCGCTCGAGTTGACCCTAGCCGAATACGTTTCGACGGACAATACTCAATTACCGACGTCGTGCAATACCACACCAAGTTACGCTGCAGAGCTTGCGCCAAATATTCGAATACCTGTATCCTTTGCCAATAGCACTCCCATTGCTGAATGAATAATTCAAAAGTATAATCAAGGTCTTCGCAATCGATGGCACACAATAGAATTCGCCTAGCTAAGCTTGGCGATGATCTAGCACCTGTATAAAACATAAGGAAGCAGGAACATGATTCGATAGTGGAAGACTGGTAGCCACTCTTGCCTTCCAGGCTCTTACACCTTATACGTGACATCGTACCTCAAGTACTACAATATTCACGTATAAGTGCCTACGCGCATATCGGTAAGCGACTACTTTGTATTCAATTTAAGGTCCTCCTCATGTGACAGGAAACTGCCTGCCATTCTCTCCCTTCGGCTTACTGTAATTATAAATATCCTAGTTGCATGGGAAGACGTGTTTGCACACATTGTCCTGGTTATTTGAGTTGGGTATCAGCACATCTTGGATCAGCTGACAGTCGAAGGAGCCAGTAAAATTATACCCGCCGTATTTCATGCCTATGGCGTTGTAATCTCCACTTTCACTAAGATGTGTAATATCCGTAGTCCAGGGAAGGGTGCTGTCGATGGAAAAGGGACCAAGGGAGCTGAGATATTCGAAGACAGGTGCATTCTTCACCACCTGGCCGATGACCTTGCAGCTACTATCATGGACCTCGGCGTTCTTCCAGAAGGAATGAGGATATGTAGCTGAGCGCTGATTTAGTGCAACTCCACATAGTGAGGCAAGAAGAGTGAAGTAAGGGAAGTGGAGGAGATCGTACTTTCAGCAGCGGAACTATATGTTCCGCTGATAGACAATGTACACTGTCCTGAGGAAGTGGGCGAACAGAAAGCGTCCGCCATGACCTGAACAACTGTGAGGGTGGAAACAGAGACGAAGACAGCCAAAGCACGTGGTGTCATGACGGGTGGCTGAAAAGCTGTTACGAAGTTTGTCATGGTGTGAAGCGCGGCTTTGACCCCAATATTTATTCCTTGTTCGCTAATTATATTTGGCTGTTACATACAGTAAAGGGCGAAATGGGTGTCGCGGGTTTCGTTATTTAAGATAATTAATTAGGTCCGATTTTGGATCTTGCATAACAATCCGGCCGACACTTGGGTATCCATAAGTACAGGTACATAAAAACCAGTGCCCCTCTACACAAGAGCTTTTGTCAGATACTGGGTATGCATTTCGGTCATTATTACACATAATTTATAATCAGATTAACCCATTCCGGTAACCCCCTAAATCTGATAGCCTTAATGTCTAACCATTCTGAGCACGTGTTGCCTGGTTTCTTAGCGCATTGGATCTCTTATCGCCTGACGATAAATAAGCACCATACGATCTTGAAAATTTATTATCAAAGGGTAATTATTATCACAATCTCGTATCTAATTACTGCATTTCATTCCATACATACAAACTTTAATAGAACGGCATGGGTCGCAAATAACGATAGGATTTGTTTACATTTTATAAAGGAAGTTGTTTATAAAGCAATAGGCTATAACGAAGTTTCTTACGCGGTTACTAACAACTAGATCAAGCTATGCACTCTGCCTGGCTAAAGAATAAGAAAGCAAAAAGCATGGTAACTAGACTAGCTACGAGCTATGTATAAGAGGCTGCAAGTATTTGTTATTTAGGATCATTTCCGCCTTACGGGGATGCGAGAGGTCATTTTCGAGACATCTCGGCGTGTGGTCTTCCGAGCTTGTTGTGGGGATACCGTATCTGCACTCGTTATTAAACAAATTTACAAAAACCAAACGTGGTAACAAAAGCTTACCATGGATCCTCTGATGCAGTTCGAGTAAGGCATTGTGCAGTGATTGAACATCTCTATGTTGAGGCCCTAGCAGCGCCTCAAGATTGTCGTGGGCGCGTTGATAGTATGTCCTCGCCTCCACCAGCTTGCCCTGATCCCATAATAAGGCTCCGAAACCCCACGTCGTATTGATTGCTGGCCGATATCTCGCGATATGTTGGGGCCCGACGGCATTCTCGTACCCTCGAAGCGCCCGCAAGTACATCTCCTCCGCCTCTTGCAACTTGCCTTGGTCGGCGTAAAGGAGACCTATGTTGTTGACCGTGTCTAGTGTCGACGTGTGATCCGGTCCCCACACATTCTCGTACCCTCGAAGCGCCCGCAAGTACATCTCCTCCGCCTCTTGCATCTTGCCTTGGGCTTTGTAAAGGTTCCCTAGGTTGTTAACCGTGTCTAGTGTCGACGTGTGATCCGGTCCCCACGCATTCTCCTTCCCTCGAAGCGCCCGCAAGTACATCTCCTCCGCCTCTTGCATCTTGCCTTGGTCGGAGTAAAGGTTCCCTAGGTTGTTGACCGTGTTTAGTGTCGACGTGTGATCCGGTCCCGACGCATTCTCCTTCCCTCGAAGCGCCCGCAAGTACATCTCCTCCGCCTCTTGCATCTTGCCTTTGGCTTTGTAAAGTGCACCTAGGTTGTTGACCGTGTCTAGTGTCGACGTGTGATCCGGTCCCCACGCATTCTCCTTCCCTCGAAGCGCCCGCAAGTACATCTCCTCCGCCTCTTGCATCTTGCCTTGGGCTTTGTAAAGCGCACCTAGGTTGTTGACCGTGGAGAGTGTCGACGTGTGATCCGGTCCCCACGCATTCTCGTACCCTCGAAGCGCCCGCAAGTACATCTCCTCCGCCTCCTGCATCTTGCCTTGGTCTTTGTAAAGGTTCCCTAGGTTGTTGACCGTGGAGAGTGTCGACGTGTGATCCGGTCCCCACGCATTCTCGTACCCTCGAAGCGCCCGCAAGTACATCTCCTCCGCCTCTTGCATCTTGCCTTGGTCTGCGTAAAGGAGACCTAGATTATAGAAAGCCCAATCCAAACCATCATCTCCATTTTGAAATGTGGCGCAAGACGTTATTGCATGTGCTAAAAGTCGTCTTTGAAGTAGCCAGAACTGATCGTCATCCTGTGATGGCACCTTTGATGCTATACACTCGAGCGCGAGCTTGTTTAGGCAGTCATCCCAACCCTGATTTAGTATGTGAACTGTCCAAGAGTGCAAGCATGCGTGAATGCTGTATCCCTTCGATTCGAGCAGCTCTGAAGTGAAGCTGTATGGCTCAACGAACCCGTAGTTATGCAATATGCCCATCGCGCTATTAAAATTCAGCTCATCATGCAACTCATAAATCCACGCTGGGCCGTCATCACCATAGTGCTGGAAGAGTTCGAACCATACGTCTTCGTTATCAAAATAAGCCCACCATTGGAGCAGATTAGCGGCAAGGGAATTTTGTGACTTGATTTGCTCGTATGAGATTTGCCACGTAGAAGAGAGCGTGTGGTCTTGGTATGACCCCAAGCTTGGAGTGCTTGCATGAAGCCTCGCCCATGAAATCTTGTAAAGGCGAAGATATTTACCGAGGCTTACCGGGACGTGCCTTAGGTATGCCCCAGCCGTGGCAAGGGCAAGCGGAAGCCCGTCAAGCTCCTCCACAAGATCTCTAGCATCCGTGTCTGTGGGAATAATTAATAAAGCCTAGCGATCTGTATGGGTCTTACCATTGTCCAAGCCATCTCGACCTGAGGTTGTTAACAGGATATCAAGACTGTCTTCTACCGATTCAAGCTTCGTCACTCGAATACGATAACCTATATCGACTTGTGATAACCGTGTCGTGACAAGAATCGAGCCTTGGTAGGACATGGGAAGAAAGCGATTAATGTCGATTCCCGTGTCATCGACGCGGTCAGCCAATCTAGGATTATCGTAGTTGTCGTATACGAGAAGCCACCTAGTGTTACCCGGCAAGCTAAGCCATGCCTTCACAGCTTCGATCACCTCCTCGTGATTTTGTTGTAGGTCCAGCGCATTCAGGCCGCTAGCATCAGGATGTTGTCGCAGAATCTGCATCGCAACTTTGGTGAAGCTTTGTTGGATAGACGCTTCATCTTTAATGTTGAGCCATAATATCGCTGAGTATTCGTCTCGGTATCGCTTCGTGTATGCTACGGCAAGCTGTGTCTTGCCAATGCCGCCGAGACCGTGGAGGACAACGACGCGACGGCTGCCATCAGAGCTGAGAGTTCTGCGCATCTCGGCAATTTCCCTCTCTCGTGCGACGAAATGTGGGACTTCGAAAACTTCGGACAGGCTGAAGGAAACAGAGAAATCAGTCGCACGGGTTCCTGATCCTGTCAGGCTCCAAACACACTGTCTATTAGTCACTAGGGTCTTACCAATGATAGCTTTCTGGGTTTCCTCTCGGAGTCGTTTTCGTGCCTTCTCTCGCCCTTCGCCATAGATCAGTGGCATATGAACGTTAAATATCCCAAGCAACGAATAAGCCATGTCCTCCTCGTGCGTCGTTTGGCGGCCGCGCACCCATGCTTCTCGTTCTGCAACCGTATAGTCGGATAAAGGTGTACCACGGAGCGCACCAGCAGGAATGCCTGTAATGTCGCGAATCAACGGCTCCAGTGTTCGCTTGTCTCCCAGCCAAGACCCCTCTCTCGAGTAGAAGTCGACTGTCTTAGGGGCGATTAGCTCTTGCAGCGTCCACCCACGAGTGAACCATCGACTATCTCGAAAGGGATCTTCCCATGGTGTCCGGCTTTGTTGTGTATCTGACACTGAAATGGCCGAGACGTCTGCTAAATAGACGTAGCACCGTTCCGAGTTGAGGTACCATCGGAACATGCTGTTGATTGCCGTCTGGAGCTCGATAGCTTCGGATTTGTCGATGCAGCAGGTGTCGACCCAGAAATACTGCAACCCGTCTCGTTTCGCTTGTTCTGCGCAGAACTTGATCTTGTCAAAGCCGGCTTTCTGCTGCCAGTCCCTTGGCGTTCTCGCTAGATCGGCAAACAGCACCTCCTCGTCGGGTCTCCATGTGTGGGATAGGATCGCGTAAGGACGAACATCGTTGGAAGCGAGATCTGGGGTAAGAGCAAATCTGCCCGTATCATCACATTGTAGCAGTCGCATCATCAGTCCATTCACTCATGCTAGCCGCCGCAACGTAATGAAAGTGATTAGCCTGGCCAGCACGATCTCTCACGCATTGTTGGTGTTTTCTTCCTTCGTCTGCAGCCTGACTGATCAGTCAGCATGGCTGCGGATGCGGGGTACGGGTCAGTCAGCTCAGCCGCAAAGCGCAAACAACGAGGGGTAAACATCGAATCCATGCGTGTGCCCATCGCACCGATGATGGAACAACTATCGCGTACAACGCAGTACAAGGGCTGTTCTTGACGTCCTGCTGCGAAGCTATAAATGATGAAGGGTAGCAAGGGATTAGAGAACTGCTAAACTGTGGCGGAGCAAACAGCCGTTAGTGCCACTAGGCAGCGCCGTGGCCCACCAGGTACTGTACTGTAACACGCGTCTCAACGCACTCTTTAGAGTTCCACAGAGTCTGTGTTTCCGCATCCTTCTTTCCTTTCATGACCACTGACTCGCTAAACTCTCGACTACGTTTACAATCATGGCGCCTCAACTAGATCCAGTGCAACGTGACCTTATCAAGTCGATGATCAAGCAAAGAGCTGAGAATAAAGTCATTGCATTCGAGACTTCATGTAGCACCCGCGCTGTCCAAAGAAATCGGCTCGAAAAAGGAACCAGGCGACATGACCAGTAACCGCAGGACCTCCGCTGGTCGCCGCAGTCGTATCACACCGCCCATGCGCAGAGCTTTACGTGACATACTAAGCGAACGACCGGACATGTATCGAAGCGAACTTGTAGACTTTATGAACGACAAGTTTGGAAAAAAGGTATCGGAAAGATCAGTTGGTCGCACTTTGAAATCAATCGGCTGGACGAGAAAGACAATCCGCCGCATCGCTCAGCAACGTGACGAAGACCTTCGTGGTCTCTATCTGCACACAGTTTCGAAATACAGATCATATCATCTTAGTTTTGTCCATGAATCTGGTTGTGATAAAAGAGTTGGACACCGGCGTTGGGGATGGTCGCCCAAAGGAACCTCGCCGGTCAAGACCACCAAATTTAGTCGTGGGAAAAGATGGCATATCCTGCCTGCGTACGTGCAAGATGGTATCATGCTAAGGCGAGTATATCAAGGTTCGACGGACAGTGAAATATTCGAAGATTTTATAGCACAGCTGCTTCAACACTGCGGCAGATATCCCGAACCTAAATTTGTGATCGTGATGGACATTGCTTCTTGGCATAAGTCGGAGAAGATACAGCAAATGTGCCAAGAGGCTGGCGTGATACTTTTATTCCTCCCGCCCTAATCACCAGACTTCAATCCGATCGAGGAACATTGTGGGGTGCTTAAAAAATTCACTAAGAAGCACTGGCATGAGAACGAAGATTTCATTCAACGACAGTTAAGATGTACTTGGAATGGTGCGTCGATGTGGTTGGGGACGACATTTCTACTGCGGAAAATCATTTCCGTCATGCCCATCGCACAGATACCTGACCTATGGTACAGTAGCTAGGGATAGACGCTGCCAATTTGCAATGCCGAGAAGCTTTGCCGCCAGTCTAGTGCTGATTAAAGAACTACATGTCCTGCAGCTTGTGACTCTCTCCACCACTTCTCGATATTAGTCTTACTGACGAATTGCAACGCGACACCAATTTTGACCCCTTTCCTGACAAGGACATCGGTCGCAACTTTGGGGAATTGCAGAATAGAGTTCAGTTCCAGGAAGTTATCCGTTGCATGCTTGTTACCCACTCTCAGCTCCGCCCTCCAGCTCACATCTTGCGTCTGCGCTAATGTCCAATCACAATACTCCCTGAGCTTCTCAGCCCTGTCCCCCGCAATACGAAATGTGTCGGATTCGCTGCATGAGCCGCATTGATTTGAGACATGGGTCTTATTATGACGACAATTGCCTGGAGCCCGGTCCGCCTTGCGCTTGCGGCTCTTCGCCAAGACATTATCACGGATCTTGGCGGGGATCTCAACACCAACATCAATATCTTCTTCCTTCTCTCCTTCTTTCATTTTGTCCTTGAGATCCTCAAGTGTTTGTTCCAGATCTGTTGCCTCGAGTTTATGGTGGTTTCCCTGCTGATCCGCCCAACAGTGGGGTCCTTGCTTGCAGTGCTTAGCTCTGCAGCGATGGTGCTTGTACACACGAGTCCAAAAGCCAGCCTCAGCTGCTCTCTGAGCTTTTTGAGCCTCGGTAGCACTCTGTTTCTTGGTCTTCGTCTTCCTCGATCCGGTGGCTGCGGTGGCAAGTTCGACTTCTTCTTTGTAAACCAATTCGATCTGAAGAGTGATCTTCTTTCCTAAATTGAATAAGTCACTGAGTCCTTCGAGGTGGCTATCTACTCTGGTCTAATCAATAGTCAGTCCATCAAAGTTTTCTGCGAAGCCGCGCTGGCGAGTCCGCTCGATCGTTAGGGTGAGAGCTGAGGCTTCGCAGATATAGCCTTCTCCTGGGAACTTTTCCTTGTCCTCGAATTGATTGTTAAGTTGTGTTTGGAACACGGTCTCCCAGTACACACTTGGTGGTAAACTAACATCATGTCGCAAAAACGAACAAACTTGTCGCGCCCTGATGTTCTCACGCTGGGAGATCTTCCAACGAAAGTCATAATGGACGGGCTCGGGGTTTCACCACTTAGCGATTCGTTCCGTCCTATGGTTGGCTCGATTGTATGCACATCCAATATTGTGTAATCGGGCGTGTCATAGCGCGGATTGTCGGCACCATTATCAAAGAACTCGAAGGCAAAATCGTTATCCATTGCCACTCAGCTCTAGCAGATTGATGTGGTTTCTGCGTTCTTCGCTACGAGCGCAACCCTGACAGCATTGCTACTGAACCAGATCGTGAAAGAGGTGGATACTTTGACAGAGCAGACTTCCATGGTATTCTACGAGCTTCCACGGCAAACTCCGTACACTGAGCAATACACTTGTGCTGAGGACTTTGAAATATTGGGTGGTCAATGTAAAGCCTTGTCAAGGACGAACATTGTTTTAAAGCACCGTTTTTGTCGGCATTACTGTACTGTCGAGGATCGGCAACTCGTGCATCGTTCGCCGTTCTGTACTATACGACTTATTGCTCGCAAGCAGGCATTTGAATCAACATCATTTGCCTTGAAGAGTTCTAGCATTTCCTATTTCGAGTTGGTGGGGAGGTAGGCACTTATAGGTGACTTGACCGTTATCACCTAGTGCAACTAGAATCTGAAAGCTGTAGTGAACAGTGGAGAATAGACAATCTTTATGGACATCACGATGTGGCTTCAGGCGCCCTTAGTATCCTTTTTCGATCGCAACACACTACAGTGATGGATTACTCGATTTCCAGATGATTTATTGTGACAGCCAGAACTGACTGGTCTGCTGGTAGTTGGTTACGGTACTTGTGAGGTACATGACGATCAAGGCCCACACTGACAAACAGCCAAAAATGGACCTGGTTATATTTGTTATCTAACGAAAATTGCGACACCCATTACGCCTTTTACTGTAATAGACCCATCAAAAGGACTTTGATAGTCATGGAAAAGGATCTAATTTCGTCTTGTAGCGAGAACTGGTACTACAGTATCAATAAGTGCGAAAGAGCCTGGCTAAAGCTCACGCTCTTGGATCAGAATTGATACGGTCCAAAAGAGTGCTGAGGGTATACGTACAGATCAGAGCTAGAAATGGATCGTCTGTGCTTAGAGAAGAAAAGAGAGAGAGACAAAAGGAGGAAGCCGGTTTTGACCTTGTCTGTACAGTACCGAAGTTCAAACGTGTCGCGGTGTTCAAAATGGAAATGGACTAGCTCGAAAGTGGCCATCCACAATAGGTTCTCATCTGGGGTATGAATCCACTGACCACTTCTGAACCCACCAGCGCAATACTATCCGGTCCCAACTTCCATGTGCCAGAATTGACTTTCCAGAAACTGCATAGCAAACTACGTTTTGGTAGGTTGTGCTTGCTGGCCAAAAACGTTTTGTGGGCCTGGCCATCGGTCCGCTCTTTAATCTGTCCCCGGTTATCGAACCCATGTCATTTTGAGCCGCTTGGAGCCTGTCCATTTTCAGCACCACCAAATTGGGGAATGGTGTTAACGACTTGTCGGTCGCGTCAAATGCGCGCAATCGCATGACCACTTTTCACCACTACACAGCAGCAACGGTCTGAACAATGCCTTCTCCCTTTCGATGCTGTCGAAAACTGGACATGTTTGGAAGCTGTCATGAACGCAACAGAATCTGAAATACCGGTTTCCAGATCCGATCCGCCATTGATTGGGCTCAATACTGACTACTGCTTGCCATTGTTGAATCCAAAGCTGGCCCTCAATGGCCCTCCGAAACGATGTCACCCAACTCCCAGAAGCCATCTCCTGTCGAACGAATGAAAAGTACGAAACCAACGAAGCGGACGCGGGCGCATATAGTCACAACGACATCTAATTGCTCGCATTACTGAGGGAGCACAAATGTTACGGCTATTGATCTGGCCAGCCACATGCGGCACCCATCTGAGTTCTACAGACTGAGGTTGAACAAAAACACGTGGAGCTTGCGAAAGGCAGATTATGGACATTTCAATTGTATGCAATATGTAGATATTCTATGTAGGCTATGGACCAAGATCTAGGAATTGCGTCTCTGCATCGGCTCTACTCCGTTTGGAGCAGGTTCGTAGCCGGCACCACGTAAATGTTGCAGAATCCGTCTTCGCCGACCTCATCCCAGCGATTATGTCCGGGGGAAGCGGTTCGTAACGCTGACCTGCCACAGCGGAGTTCATCCCAGCAATTATGTCCGGGGAAGCGGGTGGTAACGCTGACCTGCCACAGCGAAGTTCATCCCAGCAATTATGTCCGGGGCAAGCGGTTGGTAACGCTGGCCTGCCACAGCGAAGAGAGTTTTACATCTGGTAGGGCATGGTTAACTGCCAGATGGACACGAGTGTGAAGAAGAAAGGAAAGAAAAGTTTCAAGACAATCTGGGCGAGGACAGGCTTATATACATGAGTCTGGGTGGATCGAGTCATGTGATTCATATGATTCATGTGACCGAGCTATGGTCTTTCGTGTTTTGGCTAGAGTTGCATCTGGACCTGCCGGTCCGATTCTGGAAAAGAAGATGGCAGGTGTCATGTACTGTCAGTTTTGGACTCCTACCGTCATGTGGAACTCTACGATGATCAGTCTGATCCAGGTACTGTACGTAAATGGATCGCAGACCCCTCGAACATCAATAGCGACGCAGCTTCGGCCAATACAAGAATCGTTTGTACCAAAAACTGTTCTCTGCTACCCACCCCGCCATTGTTCCATTTCGTGCTCGCTGGGTGGTACATATTTGGCCGTGGCTTTGCATGGGGTACTGTGCTGCATCCTTTTTGGTCCTTAGACGAAATGGTGCAGTGCCGTACAGTACAGTAACATCCGGTGGTCTAATGAGTATGCTGGTACTGTAAAGCAGTGTGATGTGTTAATGGAAGAGTGTCCTTGGAGGCTTTGGTAGAGAACAGCCGACGGAAGTGGTGGAACACTTGAGGCTGGCGGTCTTGGATGTGCTGGAAAGCACCTTCGATGAGATTGAATAAGTCCTTCAACCCAATGATACGACTCTATATGAGGGGCATTGTGGCGCTTGTCGGACAGAACTCACGAACGCGGATCTCCGTATGTATCAGAGGTTTGATTGCGTAACTTGATCCTGCCCATATTCATGCCTTGACTGATCCTCTCCCAGTTGGTATGCTCGCGATGCGCCTCTCTTCCCGGTGGTACACCCTGCATCACAGGCGTTCATTATAGATTTGGGCGGTAGCAAATTTTGTCAGTCTACGGTCTGGATGAACCCTACAAGATCTGCTTGGGTCCACTCGAGAAATCAGCAAGACCTCGATGTTGTGGTGAGTTCCCTCAACGGTACTTCCGGACACTCTCCTACGCAAGACAAGGCCACATATTGTGCAATGATTGTTTGGAATCAGCCAGAATAGACGAGAATTTAAGATGTCCTATGTGTCGAAGAAAATGCTGCGAAAGATCACGGTGCGAAGATAGTTGCCTTCAGATTTTCCACGTGTTAAGTTAAAGCATATGTCATAGATAAACGATGGAAACGAGTCTTGAGCGTGATCCAATCTTGTCATTAACAACGTTTGTCGTGGGGTGCATTTGTATCGACGCGACTCACCACCTCCTGTGGAGTAGTTGGTTGGAATATAGCGTACGGTGACGCCTATTGGAACGAGGATCTTTGGCAATATGGTCCAACCGCACCCAATATCTCATCCGGAAGACTGCTGTAAATCACTACTGCAGATATACATATATATATATATATGGGAAGGCACCTCTGATCCTTGCGGGCAGAATATGCAAATCAATACATCACGTGTATGCGCGCGCTCACGAAGTAGCCATGACCGCCATTTCTCCGACATGATGTGGTCGTAATGATGTTGTATAGAACAGGTATCATATCCCATCTCTTAATGGAATGTTTTACAATGCAAAACAGACGGAATGACGTCGCGAACAGTCCTCTGCTTTACTCTTGAACCAAAGCGTCCTCTTTTAAACACTAACACTCAACACTAGGTCTCTTAACGTTCTTTACCCTTCGAGGTGCTGCTGCCACCGCTGCTTTTACTGTTGTCGCCGACCTGAGGCTTACCATCCGCATGGCCCTGACCTCCCCAAGCCATTTCCTTATTGGCTGGGCTAAACTCTAGCGGATTACCAACACCACCACCTTTGCCCATGGTGTCCTTCGCAGTCTCCGGTTTGCGACAGTTTCATGAACGGCATCCACAAGTGCTTCGAAATCGGTCAACTTGGTTCTTGTGGATGTCTCGTAACGGCATACCGATTGATATGCTCCACACTGACCCGGGGCTCGTGAACTGTCCCGCATGCCCAGCAAAGTAGTAGCCTTGAGGTGAGTACGACTAGCAGCTTCAGAAGCTTCCAATTGACACCTCTTCAGCGAGAGAACTTATTCGGCACTGCCAGTACCAGGACGATGAGCCATATTGTTGTTGATGCTGCGACGCCATCCCAGCTCCCGCCGGATCAACGTCCAAAGTTGCCTAGTGCTGCCTCAACAAAAAGAAAATCCATCACGACTTTGCTTCTAGCAAATTCACGGACCAATTCACCAATGTTGATGTAGAGGCCCTTCTTCCTGGCCAGTTCAGCCAAGTTACGTGCGTCCGAAGAGGGCTTGAAGCTCGTAAGGGGTTGCTGAATCGTAGCCGAGTATAGAGGGTTTGCAATTCTGACCGACTCCAGCAAACGGTCGATGCGGTTGGCAACAGAGAAGCATGCATCTGAATAACTCATCGCCTTCCCGTGAGCGAAAAGATGTACTGGCCCAGTCCGGATGGGCGTTGAACCAGCTTTGTCGTCGACTTCGATAGGATGACCACAGGCGGTAACTGCTTCCTCATGTTTCTTGTACTCAACTTTGTGAGCTATGCGGCAATGATTGATGAAATCTTGAGTACTCGAGAAGTCCTGCCTGTGACATGTGACGCAAACTAATTTGACCATCTTGCTATCGGAAGCCCGTTTCAAGATGCACGGCCCGACCTTGTTCTTGGAGTGCGGGTGCCCACGGGGTGCTTGAGGCGCCTGGCCAGTAGATCCACGACATCCTCGACGTTTGTTCTGAGCGGTTTCTACCTTGGTGATAGTGTTTAGGCGGGAATGAGCATCAATGGAGTTCGACGCTCGCAAACTTTTAGATGGCTCCAGAGTCGGCGCCGGGATACCGTCGAACTTGGGATCCGGTATGAGCCACCTGGCGAGATGTCGAGCATACGGCCCATCAGCAACACCAAAAGGCGGCGTCCACTGTGGTACTTGAGTGCCGAAATCTGCTTGGAGAGCCGGCTCTTGCCCAATAGTGACGTTCAGCACTTGTTCTGGCATTGGAACGTGGGCCGGGTATGGAATTAGGTGACATCGACGCAGCTGCTCCAATGCGATCTGGCATTTTGCTAGCTCTTGGCTGATGAGACGATGCTCTCGGTGTTTGAGCAAGACTTCGTGGCTAAATTCCAGCTCAATGTCTCCTCTTGCACGATTTAGCCGGGATAACATTTGGGGCGCTGGTGGTTGCGTCGACACTTCCTCCTTTCTCGTCAGTGCTACCTCCTCCTCATTTGGTGAACCAACATTGTTCTCTAACTTTCGACGCTTCACCGCCAGAGAAACAAAGTTAATGCGAGACATTTGGAGTTGAAGTATTCCTTCTTGATGAATAACAAAGGTAGGCAGCAGTAGAATTCCGACGAAGAGGCACGAGGTGACACGGCGGGCGGAAGGTGCAGATATTCGTCTTGTGCTGCTGTTATCCCAAATCTGATGCATCGGCATATTACACAGTATGATATCATGAAACTAAGGGTAAGTTTTAGCGACATGAGCTCGAGGAAGATACAGGCGTAGCGACCAGTGCAGAATTTGAACCCACCATGATGGATTACTGGACTGCATCCATGTGGGTCGGCACAACTTATGTGTCGTGCACCTGAGCATGGATGCAAAAATGGCTCCGAGACAGATTACGAGCGCGATCTTGACCTGTTCCACAACAGTGTTCTCTTACCACAAAAGTCGTTCCTGAGTCTCATATGGCAATTGGCAACGTCCGTGTTGCGGCTCCTTTTCAAAATAGCAGGTACTAGTATATATGAACCACAATGTCTTTTAGTAAGTGCGGGCGGACAACGACTTTTCTTCTATTTTTTGAAGGTTCCCATACATTACAAGTTCATCACGAGCTGTCAGAAATCCCTTTGCAGTTCAACTTCCAAAAGTACGAAGATGAAAACAACTACTTCTTCGCTTATAACTGCTGGAAAGACAACAACGCAACAATATTCCGAACAAGAAAAGCCATACCCTTATACCCGGAAGAGCAGAATCCAGAGAGCTTGTGAGAAGTGCAAGCAAAAGAAGACCAGATGTGATGGAGCTTTACCTTGCAAGAAGTGCAAGGAGCACAATTATATTTGTGTGACAACAAGACCGAGCACGACCAAGTACAAACAAGTACCTGCCGGGTGAGTGGCCAGCCAGCTCGTTGAAGCGCGAACCCTGACTAGCGTGTAAACAGCTACGCCGAAGCTTTGGAAAACTGTCAACTCACCTTAGTCAACACAATCCATGAACTCTACTCCATGGTGAGAAATGGAAAGTCGTGGGATCTCGGCGAGCCGGAAATCAATGATCAAGGCCAACCCCTTGTTCACAATATCGCCACTCTACTTGGATGTGTTCGATCCGGATCTCCAATGTCCGTTCACACTCCTTTACCCCAAGATGAGACGGGCTTAGCCGAACTAGCAGCAGAACGGCAAGCTCGTCAAACAGATCTACAAGTTGCTGGAGAAATCCAGCAAGAGACAGATGCAGCATGTCGTCAGCACCCCAGCAAGCCCTTACAAACTCTTTTTCCACTTGTTTCTAGAGCGAAAGCGAGATTCGAAAAGGGAACTCGTAATAACTCATGCATTCAAGGATGGATGACATGTTAATGACTTTCTATTGCATGGCAGTAGTTCTGTTCACTGTCGGCATCCTGTGGGAAAAAACAATCTCGATTCCAACTTACTACGGTGGTCCTTGCGCTTCTGGAACTGTACACATGTACTTCTCCAATGCATATAAGTTTCGAAGCATACTCGACGGCGGCAGTAGTATATATCCAAGTGTGAGTACGACCCGGGAGCTACAAACTATTTACACCAACATTAACATAACGGTTCAGACTGTGTTCAATTTCGAGTTCGTGTCGAAAACCGACCGTTTCATATACGATGCTTTGCAAATGAAGCCAGATTCCGTTACCATGGTTCCTTACAAGACTGTGGCTGGGGACTTCTTAGTCTACACAGTGAACTCTCGTGCACTTCTTGGTGATGTCGAGGCAAGCGCTCGATCTGCGGCCAGGAAGCTTGGAGAACCTCTACCATTTATGATCATTGCATTCAATGCTCCAGATGTTGGGGAAGAAGAATTCATCGACAAAGAAGATGTGACGTTCCTTGGTGAAACGCTGTTGACCTTGTGAGCTGGAGTGCGTGGAGCTAACAGCGTTGATAACGGCTGAGGCGTAGAAGATATATTAGTGTGCGTCGTCACACTGAAGGGCCGGCGGGAGTTTGCATCCATTCCCAGCTTGTCCTCGCTGGGACTGTGGACCCTATCGAATCCAGATAGGCGATGTTTTGCTTTGCGACATCAGCGCTACGAGGCCGTCATTGAAAGACAGACGTCCATTTGTAGGACATGACATCTAGAGAGAGTAGAAGGTAGAATAGAGATAATTGACAAAGTGGATGCCATGTCTTTGGGGAAAGCAGATGATGGAAGGAGAAGGCGGGAGCAAAGGCGCAACCGAGGAAAAGAACGAATCACTACATGTGCTTGCTCGTGTTGTGATGAACCAGGGAGATGAGGTAGAGTGGCGGTCACCCGCTTGCTGAGTATTATCTTGTGGGGAAAGCAAACCTTCCGTTCTGTTTACAGCTCGATATTCAGGTCGATCGCTCGGCTCTGTTTTGATGATGAGTCTTGCAGTGATCGGCGATTGAGCACGTTTGTCGCGCCTCCGTCGACGGGGTTGGCGATTGGCGGGAGTGCCTCGAGAATTCGCGGGTTTGTTGACTTGAGCGGCAGTGTATGGTTGAGTTTGCCCGACGGCTGCTCTTGAAGCATTGCGTATCGCCAATCTTCGCGACCGCCGGTGAGGAGAAGACCAGTCCATGGGGATCTAGTTGTAGGGCAAGCAAGATAAAATCACGGGGAAGGGGACAGTGGGGTTCCCACCACGAGTGACTCGGAACGTAGCAGTGTCGTGAGGTCTTTGCTGAAATACAGATGTCCCCAGGGTACAATATGAGATGGGAAGAGAGGAGTAGGTAGAATATAGGAAATCGAAGAACTGGATCTCAGATTTTGGGAGCAATCAGACGATGAAAGTAGAAAGCTGGAGCAAAGGCGCAACCCGAGGCGAAGAGACAAATCATTGTATCGAAAGAGAGGTGGAAAGCATGTGGATGGCCTCGTCATAGCGGCCGTTGGATCAAGTCTCGCAGACATGCAGTCTAGCTGATGGGGGCCAGATCGATCACTAAACCGGTCGGACAGACAAGCCTAGAAGTGATGATTATGTGAGTTCGGAACTGATTTGCAAGTGGCTAAGCCCAGTACGCATTTGGGAACATGGCCTGCTGCAAGCAGGGAAGCCGAAAATGCATTCCATACCTGTACAGTACTGTACTGCAGGTAAGGATCCACTATTCATGAAATACATTTCTGGTATCCCAGACCGACCCCACATGGATCGATTGATGTCCGGCCCATTGGCGGCACATTGCTTGACAGGACGAACAAGGGCGAGAGGATCCACTCCTGCTGTATCGGTTCAGGGCCTACAGTGACAGACTGTATCGGATCCATGACTGAGTACAGTATCGAAACATGCCCAGCTGTCCAGAAGACTTTTCCTGACCACGCCAGGCAGAAGAACAAACGTAAGTCCAAGTCCAAGTAAGTCCAGCCACCCCCTGCGGAAGGAAATATGGGGCGACGACGAGACGACCCATAATAAACGAATATATAAGCCCCGTCCATCTTCTCGTCGAGTTCCATTTCTTTTCTTCCTTCTCATCACCTTCGGGTGTTCCGTCTGTCAGTCCTTCGTGGCGGCAGATGTCACGTCTTGACGCTCTTTGGAGCCGACAGACAACCCCACGTGGAAGTCCTGGAGACTACACGTGATGTTCCTCGCCAGCATCTTCGGATCTGGCGGGTGAAAGCCTTCTGTTGTCGCTTCGCGATGGCAGCTTGTGCCGTCTGCAGGTTCTTGGAGCCTACGGATGACCCCACGTGGAAGTCTTGGAGACTACACGTGCTGTTCCTCGCCAGCATCTTCGGGTCCTGCGAGTGAAGCCTTCTGCTGTTGCTTCGCGCCGGCGGTTTGTGCCGTTTGCAAGTTTCTCCTGAAGCTTGCAGATGACCCCACGTGCAAGTCCTCGAGGCTACACGTGACGTTCCTCGCCAGCATCTTCGGGTCCTGCGAGCGAAGCCGTCCGCGACTTTGACTAGTCCGGATGTGTCATCTGGCAGGTTCTCTCGAGCCTGTCAGATGGTCCCCACCTGGCAAAGTGCTTCGAGCCTAGCAGGTGAAGTTCCTTGCGGGTGCCCTCGGGTAACTAGCAAGTGAGAGCCGTTTGGTGAAGTGCCTTCGGGCCCACAAGCGATGCCGTCTGAAAGTGCCTCGGAGCCTACAGACGATGCCATCTGGAAGTGCCCCGGGAGCCTACAGATGATGGATTGCTTCCCTCTTTTCCCGCAGACGTCCTATCTCCCTAGGTTTCCTGCGGGGGGTCACAGATGTCCCAACCCTGTGTACCGGCCAGCGAAGGCGGCCTCTGCAACCTGTTCGTGGTGCTGGCTACGAACCTGCTGTCCTGGCAAGAGCTCTTTCGAGTCTCTCTTGTCGGGGGTCAACAGAGCCAATGCAGAGACGCATCTTGTAGAATTTGTGGATTTTCAGTAGACATTATGGCATACAGGTACATAGATAATTGAATAAACGCTGCTTTCGGCTTGGCCATTTCGCAAATGATGTATGGGCTCACGATCACCGTGTCCCATGTCTTGTGTCGTTTCCTCGCCTCTTTCTCCTTCTCTACCCTGCTTGACTGCCCCCACTGTATCTGACTGTCCATCAAGGGTATGTAAGTAATACAGTACAGTTCTGGTCGGTCATGGCAGCTTGGTCATCTCTGTGCCGTTTCTGGTTATGTCCGGCTTCGCTGCTGACGCCGTGGACACACACTGGATCGCTCCCACGTACGCCTCCATCTCTGCGACTCCTCTGTTGTTGACAGCGGATATAGCCTCGTTCGGAGACTTGCACTTGCACAGGAAGGGTTCTTGTTGACTCGCCAAGACCGAACCTCACGTGCACAAACTCCGCTGTCTCGATGGTCTTTCCAAAGCTGCAGGTGGGGCAACTGCCCCGGGTCGAGTTCTCAGACATGTCGTTGTTTGCCGTCGCGTTGCTGTTCGAGTAGCGCTTCATGATCTAGGTCATCCCGCGTACCGCTTCGAAGTGGTTGTTGTGTGCACACGACCGAGTACGAAGCTCGTCTGATCGACTACACGATGGAGAACGAGCACAAATCCACCATCAAGCAGGTGGTTAAGATCGGGCCTGTATGTCAGTACGGCATTAATGCCGCGCAGCTGCAACTCATTCTATCAACCAAACTAAGCAAGATAAATGAGAAATAAGCTGAAGGCCGAGCAGTCATTGGTTGGCGTCAGCGGACAATCGTCACGCCAGCTGTCAACGGCATTTAGTGACAATGGATTCACGTGCTGGGAATAACAAACAGGACAGGCGATGAAAAGCATAGAACCTAGTGTAGAATATGAGTTGTGAATGCTGAAGTCAAGAACGTCATTCGACGCGATCCAAAAAGTAGCACAGGCTGACCCATCTGTGGCGGGAAAAACTGACAAATCAGGGTCTTGTCACTGTCAGGCACGGAAAAGGGAATTTCAGACAAACCTGTCAGATTGTGGAGACAGCTAGAGTGGCCGATTTCGTGGTCCTGCACGCAACATGGATCAGGTATAGCGTTGGTCACTATTGATCGCATCACCAATCCGACCGATGCGCTTACTCACCTGTCGAAAATGGAAATGGACTAGCTCGAAAGTGGCCATCCACGATAGGTTCTCATTTGGGGTATGAATCCACACTGACCACTTCTGACCCTGCCAGCGCAAAACTATCCGGTCCCAACTTCCATGTGCCAGAATTGACGTTCCAGAAACTGCATAGCAATACTACGTTTTCGTTAGTTGTGCTTGCTGGCCTGAAACGTTTTGCGGGCCTGGCCATCGGCCCACTCTTTAATCTGTTCCCCGGTTATCGAACCCCTGTCATTTTGAGCCGCTTGGAGCCTGTCCATTTTCAGCACCACCAAATTGGGGAATGGTGTTAGCGACTTGTCGGTCGCAAATGCGCGCAAAATAAACACCAGGTCGGGCTGCGTAAGTGTCTATCCATAGTGCCCATTCATTACAGTGCCCATTTGTGCAGGTGGGCAGGGGGAAACACACGAGCGTCGAGTGGCCTCAGAGAAGCTCATTTTAATTAAAAACGGCATCTCTTACATATTATCAAATCGGCCCCGGTTTGGCCCGTTACGCTTCGTGTTTCTCTTTCTCGCGCAGTACATACAATATTGGGCTTTTGTCCAATTCAGGTGGGGTTTTGAACCGCACTTTGGTCGAACCAGGCTTAGCGCAGATAGGTGGAGAAGCGAGGACCAAGCTCAAAACTTCATCCTCATTAGGCTTAGTAAGCTACACAAGTGCAAGGATAAGATACCTGCAAAGGCCCGTCCTCTCCACAGCCCCTCCCGTCCTACAGCGTCCCACATGGATAATCTTACAACTATGGCTCCGGAGCACCTCTGCAATAGGCCCACCTGTACTGAGCCTACGGGTGTAACACTGACCTGCAGCAGACCAAGGTTTGCCCCAAGGGCTTTCTAGATGAAGGAGCCGTTTGGTAGATGCCATTTGCCACGGCCACCAGATCGAGCCGTCCTCGTCTATGCACTAATCTCATGGCAACGCACCGCGTGGCTTCACGTATCATGGACTTAGCACGCTTGTCGGTATAGATGACCGACCAGAACTGTACTGTATTTAGAAGCTCGAGGTACAAGCACAGGGCTTGGGGATTGTATTGTGTTCCAAGTAAAAAATATCACAGAAGTGGTTGATTCGAGACACGTGGTTGAAGGATCGACCGACGCGAAGCGCGGGAGCTAAAATGGCAACCCACGTGGAGGCGGAGATCGTGGTGGGGTCTTCAGACTCTATCGCGACGACGGCCAGACGAGTGACGCGAGCGACGACAGCCACGACGGTGCCAGCGAGAACGACAAGACGAACAGCCCCCGGCACTACGACAAACGAGGAACCGAATGGAACTCGCGAGGATGGCGACCAGGTCGCAGTGGGACAAGGCCCTCAGAAAGT